TATTTAACATTAAGTATGTAAAATGTCAAAAAAAATGAGCAGAGGTCTAGGTCTGCATACAGCAGAAAGTTTTTATCTCAGTGCATTTCACAGCCTCAAAGACCTCAGTGACAAGTTCCTTCTGATGGAATTTGTCTTTTAAACACTTGTTTGCCACAGTGCTGCCTGTGGTTAGCAAAGTCATCCCTCTGCTTTAGTATTTGATATCTTACATCTAAAAGAAACTCTATTAAGCCCATAGCCTTTGAAGACATGGAAAATGGCATTTTTTTTTCAGATTTCTAGAAGTTAAGTGTCATGCAACAAAACAGGAACCCCTTTACTCTATGGACCTCATTTCAATATACTGTTTACAGTTTGACGGAATTGTATAATTTAATATTTCTCTTGTACTGTAGTTTATATTTATTTACAGATTTTTGTACTGTGTGATTTGAACTTTTTGTTCTTGCTATAATCATTTGTTTATGTAGTAGAGCACTTATGATCACAAATTAAGTTTTTGGGTTTGATTGCACTACATTAAATTTTTTAATGCAGTTCTGATTTTGACTGGACTAAAATAAGCTGTGTCTTAATGTATGTGATGAGTACTTAAATTTTAATCCATCTGGTTCTCCCCTTTTTTTCTTTTATGGTTTTTTCTTTTTTTTACATTGTATGTCAGAAGCACTAGTTCTTTCGTGCATGTGTAAGACTTAATGGTTCCATTGTATTATTTGACCATGACATTTTGGAAAAACATTCCCAGCTGTAATGTTGTGTATGGTAGTTCTCACTGGATGCTAGACTTTAAAAACCACTATTCTTCTAATAAATTTTGTTGTGAAAACCTGTTTTTAAAGCTTGGTTTCTGCTGCTTGTGGTTTCAGTGCTTTATAACAGTGTACAGAAAGGGTAAAATGAGTGCCGCGAAGCCTTGACCCTTTCCAGACAAAACCTCTTAGAGTATTAGAAATGCTGTACGGAATTGTAGTTCAGGGTTGTAGTGCAGACACTACCTTATGTGCTACTGACTTGATAGTACTCTTGAATTACAGTTGTTTTCTTTATTGAATTGTTTGCTTAAAGACTGTTTTCAGTTAACCGAGAGAGAGAGAGAGAGAGAGAGAGAGAGAGAGAGAGAGAGAGAGAGAGAGAGAGAGAGAGAGAGAGAGAGAGAGAGAGAGAGAGTGTTCTCAGAGTAAAACCTTTTACTAGGATTGATTGCCAAAACAAAGATTTAATCACTTGTTTGTTCTTGAGGCACAAATAGTGAATCGTCATTGTCAGTCCTTAAGATTGTTACAGTACTTGTAGCTGTTGGGAGGGTGCTGAAGAACATAGTGTGGTGTTTGGAAGCTTGGAGTGTAAAGTTTTGTATTATAAAGTAGTTTCTGTTGTAAAGGAATTAGAAGAGCTGAATTACAGATCCTAAAGATTACAAATGTGAGCAAAATACATCAGGAAGATTTTTTCAACCTCACAATGTAATTAAGCAGAAATTTTATATTCATATATAGTCTTATGGTACATGGTTGATCTATTAATGGCTTTATTGTCTGAGACAGATAACTGTCTTTTCAGTCTGGTGTTTGTAAAAATAAGGTTTTTGATTGGTAATACAGATGTTTGTTGGCTTCATCTTGTTCAGTTATAACATGTTTGTAGAATATTCTGGGAACCTAATTATGTGTAAATTTCAGGGCTATTGTCATTTCTTCCAATATCCTCTTTAAACTGGTGGCTAGATCAGTGTAATAAGACTTCATCCAAATAGTTCATGTGAACTTGTGCTTCAGTGGCCTGCCTTCAAGTTTGTATTTGAATTTTGAACTACTGTGGCCCAGCTTTTTAAAAGTAACACCTTCTAAACTAGAGTTCTCTGATTATGCTTATCTTTGAGGGTTAGTTCAGGCCTGGTGACTTGACAGGTGTGGGAATTAGAGGAATTCTCTTAATAACAGAACAAGAGTTGCATAAGGGAAATGCCGTGGAAACAGTGGTTTGACATATGCTGAGTTGTATTTTCTTCAAGACTGAATTTCTTCCACCAAACATTTATATTCAGATATAAAAAACACCCCAGACCATGTGATGCTAGGTATTGTAGCCAGTGAGATTGCACACCATCATTATTTGCTTCCAAAGATAAGCACTGTAGCAGAATTGTTACTCAGCTTAACAGGCTGTTGCATTTTCTGTTGTGTGTGCTTGAGTGAAATGTATGTATTCAGACTGCATTTACAGTGGAAGCAGACAGGGTTGACTTTAGAGATTAGTGAGTATTAGTGACAAAACATTGTAAAGAAAAGAAGCATTCTGCAGCTTGAGCCATTGTTTAGTCAGAGTTCACATAGGTTCCACAAAGTAACCGGGTCAGAACTCTTTCATGATTGGGGCTGAGCTTGTGGGATAACAGTGAGTCTTTGCCTGCCATGCTTTGGATCCTCAGTTTGATGTGTGTGCAATATAAAGAAAATATATAAGCCTGGTGTGGTGGCACACGTCTTTAGTCCCAGCACTTAGGAAGCAGAGGCAGGTGGATCTCTGAGTTCGGGCCAGCCTGGTCTACAAAGCAAATTCCAGGACTGCCAGGGTAGTTACACAGAGAAACCCTGTCTCAAAAAAAACAACAATATTATATATGTATGTGTAACAAAAGAAAGCCCCTAAATCTTAGATCTGAGTCTGAGGGTTTTATAATCATTTAAGAATACTTTTTTGTGTTTATTGATTAGTACTTTATTTAAATGTTCAACACTTATTAGGTCACATGTGCTTTACCTGAACTAAGGGTGTTTGGATGGCTTTTAGGTTTCTTTTTTCAACTTTAAATCTTGTACAGATTTTTTTAATTACTTGAAATAAATACACAAATCTGTTTTAATATCGGGAAATAAGTAGTAACCCTTTATAGAATAATAAGGCATTAGAATCCTGGTTACAAAAAGAAAAGAAAAGAAACCTGGTTACATCATTGAAGTATTTTCTCAATGAAAAAAATATTAAAATAGATTTTGATATTTTCAGTATATTTTTTGGCTTTTCAGAGACAGGGTTTTTCAAAACAAGTCCGCTATGTTATGCATTTATTATGAATTGTAAGTGAGTGAGATGGTACTTATTTATTATGAACTATAAGTGAATGAGATGGTTCTTCTACAAGAATCATCAAGCAATCACTTTTTATTCTGTTACTTTATCCTATTTATTTTTTATTCGTTACAGTTTGTCTATTGGATGCAGACTAATTCCACCTTAAATGTTCAGACACAGTGTAAGCCTGGGGGTCATAGGCTATATCTAGTTTTAGTTAAAATCAAGCTTTTATGAATATATAGAACTGGGTTCTGCTTCAGAGCACTGTGATAACTTACACATGTGGAACTTCAGCATATTCTGTTTTCAAAGTGTCTTGCAGGATCCCAGACTTCCTCCCCCTCTTAATTGTAGTTAAAGTATTTAATCCAGGTGTAATAGCACAGTTCTTAACTCCAGTACTTAGGAGGCTAGAGGATCATGAGTCCAAAGCTAGTTGGTACTACATGACGAGACTGTCTCAAAATGTGGGAAAAAATTGTCATCCTAGTCAATTTTTTCCATTTTATTTATGTGTATGGGTGTTTTGTCTGCATGTATGTCTGTTCATCACTTGCCTGCTGTGGAGGCCAGAGGAGGGCATCTGATCTGAAACCGGATTTAGAAAGATTTGTAAGCTGCTGTGTGTGTGTGTGCCGGGAAGTGAACCCAAGGGCTCTGGAAGAGCTGCCAGTGCTCTTAACCAATTTCTTTTCTTTCTCCCTGTACGTTTATGTCCATATAAGGGTGTCAGATCCTCTGGAGCTGGAGTTACAGACAGTTGAGAGCTGCATTGTAGGTACTGAATCATCTGTCCAGCCTCCTAACCCTTTTTCAAGCACACAGTTAAGTATATTCTTAGTGTACAATCACAAGAGACTTGATTAACTTGCTAATTGTGATTCCATTCTAGTCTTTCATTCTTGATGTGAAAACATGAATGTTGGGGACTTTAAGGGGTTTTAGTTTTGTTTATAAAATAAATAGCCCTTAACCTAATTCCAACTCTTTATACTTATCTCTACTACTGTAGTATAATCTAAAATGAGAATGAGGGATTTTTTTTACCATTGGATTCAGCTCAACTAATTAAATTTCAATATCAGTTTGATTCTAGCAAACATGTCAATTAAGGAATATGGGACTTGAGTGCAGAACAAAAATCATAAAGCCTTTTAAAGTCCCAGTAAACCTGAGTAGGTAAGAAAAGAAGAGGCATCCAAGTCTCACAAACAATTTGATGGGCCCATTTTTACAATTCTAGCCTTCTATTACTACAGAGTTGGGGCTTTTTGTTTGTTTGTTTTTTACATTGCAGCAATGGATGCTACACAGTTTTAATAAGTTACAAAGCCTGTGTCTGCCCTCTGTTAAAAAAAGGGCTATAGTACCTGGTATGTCCAGTTGCTATGGAACCTAAACTAGACCCTGCATGTAAAATAGCACTAAGGCCGACTCTTACTGGGCACATGCAAGTGCCCAGTAAATTAAAGCAAAAGCGAATATCTAGGGGTATCATAATTTATGTGAAATTAGGAGAAAATCAGATTGCTGTCTTACCAAGTCTATTAGAACTTTGAAAATGAGGCAGACTTGTTTATTTTAGACTGAGGCATGGACTTTCTTGTTTTTTGTGTTTGTTTTGTTTTTCAACACAATCTTGTTTTAACTCCAGATGAGGACTATGATTGAAACCTGAAAAAGTGCTTTTTCTGCATTTTCTGATACTGTTTTGGGAAAATTAAACCAATCATTCCTTGTTTCTTAATTAAACAGCAACAAACTAAAAATAGAACCAGTGTCAAAGTAGAAGATAATTTTAAAAGTGTATAGTGAGCTAGAAAGATGGCTCATCAGTAAAGGGTACTGACTGCTCTTCCAGAAGACCAGGGTTCTTCTCAGCCCCCACACAGCAGCTCACAACATCTGTAACTCCAGTCTCTGGCCCTGCAGGCACCAAGCACACATATGGTACACATACACACATATTTACAGGCAAGCATATTTTTATGTTAAGCATATTGTCTTAGAGTTCTCTTGCTGTGAAGAGATACTATGGCCATGGCAACTCTTAGCATTTAATTGGAGCTTGCTTATAGCTTCAGAGGTTTAGCCCATTATCAGTATGGTGGGAAGCATGGCAGCATGCAGGTAGATACTATACTGGAGAGATAGTTTAGCAGTGTGCATAGCAGTTCCTATCAAGTTGACTTAAGACACTTTGAAAAGGACAACCTGGCACTGATTTTTTAAAAAAGTAACCATGAGAACTGTTGTTTTGATGTTAAAGAGTGGACCATCTATGTAGATTAGAGTGTTTACAAATAGACCAACAAGTTAGCAATGGGTACTCGGTGACTTAGTGCAGTATTTCTTTGTCCTGGGTTAAAACTCAGATCCTGTAGTGACTTTTGGACACCATTGTATGCATTTACTGTCATCCTAGTTGCTCAGTCAGTGTCTTATGAAGTCCTCTACACTGTGCCTGTGTGCTTTATGAAAAACTTGCATGTGTACTGTCAAACCTTCAAATTTCCTCTTCACATTTTTCTTCTGTAAGTTGAGGTATAAAAACTACATATTTGTTTCATACCATGTGAAGTTACTTGATAAATTTGTACATTATAATAATCTAGTCAGAGCAAGCATATACGCCTTCTCAAACGTCATGATTCTTTTTAGGAAACACTCCAATCTTCCCTCTTTTTAATATATAGTACATTTCATTGTCTATATTTACTCTACTGTGCCTTATGACGCCTGAATTCATTTCCCATATATGCTTGCAATTCAAACCCTGTTCTGCCTTGATTTAAATATGTTTTCTTTGAAAGCTCCTTCCTGCCCTTTCTGATTGTCTGTCACAAATGCCCCCCTTCAGTTTCATTGGGAAATACACTAGGAAAATCATTTTCGCTACGTAGTTAACTTTATCTTCTTGGTTCATTCATTACTTCATGCATACAATGTGCTACCCCAAACTGTAATCGGTGAAGTTACGAGGGGAGGAAATGGGTTGGAAACTGTGGCTTAAGCATCAGTGCTGTTTAATGAAAGGTGGGGACAGTGAGAAGAGAGCTGTGATCACTGCCACAGGGAAATGGGCTGAAGGATAGAGTGTGAATCAGTGGGAAATCAGAAGATTCGTAGGTAAAACACAAAACAAGACCTGGTTTGGGCTTTGAAAAGAACAGATGTGAATAATAGGAAGCAGCATCTAAAATAAACTGGTGACAAAGAGCTTGGAAGGTGTTTTCCAAGGAAAACCATCCTACGTTACTGAATTCAGTTGGAAGCAAGGGAAGTGATAGCAGTAGTGATAAGCAATTTAATACGGCCTCTTCAGCTTTCTGTTTGCATGGGAGTATATATACATTTAGTTGCATTTCATCTTCCAATGTTTCTAACTAAAACCATCATGAATCTACTAAGTTCACCCCTACACCATAATACCTTACACACCTTATACCATACCTCAGCAGTGGCCTTGGGTGTTTCTGAATAAAGTCTGGTGCAGGATAGATATAAAATGCTAGTAACTGCAAGAAGAAAAGGGAAAGTAGATGTAAAAACATGCAGGCTACATGCCGTGTCACAACCCTGTGGTCCAGCTTCTCAGACGGAGGTGCGAGTGCTTGAGACCCAGAGTTCTAGACTAGCACAGGCAACATAGCAAGACCCCATCTCTTAAGAAACTAAAACATGAACTTGGAGCAATGGAGGCAGTTAAGAATATGGGCTGTTCTAGAGAATGTGGGTTCAATTCCCAGCACCCACACGACAGCCCACTACTTCCTCCAAGTCCAGTCCCAGGGAATCCAACTCCCTCTTCTGACCTCTGTGGGCACCAAGCATGCACTTGGTACACAGATATACATGTAAATATACAAGTAAAACTAAGATACTTTGCTTTTCCCTATACTTCAATTTTATACACAGACATTTCCTTTTTCCCTTATCTAATGTCCATGAAATAAACAATTGCAAATACTAAATCTTAGGCATCTTTAAATACTTACATAGGAATTATATATCATTCTGTCCATTTTAGGTAATTTACTGTATGCCATCAAAGACCTTAAGCTTTAGGATATACCACAGTTTATCCTACAGATACTACAATTTAAAATTTCAAGAGTGGAAACTTAACCTCAAGAGAACATGAGAAAGTTAAAGAGATAGGACTTCCTGACCATGACAAAGGTGAGCACATTACTTAGTCATTTGGTATATCATCTGTGGGTTTTCTTCTTCGTTTCACCCAAAAAGATTAAGATTATGTGTCAGAAGCATGGCAGTTTATTTCTTAAGAGGAAACGTAGTTGTGTCGATGAGCTTGTCATGGAGTATGACATCCTTTGAATTTCTGTTTCTGTTGCCTCCTCCCATAGCTGTTTTAGGTGGACATCCCTCTATCCACACTGTCATGCCTACTAGAGATAGTTTCATTTGCGATTAGGGTTATTGCAAGGATGTGCATTTCCATCCATGGGGCTGTGTCTAATGGTGACCTCTGTAGCACTTGAGCAATGCCAGATCTTTCAACAGTTGTGGTCTCTTCACCACTCTTAAAGGAACAGGCAACATTACAAAATTAGTTCTCCTTCCCTTGGGAAGGAGCCCTTTCTGTCTGTATTTTGCTTAAAGAGTGGTGTTTTTGTTCCGATGATTTAAACTGGGAACTAAAAGGTAGTTTCCCTAAAGAACAGCATAGATTTAATTTTCATTTGAGAAGAAGAAAGAAAAAGTGATAGTCTAGTCTCTGACTTATCCTGTGTTCTTGTGTGACAGTGACCTTACCATCCAGACTCTGTAGGACTGAGGAACATGACTTCACAGCTCAAGTCTGCCCTAGCCAGAGCTCTGTCTCTGCCTGAAACTGGTTTATTTCCTGAAGTCTACTTCAACGTTTCCTAGGAGTTCTTGTTAGAGCACTTAGTTTGTAATCTTACCAAGTTAGTGTTCAGTTCAGTCACTTAATGGTGTAACTTTCAGGAGTTTTGGCCTTTCATTTGGGATCATTGATGTCAGTCATTGTTCTCTCTGTGTTGCCATTAGCAGTGGTGGCTCTCAGAGAATCACTCCCACTGTGGGAAGAGATCAACCTGAGATTGACCTGCCACTCCACAGTCACCACCTTTCATGGTTCTGACCCAGCTTTTAGGGTTGATCTCTTGATCTAAAATTTTGTCTAAAATAAACTGCTTGACTTCTTGTTTTCTGTCACTTTTGCTTGTCCCTTCATTCGTGTGTGTGTGTGTGTGTGTGTGTGTGTGTGTGTGTGTGTGTGTGTGTGTGTGTGTGTGTGTGTGTTGCACATGGCAGCCAGAACTCTGTATTGGGCATTCTCCTCTAGTGCTCTTCACCTTAGTCTCTCTAGAGCTCACCAGTTCAACCAGAGCAGTGGTTCTCAGCCTTCCTAATGCTGTGTATAGTTCCTCATGTCATGGTGACCCCAAAATTATTTTTTTGCTACTTCATTACTATAATTTTGCTACTGTTACATATATAATGTATCTGATATGTGACTCCTGACCCATAGGTTGAGAACCACTGGACTCCACTGTCTGGTCAGTTGGCGCCACAGATCCTCCTGTCCTTACCTCCCCAGGCTGAGATTACAAGAATTTGCCACGAGTTGTCCACTTCCATGTCCCATTCTCTATGTGGGAGCTGGGGATCAGGCTCAGGTCCTCATACTTGCATGGCAAGCATGTTACCCACTGAGCTAGCTCTCCAGTTCTACTTTTTACTTCTCCTGGCCAGTTCATGGGTAGAAAACTTGACTGTTAATGGTTTGGAGGGACAGCTATAAACAATTTGGTTGAGTAAAGAAACATTTGCATACCTATGCCCACTTTGATTATACATTAATTCTATCATAGCCCTTGGATTGTCCCTTTGTTTAGACATGAACTATTCATAGATCCAAGATAGACAGGGACAAACATGCTTGCTCTCTGGGAGGGGGCATTCAGGTCAGTCACAGCTCAGGGGTTTCTGGCCCTTGTTCCTGAAGTACATGGTGTCCAGCCGTAAGAACTTTCTCGGGGGAACACCAATGGCAACAGGAATGGCTGTATGTTTTGAGTGTCTCCTAGACAGTCCTGGCCAACAGCTCAAAAGAGGGGTTTGTCCTGTCTGGTGTTGGGTTAGGGTTAGATAGTCAAAAGAGGGGCTTGTCCTGTCTGGTGTTAGGTTTTTGTTAGATAGTCAAAAGAGGGGCTTGTCCTGTCTGGTGTTGGGTTTTTGTTAGATAGTCAAAAGAGGGGCTTGTCCTGTCTGGTGTTGGGTTTTTGTTAGATAGTCAAAAGAGGGGCTTGTCCTGTCTGGTGTTGGGTTTTTGTTAGATAGTCAAAAGAGGGGCTTGTCCTGTCTGGTGTTAGGTTTTTGTTAGATAGTCAAAAGAGGGGCTTGTCCTGTCTGGTGTTGGGTTTTTGTTAGATAGTCAAAAGAGGGGCTTGTCCTGTCTGGTGTTGGGTTTTTGTTAGATAGTCTTGAGTCTTGGAGGAAGCACTGTCAGTCCAAATGAAAAAAGTTCATTAAAAGCATGTATATATTAAAATTATACAAACTTATACACACACATATATATATTATAGTTTTTAAAAGGTAAATAGTTAAAATTCCTTGCAATTTTTCCTGACATCCTTATTAACCCTCCCCCTTCTGTATTTACCAACTTGTCTTAAGATCATCACTTTCCCCATTTCCCCATCAGATCACTTATACCCTCCCATTCCCCTCTCTATTGCTATTGCTTCCCAACCACCCTAAGCTGTCAGCAAACTCACCACACCCTGGAAAAGACTTAGGAGTGAGGACATGGGAAACATCCTTTCCAGTTACCACCTAGCAAATGTACAACTTGTACACCTTGGAAGAGGACTATGGATACATGTTTGTGTTTTCTTTAAAGACACAAGCCAAATTGAGTACTCTAGCCATAATCATGTTCTCAGGCAAACCTTTTCTTTGCCCGATGTTAGTTCCCCTGTGCTTAGTGTTGGTCTTGTTCAGTCAAGAAAAATACAGTTTGGCCATCAGTGGTAGTGATTTGCTTATCCAGCAGTCTGAGTGGTTAAGAGCTAGCTGCTGGGGAGAATACCTGAACCTATTACTCCCAGGTTCTAGATCCTTATACTTGACATTCGGCTCCCTGCCACATTTTCATTTACTGGAAAATAACATAAAGCATCGACTGCCCACCATTTATATTAACCACAGGAATGTACGTATTGCAATGTTGTCTAAGTAGGAGAGTTCAGCTGTGCCTAACCTCTGATCTAGAGAAACATCATTGAGTAAATCATTAAAGATAGGGTTGTGAAGCAACACATTGCTCTTAAACTGTGCCTTCTAGAGTTTTTATGAGTATTATCTTATCCTTTTACCACACCCTTCTGAATTAGGCATTGAGCTAAAGGTAGAAAGACTATGTGATCAAGGCCATGCAGGCCATTTCTCACCAAGGAGATAAACCAAGGACTCATTTCAAGAGTTAGAACTCAGGGTCCCTTGTCTTTTATAGCCTCTCTCCAGCTTACCAATCCCTGTGATTTCACTGTGCTTTGGTGGTAGAATTCAAGTATTTCTGCTTGATAAATAACTATTACAGGAAGGACTCCTGTTGAGCAGAATTAACATTTGATTTCAACATTACATAAAGTCAGGCAGATGATTGCAAAGTTTGTGATATATTTAGTCAGGTGTTAAGAACATAATATGATACATATTAATCACTGAACCAAAATACCTTGTTTTGCCCAGGTTAGATTGAGGAAATTGTCTCCAAGACAGAGTCTCTCTGCTCAGGGTTCACTGCTACTTGCCCAGGAAAGTTAGTGTGAGTGCTATATTTGGGCTCTGTTAAAGATGTAGGGTTACTCTAATAATGTCAAGTAAAGGTAGGACTAGGCTATTTAAAACAGACTGACACCATTTTTAAATGCCAAACATGAAAAATGCAGCAATATAATTATCAGAAAGTTAAGATTACCTCTAATAATTAAAAAACCAAACACTAAGACATTAAAAACCATCTAAATTTAGTTCCTCTTAAGAAACATTTTAGAGGGGAAAAATAAGTAATAATTTGGAGACACAGCCAAAAGTGATTTTATGGCTATAGTTATAAAGTTAGCCATTTGATAATAGCTGGACAAAGGTTAGTGTTAATGTGCAGGCTCTTGGCTCCAAGGACGCTACTGATGGGCTATCGCCTATGTGTCCACATTACCTATAAAACACATCAGATTCAGAGCCTTAAAACACATATCACTTGACATCCCCTACAGCTACTGTCTTCCAGCCTCTGTGCCTTTGTCCTGATGGTCATGAATTACGGATTCTCTGAGAAGTTTCTGTCTCAAGAAACAAAGGCAGATGGGGACGAAGATGTGTTAAGAGATAATGTGACTCTGAAAGACATACACAAAAATATTTTTTAAAAATTGGGGGGGTGGCAGAGCTGACAAGATGGCTCAGCTTATCAAAGTATTTGCCACCGAGCCTGATGACCTGAGTTTAATTGCAGGGACACACCTGTTTGGAAGGGCAAAACACACAAGTTTTGCTTCCTGACTTCTATATGTATGCTGTGGCACATGTTGTAATTAAAGATTTAGCTGGCAATAATAGTACACAACTGCAATCTCAACAGTGGAGGCTGGACAGTGGGGAGTAGCTTGAGGTTAGCCTCAGCTGCACAGACAGTTTCAGGTCCCCCTGGGAAACAAACAAAAACCTTGATTGCTTTTGCTGGCGTGTGCTACCACATCCACAAGCCAAGCACATAAAGGCAGAGGCAGGAGGATCAAAGAGGATTGATCCAAGTTCCAGGCTAGGCAGGACTGTATAGAGAGACCTTGTCCCAAAAGGGTACAGAGAAAACAAACTTATTTAAGCCCTACTTTTGTTCATTTTCTCAATGTACTGCTGTTCAGTCCCAGAATACAGATGAGGAAGCTAAAGTTTAAAGAGATGAGATAACTTTCCTGTAGCCCTGGAAATGTCAGAGTAGGAGTGGATGGAATTGGTTGTCATTGTCCTATCACTCCATTACCCGTGGGACCTGGGACGCAGGCTGCTGCAGGCTGTCTGCAGTGAGCTGTCCTATGGAGGCCTCCCTTGCCCAGGAGGTGAACGTCGAAAGATGGCACCAACATCTGTTCAGCACACGTGTGTGAAGCCACCCTCCATGTTCTGTTGTGTTTTCTATACCATCAAATAATAGTCTCCTAAAGGTCTGCAAACCAAAGGGACCAAGAAGGTGCATGGCAGAAGTTGTGTCAGACTCTGGGCTCCGCCCATGTAGACTCCATAAAGCTGTGCATCCAGAAGCACAGAGCAACTATGAAGCCCCTAGGCCGTCCCTGCAGGCCTGTGACGGTCTTGAGTCTAGTGTTGGCCTCTGCCACCACCTTGACTTTGGGGCTTAAGCTCTGAGAGTTTGTCCTAGAGAGCAGACAAACGCTTCACAGTTTGCAGAGCAGCTGTGTAACTGAAGTGTTGACTGCTGATGTCCTAGGGAATTTGGTGTAGGCTAGAGTGACGCTAAGACTTCCCGCCTTGCACCCATCAAAGCTGGTTCTTCACCATTCCTGTTTCTACTTCATATCTGCCTCCTCACTTAGGCTGTCAATCAGAACCTGCTTCTCATTCCACGGTGTAAGATACCCCAAACGCAAACAGTCTTACTGCTGTTTATGTCCTGCTCAGGATCACCATTAGTGGTTCTCCAGCCAGTTGTACTCCTGAGAAATCATCTCAAAGTCATTGAGTTCTCTAAATACTTCTAAGATGATGCCTGTAATGTAATGTGTCTGAATTTTTGTCAGTGTTAATAGACTTAAACTAGTGGTTATTTCAACATGGTTGCCTAGGCCTAAAGCAAAAGTGTAGGCTGGGTATACTTTATCCAAAATACTTGGGACCAAACACCTTCTGAATTTTGACTTTCTTTAGATTTTAGAATGTTTGCATATATTTAATGAGATATCTCAAGAGAGGCCCCAGCCTTATGTCAGAATGTATTTATGGTTCAGGCCCACTGTGTGCATACAGCCTTAAAGGAACCTTACACGGTGTCTTCAGTAATCTTGCATTTCACCATTGCATGTTGTGTCACCATGTTAGCACTTGAAAAGGTCCATATTTTGGGAGCATTACAGATTTTTGGATAAGAGTTGCTCTGTGTTGACCCTGTGGAGTTAATAATGTGGTCAGACTTTATTTTCAGTATTTCTTCTAAGATAATTACTTCTGGTTTTTAAAGTGTAAAAGTATGCAGTAGGGGTTTGGAATGCAGCTCAGTGGCGTGTACTTTTCCTAGCATGTGCCAGGCCGTCTTTGATATCCTAGCACCATAAAAACAAGCGTGAGAGATACCGACACTAAACATTCTGAGACTGTGGTCGACTGGCTTTATATTCTCACTATATTTCCCTTATTGAAGTAAAATAAATGATGGCCTTGAAAGTAAATGACTGTTTTGGCCAGAATGCCCTCTCTCTTTAAAATATAAATAGCATCTACTACAGTTCATATTATAGAAACCGTTCCTTGGAAATGCACATCCTAACTTCTTCTTTTTCTTTCTTTGTCTAGTGAGGATTCAGCAGAGGCATCGGCAATAGATTCTAACCATACATCGAAGCCCCCACTGGAGAAGTTTATGGTCAAACTGTGCACACACCACCAGAAGCAATTCATTCGTGTCCTGAGTGACCTGTACACTGAGTCTCAGCCAGGTACAGAGGACCTGCAGCCTTTGGATTCCACAGTGATGGATGTCTCCACCTGCAGTGAGGCTTGTGCCCAGCTTAGCAGCGGACAAAATGAACAGGATGATGTGTGTCTCGATGGGACATCTCCTGCTTCTGTAAATTTGTTCTTAGACTCGTCGGGTTCTCCTAGCTCCCTGAGTGTGACTGAACAAACCATGAAGGAATCACCTCCTGAGACAGACTCTGTAGAAGGAAGCGAGAATGCCTTGACTATTGTCCAGAAAGAGTCCTCTGAGCTCCCAGACACTCAGCCTCACTCTGGAAGGTCAGCAGACAGTCCCACTGTGGGATGTCTCAATGCATTGGACTCTTCCTCTTTTAACTCCCTCCACAGTTCCAAAAGTTTAGAGGGGCAAACCACTGGACAGGAGCAAGACACCAGTCTGAAAGCCTGTGAGGATGGTGAAGGCCATGCCCCAGCCTCAGTCAAGAGTCTTACTGCAGTGGAAGTGGCAGCTGCGAATACTGAAGAGGGTGGTAGCTGTATTGTTTCTCAAAGAAACTCATTCAAAGCTTTATCAGAAGAGACATGGGACTCAGGGTTTATGGGAAACTCATCTAGTTCTGCAGACAAAGAGAATGCTTTACAGTGTAGCTCAAAGACATCCTTACACCAGGGTTTAGAGGCAGATGAACAAGATGCAAGGCCAAAGCAAGAGAGCCATCTTCATTCACTAGGCAGAAACAAGGTGGGTTACCAGACATACCCCAATGACAAGGGCCATTTTGATCATTCCAAAGGAGATTGGTTAGCTTCTAGCCCCACGCCAGCTGTACACAGAGCAGCCAATGGTCACTCACGAACCAAGATGATGTCAGCTTCCATCAAGACTGCTCGGAAGAGTAGGAGGGCATCAGGCTTGAGGATAAATGATTATGACAACCAGTGTGATGTTGTTTATATCAGTCAACCAATAACAGAATGCCATTTTGAAAATCAAAGATCCATATTGTCTTCTCGGAAAACAGCCCGAAAGAGTACCCGGGGGTACTTTTTTAATGGTGATTGTTGCGAACTGCCAACTGTTCGCACCCTGGCCAGAAATTTACGCTCCCAAGAAAGGGGAAGCTGCTCACCGATAGCACCAGAGGCAGTGGTGACTTCCAAGCAGACTCTTACAGTTCCCACCTCAAAGCATACAGTAGATGTGCAACTTCCCACAGTAGGTGTGCAGCTTCCCACAGTAGATGAGCAGCTTCCCACAGTAGATGAGCAGCTTCCCACAGTAGATGAGCAGCTTCCCACAGTAGATGAGCAGGTTGTGGAAGAAGATACCTCTGACAATCCTAAGGAGGAAAGAACCTCCCTTGAGGAAGGAGGTGAACACTTGTCATCAGCAAAAGAGCCTCAGGAGCCCGAGGTTTGCCTTACCATGAATGAACAGGATCCTAACAGCTCCCCTAGTCAAGGAGAGGTCACAGCCTCCAGCCCAGCATGTCTTCTGCCTGCTCCCCTTCTTGATGAGGATATGCATGATGTTCCAGAAGACAGCGTTGTGGTCTCACCTCCCCCAGCGAGTGTATTACCTCTCCTTGACCAAGACCAGCCCCCAGCTTCTCCTCTAGGTTCAGAGGAAATGCATACACTCCAGGAGTGCCACCTGCCTCCCCCAGACAGAAGCACCTCCTTCATCTCCGGGGAAGACAGTGAAGACCTCCTATGTAGACGTCAGTCTTCTCAAACAGTCATCGGAGAAGAGCGTTCTCCGTGCTCAGAAAATGGAGGCTCTGATGTGGGTTTTGACCCTCCCCTAAGTCTAGAACTGTCTGAGCATGACCAAAGCATCGGTACTGAGGCTGAGACTGGAGACATCCTTAGGGAGACACTGTTGCTAGAAGCCGCCCTGCCCCTACTGGAAAGCAGCATCGTCAGTGATGAGAACCCAAAGGAGACTGAGGGAAGTGAGGCAGCAGGTGAGACAGGGCAGCTGGAGGTGCATGACAGCGATACAGAACACGCATCAGAAAATGCTCCGAGTGAGGCAAACTTTGACACAGCTGAAGAGAACGTGGACAAGAAGAAAAAGGGGAGAAAGCTCCCTGAGGCCTCTGACAGGTGCCTACGAAGTCAGCTTGCAGACTCACCCTCTGCTGACAGGTGTCCAGGAAGCCAAGGTTTGGATTCATCCACTGCCTGTCCTGAAGTGAAGGCTTCTAAAAATCCTCCTACTGTAAAGCGTTCTAAAAGAGAAGGGCACTCTGGTGGGACAACACCTGAGGGCTCGGTGATTGACAGTGTCCATACAGATGATCTGGAGGACATGGAAAACCCCACTGTCAGTGAATGTTCCTCTGATGACGATATCAAGCAGGAGGGTGAAGGAGCTGGAGTCACCACAAGGCAGACTCTTAAAAGCTTGCTGGCAAAGGAAGTTAAAAGAGAGGAAGGGGAGACTCCCCTAAGCAGTGACCTTGCCACCGTTGGCCAGCCACTGCTTGGGGAGAACCTGGGAATCAATGTCTGGTCCAAAATAGATGAGAGAGATGCACATGCACCCTCAGAAAGCATCCCTTGTAAGAGGGACCCAGAGCAAATGAAAGAGAAGCCAGGGCACATGGCCACACAGGATGTGGAGGCCGCTGTGGGTGAGGTGGGTGCTGAGGATGCCCACTCTAAAGATGATGCTGGCCTTGCTCCATCCAGCTTAGCTTCAGTATCAGCCAGTCAGAGTGGTGATGCTGCTGGGCCACCAAAACTGGTAACGAGGCCTAAAAGACTGCCTTCTTCAACCTACAACCTGAGACACGCTCACTGTGTGGACACCTTGGACACTACCAAAGTGACTCCTGAGAAGCGAGTCACGCAAGTCAACCCAGCCCCAAAGGAAAGCGAAGCTTCTGAGAGTGGGGAGCCCTTAGATGAGGACGATGCAGACACGGCGGTGGGGGAGCAGCCCAAGTTCATGGGGTGGTGTGCAGAGGAGGAGAACCAGGAGCTGATCGCCAACTTCAACGCCCAGTACCTGAGAGTTCAGAAGGGCTGGATCCAGCTGGAGAAAGAAGCTCAGGCGACAGCAAGAGCAAGGAGCAAATCCGACAAGCTGAAGGAGATTTGGAAGAGCAAGAAGAGGTCGCGGAAGTGCAGGGGTTCCCTGGAGGCGCAGAGGTTTTCACCTGTCCAGATGCTGTTCATGACAAACTTTAAACTGTCTAATATCTGTAAGTGGTTCTTAGAGACAACAGAAACTCGGTCTCTGGTCATTGTGAAGAAACTAAATACTCGTCTTCCGGGAGACATCCCCCTTGTTAAGCACCCTCTTCAGAAGTACCCTCCTTCCACCCTGTACCCCAGTTCACTGCAGGCAGAACGCTTGAAAAAACACTTAAAGAAATTCCCTGGAGCCATTCCTGCTAAGAATAATTGGAAAACACAGAAACTGTGGGCTAAACTGAGAGAGAATCATGGCCAGGTAGAACCAGAGGCTGGCAGTGACACCAGCCTGGGCCCTAGCAGTGAAGACAGCGCGGAGGAAGTCAGGGAAGGTGGAAATAGCCATCCTCCCACCAACTCGCCTACTCCAGCTAGCACCCGGATCCTTAGAAAGTATTCCAATATTCGAGGAAAGCTCAGAGCCCAGCGCCTGGACAGCTCCCTGGGTGGGGTTTCCGAAATTAAGCAGGGCCGAAAGAGCGTATGCATCAATCCCCTGATGTCCCCCAAGCTGGCCCTCCAGGTGGGTGCAGATGGGTTCCCGGTCAACCCCAAGAGGGCTGAAGGAAACAAGGGGAGAAGAGGGAAGCAGATGCCCGAGACCTTGCTCAAAGTGGAAGGCCAGAACAAGCGCAAACGAGCAGAAGGCTATGGCACTCAGGATGACAAGGACAAGGGGCCAGCAACAAAAGCCATCAGAGCCCTTTCTGCCAAGAAGCTGACTGCAAAGGACAGAGTCAGCCAACTCTCCAAGAAGATGACCTTGAAAGAGAATAAAGTGAGGATCTGTAAAAAGGCTCCTGGGAAGAGCTGCCCACCGTCCAGGAAAGAAAAAGAAAATGCAAACAAAAGACCTGGCCAACCTTCTGCAGCTTCCGAAGCACTGACAAAACCTGCAAAACAAAGGGGTGCAGGAGAAGCCTCACCAAAGCCCCCAAGAGCCAGAAGGAAGAGCAGGAAGCTGAGCAGTGGTAGGGGCCGAGCCAGACCCTTGGCAAAAAGCCCAGAGAACCGGGCTGCCCAGAGAAAGAGAAAGCTCAAGGCCAAACTGGACTCTTCCCAGGGCAAACGGAGGCGGTTAGATGCCAAGTGATAGCTTGGTGGCCCCTGAAGGAGAAACTGGTCTATAGAAGTAACCTTTTATTTTGCATTAACAAAATCTGCTTTTATAAGCTTGCCTAGCCTTTCACGTTACGGAGAACGCCAGTTACAGAGAACACCAGTTTGAGATGTCAGAAAATGCATCTCAGCCAGAGAAGAGAACTTGTAGAGAGTCCTTCTCCGTGGCTAAGGGAAGTTGTACATTCTATTCTGGTTGTTTCTTGGCTTTTAAACTTGGAACCAAGAAGTTTTTGTTTTAAGAAGTACAGTGCCTTATTTATCCTTTTTGTTTAGAATTTGACAGAAGCTAAGAAGAAGCTGATTTATGTGACTAAAGGCTTGTATTTTATACTTGACGCACAAGCACTTGCTCTGTCACTGAGGAGGCCACCGCCGCGCATGCATGAGCGAGTGAGGAGCCAGCAGCCGCTGCCTGTGCGCCTCTGGACAGGTGCACCTTGCAGACCGCAGCACAACTCCCCTCTCTGTCTTGTTTGGTTTTTATTTGAGTGATATTTGAAAGCTGAACCAAATCATTTCTATGGTTATGTGGAGAATGCAGGAGATTTATAATTATTATAAGAGATTGATATTTTTGTTTCCTTCTAAAACTCATGTTGTTTATCACCTCTTCATCTTTTTTTTAATCATTTCAGATCATGTTCTCTAATTTGTGTGCCCATGGAACAACAGATGTGCTAGAAACATGCCCCCTCCCCCAACCATGTTATGCTGACACTTGTCATCCTGCAGCTTGGGACCTTGCAAGCATGTAGTTCTGCTCTGTGAGGTCTGTGTTCTGTTTTACTGATTTTTTTTTGTGTACACTTTTGTCTTGTAGTTGTCATCTGATCATTAGGATGAGTGACTCTTTGTTTCCTTTCTTACACAAGTAGTGAAAGTCAAAGTGTTCTTTCCAGCAATAGGAAAGCTTAGCCTTGTGCGCATGCATCTAGGTGCGTCTGCAGGTGGTTGCCATCCCCAAGTGTCCACTGGTACTAGTTTCTCCCCCATGCAGTGTATCTGTAAAGTGAGTATTAGCAGTGGCCAGATGGCCAGTCCAGTGACTCCATGCACATCCCCAGTACCGCTTCCACATCAGGCTGGGGGAGCAGTGGCCTTGAAAGACGAGGGCACCCAGGCAGCTGAGAGAAGCTGCCCTGAATCTCAGTGGAGCCACACCCCCATGCACGGCTGAGTGAAGTCCAGCCGGGACCCTCTGATGTGAATATCCTCGCCTGGAGTAGGTGTCCAACCTAGTGGCTAAATGCTTACAGTGTTACTCCTCCCCATATGTCACTCTGTCCCATGGCTCAGAAATGAGAACTGCAATAATTGAAAGTGATGTTTGTTTGCCTTTCCTGGGTGGAGCCTAACACAGCCCCTTGGCTTTACGCAGTGCCTATGCTGTTGCTCCATTGGACCACTCAGCTAACCACCTGGTTGCTAAAGCCTCAGTCAGCTTTGACGCGTTCTGGCACCTAAATAGACTTGCATGGACAGCTGCTGCCCTGCTCTTACTAAGTTTCTACTTAGGTTGTTTCAGATCTTTTTAGATCAACCCAGAGGGCCTTCTTTTATATGCAAATCCTGATAAAACAGGCCTTCTACCTACTTTGCTATTGTTGAAGTTTGCTGCAGATAATGGAAACTTCTGCTGATTGGGTAGGACTGGGGAACTTCATCCATTTCACAGGTAGTGAGAGTTGGTTTCCTTTTTTAAAGTGCCACCTCTGTCCCATGAGCGTTCTCCCTCACTGCCTCCTCCTTCCCCTCCCTTGCTTTCCCCATTCCCCGTTGTTCTTATTATTATTATCCTTGACCCTGACCGTTCACAAGCTACCTATGGTGATGAGACTGCGGAGTGTGTGCTCGAAACTCCTCAGCATTAAGTTGCACAGAAGCATTAATATGTTTTGAGTGGGTTCGTTCAATATTTAAAAAGTGGTGTTAAGGCTTAAAAGAGCTTTTCCTGTAGTTGTCACTGGAAATTGTTGTTGTAGTGACTTAAAACAGCCAAGACTTACCAATGTGAGGTGTGTCACTGCCTGTACATATGAGGCACCTTTGGCTGCCTGGGGACTCCCCTGTAAGGTGCTGGGTTAGATTAGAAGGAGGAGTGAGTGGGAAGTTGGTGGGACACTTCCAGTTCCAAGTTTATAATTCATTCCATTGCTTTTCTGATTGTGTTTTCACTTTTAAAATCTCGCTTCGAGATAGTAGGTAGGCTGCATTTGAGGGAGCTGTGTGGAAGTGTTTGTTATATACCCATCTAATAGTGCAGTAGGCATCTTTAAAATCAGCTTACACTTAATAGTGGTGTCTACATTTATATAGATGGACACTCTACAAAATTAGGACATTTAAGGGTTTTTTTGTTGTTTCACATTTATTGAACTCATTTTTGCTGATTGGTTGATTTTGTTACTAGAAGAAGGAAAAAAAATCAATACTTGACAGTAGCTTTAGACCTTTCTACACCCATAACAGATGCTGGGAAATTGTCCCTTCAGCATCCCCATTTGGCTTTGACTCCATTCTCATTGTTTTCCTTCCTTCCTGTAGCCATTTTCAAATATAACTCTCCACTGTGTGTGTCCCACAGTTTGGATCCTAAGTCTGAAAGGCATCCTGCTCCTGGCCCTACACTCAGTAAAGTGGCTGTCCTAAAGCTGGAGCTGAAGTTGAAGCCACAGGACTTGTGTTCCCTCTGTTGAGCATCTGGAAGATGACCAAGATGAAGCTCTGTGTAGCTTCCCTAGTACGCAGCCTGCTTTGGGAACCCATTTTCTCTCCTGTTAAGCTCCTGGGATGGGCTTGCTGTCTTGCTGGGGTTCAGAGTCTTGCCCAGGTGCCTTCTCTGTTCTGGGAGTTCCCAGCATAGGAATGTTACCTGAGTCTATAGTGATCTGCAGTTGCTAGTTCCTGGAATTCCCTGGGCTTTGAAGTTTTTATTTTTTCATTGTTTGGTAGTGGTGGGCTTCTGTATTGAAGATTTTACACTGTCCTGTCTAAAGCACAGTCAAGCTGTGGGATTTGTGCCTCATTGCTCTAAAATGGTTTATAGAGAAGAGTCATTCGTTTTCCCCACAAACCCTCTGTGTGTCACCAGCACAGGTGACTTTCTCACTGTGCACTGAAGTCATCAGGAAGCATCACTTTACGACAGATGCTATAAATCAGAATTTGGCTGGTTTGCAGCCGTGGAATGGCTTCTGGAGTGAGGACACAGCTGTCACTCATTTATAGGCAGCATTTCTGTTGATTAGCAGACATAAGAGTCCCATAGGAAATGGCACCATGCTATATGATGCAAACTGGAGATGCCATGGTGTTGCCATTGGCAAGTCTGTGCTTGTAATAACACCACAAACAGACTGAATAACCCCAGAAGCCGTTCCGTAGCTGGAGAGCCACCTGCATCCCTTGGGTTGCAGGCCAGTCAGTGCCGGCCTCCTCTGAGCTTTCCTCTGAGCTGTGGGCTGGCTGCTCGTGTGTATAAATAAAGTTTTGTTGACACATAACCATGCTTCCTGATTGTCCATGGAGCAGACTAAATACTTGGAGAAGTGGCCACGAAACCCACAAAGCCTAAAATAGTTAATATCTATATCTTTGAAGAAGCCTGCTGACCCCTGCTTGAGAAAATAACCCCTTTTAGGAATAAATCTTCCCCATTCCTCTTCTGTCTCATATCCTTTGTCTCCCGTGCCCCCATCTCAGTTTTGTCTTAAACTCTTGCTGTAAGAGAGGCTTGTCACTGAGACAATTTCAGAATAACCCAATTCTAAACAAGCAGTGTCTCCCTTTAAGTCCCTCCCTCCAGCCCCACAGTGAGGCCACAATAGCCTGTAGACCAGAGTCCCAGAACAAGTTGCCTTTGGAGTTCTTAAATTATATGGACTGTCCCATGTCCCACTCTCATAGTTTCTAATCATAGAACTGACCCTAGCTTCAAGACTGTCTGTGTGAGATTAGCTGGGAGTGCTTCTATTGGACCTTGAGTTCTCAGCACCACACGTAGCTGTGGGAAAGTCTCCCAGTGCAGAGACAAAGTCTGTTGACAACCAAAGCACTCTTTACAATGTATCCACCATTGATCTGTTTTCAGTCACACACTTTCAAAACAGTTTTATTAAAGCACTAACAATAAAATGGTAGTTTTTGAACTGCTACAGAAAAGAATGAAAAAGAGTTAGAACATGTTTAACCTGGGTATGACCAAGGAGTTATGGGTTGCATCTTTACGTCAAATCCAGTCAGCTCTCAAAGTGTTAGTCCTCCCCTCCTCCCAAAATTCAAATAAAAGTTTCTACTCTGCTTTCCAGAATGAAGCTGAACATCATGTCAAAATTTTAACAAATGGAGATCATGGCTCCTAATTAGTGGGCAGTACAGAAATTGAACTCTGGGCCTGATGTAAGCAAGGCAGACATTCTACCAGTGAGCTACATCCCTTGCCCAGTTATCTTGAGTTCTTCCCTGTTGTTTTGTATTTTCTTGTGACTTATTCACTAAAATGCTAGAACACTTGAAATGTGAGGTCGCATCTATGTATGTATTCCCAAAGCAGTCCTCGTATCCACACAGCAGGTACTTTTCTCTATGCTTGCTCCCAAATCCTTTGCAAGGAACAGATACTTTTAAAAACTTAAAACCAGCAGAACTAGGAAACTAGCCTTTTGAGATGACTCTTGAAATAATTCAACTCTTGAAAATTCTGGAGAGTCGGTTACCTATAAGGGATGGATTGTAGGGCTAGCCATATTCAACTCTTGAAAATTCTGGAGAGTCGGTTACCTATAAGGGATGGATTGTAGGGCTAGCCATATTCAACTCTTGAAAATTCTGGAGAGTCGGTTACCTATAAGGGATGGATTGTAGGGCTAGCCACTTCGTTGGCAGCACCCCATTGTTTTGCACCCTGGTGAGCATTGTGCAGACTGTCTGTACTCAGGCTTTTTTCTTTGGATTTGAACCCATTGTCTCCTCCATGGGATCATCCTTTTCTGAATGTGAGGATGCTGTCTTTCAATGCTTTGGCCGTTCCTCTAGCAGACAGGCAATTGCACAGCATGTGTGCCAAGGAAGGAGCCCCTGAAGCTTTCACACCCTGTGGGTCTGTCCCCTTTGACAGGGTATGCAGTCTGTAAGCTGCTTGAAAGCATAGACTGCCTGCCAGAAACAGCATCCAGGTGCACATGGTATTAGAATACACCAGAGGTTGGATGAATAGACTTAACTGTTGAATTGGACAAGTGGAGATAACAAAACAATTAACAAACTATATGTGGTCCACACTATCTAGAATACTTACTGCCTGACCTTTTATGGCAGTGTACTGATCTTTGCAAAAGACGTTATCAAATTGTGGGGCAGTTGGGCACGTTTTCTCCGTGCATATAGGTCAGCCTTGCAACAGTCCTTTGGGTTTGGGGTATCTTGCTTGTCTGTCTCAGCACGTAGTTGTCTTTGTGCTGCATCATTCCTGTTAGTGCTTGTAAGGAAGAAAGAGATCATCTTGGCTCATCAGGTACTTGCTGATGAGTTGTGGATATACCATATTTACTAGGTACTAGTTTACAGTACGGTCTTGAAAAAAAATGCAGTCTCGTTGTGCGTCGCAGTGAACTTGACTGATAGAGACATTCCACCAGCAGTGCTTGGCATGTGCTGATCTCCAGTGGCTGAGCAGCCTGTAGTAGTGCCTCTCTTTGAAAGCATAGGAACTGGTAGTTTCACACCCACAGCCCTCCATTTCTCTTCTGCAGGTTTACAGTTCTCAAGTTTGGTCAATTCCTGTGAGTATAAGTGGCTGATCTTCACGTGTTTAAAACCTGAGTCCAGGCCACACATTTTTGACATGGCCTGTGTGCCGATGGCACCTCGTCCATGCACCAGCAGCTTTAGGCAGAACAAGGTCAGGGCCCTCTTGTCAGGCCTGAAGCAAATCCTCCATACCTCGCCTTTCCTCTTCCCTCCTGCCTATGCCACTGGCCCCCTTCTGGGCAGCATCTTCTCTGCCCCCCCCCCCCCAGTGCTTCTCTGAATGCATACATGTCACATGAGAAGATTCTTTCATTGCTAGATTCTCACAGTATTTAGTGGGTTGGGTCTGAATGCCATTTTCCCACTCCAGTTGGTACCATGATGTACATCTTGTGTTGTGTTGTAGTTAGAGCTGTATGTGGTGTTTGGAGGCATTTGTGGTAAAGATACTGTAAGAATAAGATTTGAATAATTTTGTATATTTATTCCACAGGTAGGGATTATTGCTAGAGCCACTGTATCTTAGGCTATTAATTTCACTAGTGGCTTCTTCATTCTTAGTAGTTCTAGGAGACTGCGTTAGTGACTGGTTTCAAATATATAAAGTACATATTTATACACAACCACTGTGGAATTTATTTTGCTGTGTAAATAGTGATATTTTCCTGTTCAAATGCTTCTATACAAAGTATTTATTTTAACAAAATCAATTAACTGGTGAAAGGGCTTTCCAAAAACTTTTTTCCATCTGTTCTCCCAGCTCCCCTGCTCAGCTGTCAACCCCCTAAGCATCAAGGTAAAGGCAGGAGGCCTTGGAACTCTTACTGTGTTTGGGTAGACACAACGCAGATTGGGAACCTTAACTCTGCTTCCACTGATGCTCCATCTCAGACCAAAGTGGGGCTTGAAGGGGTGTAACTTTGCTCAGCCCACTAGCAGGGCTTCCCCCGACAGCCCAACTCACTCATGCACCATTGGTCCATTCAGCTGTTCACTTCCATAGCCTGTGCAGGGAATTGACCTTGGTTGTAGTCCCATGGCAGGTAGCCTCATGCCTATGCAATGAGAAGAAACCACTGTGGTTACCAGTATGAGCCCCTAGCCTGGCTCTCAGAATATATGAGTCATCCTTTCATGCATCCATAGGAGACATGTCACCTTCTGCACACTGACAAAACTTGGGAACACCTTGGCTTTCCTCCTTACCCTTTCCCATCAAGTGTCTGTGCAGATGTAACCCTATCCTACCCATCTGTAACCCATGGTTCTAAAATGTATTCAGCTTTACTTCTCAGGAGTCCTGGTCTGCAATCCAGAGCACCCTAGATGTCATGGAATCAGTGAGTCATGGTTATGCATGGTCCTTTTCCCCGTGCCTCATCCATGGGCATCCCATCTGTCACCATGGCTACTAGGATGGCAGGATTAACCTGCAGCTCCAGGATTCTAGGGTGCTTGGAGACCAGGTATGTAGGGATTATTGTCATCTATTTGAACTGTAGCTTGCGTATTTCCTTTGGCCTCCCTTTGTCTTTTCTAAACAAGGAAGGCACTTGAACAGCAATGCTGGAGAATGTTTTTCTAAGATGCTGTTGTAAGCAAATCTGATTTTGAGATGAAATGTGAATGGGTAACTAGGTGCCAGGGAATTTAGCACTGAACTAGACAGTCAAAACTTTTAACCTTTGCAGAAATTAGTTTCTGTTCTCACCTAAATGTTCACAAGATGTAATGCTGTAAATAGTTTTCTAAGAATATTTATTACATGTGCTGTATACAGACTCATGTTCGGAGTGATGTTGGTTTGCATTGTATTGTAGAAGAATATATTTTGAGTTGTGGACTTCTTTCATAACACAGTTCACTCAAGGAGAAAGAAACAAAACCAGCAGGTTGAGAGCTGTTTGGGGCATTTGATCTGTAATGGACCATCCAATCCAAGCTTTAACTGCCCCTCTTCTCATCTGGTTGTGTTATATATTATATATAGATATATATAAACAGGTGTACAGTAAATTGGTCAGTGCCCGGGTCTGCAGAGCAGATTTCCAGGTGTTCTTTCTGATGTGTTTCCATAGCAATATGACCACAGGTGCTGACCAGTCCTGTTGTCTCAGAGGATCGGGTGGGGGACAGCTCTTGTGAAGCCTCTTGCCTTTCCTAAGAGGCTGCTTTACTTGAATTGTTGCTTCTATTTCTTCTTCACGCTCCCATTCACAAAACTATAGCATGTGTGGGAACTCTCCCAGCACCAGATACATCAAAAGTGGGCAAACCAATCAAAAGGTTAGCGATTTCCCAGGAAATAGTAAGTTTCCAGAACAGATGAGACAAAGCTCATTTGGCCATAGAATAAATGTAGGGAATTTTTACTCAAGAAACATATGTGGCCTATTATATTCCCCCTGCTCTGTCTGACTCACCTTTAGAAGTCAGCCTATGTCCTGCCTTCTGCCTCTATGCCTCAGCTCGAGATGTCCATGGTCCCTAGAGTCTGGTTGGGCTCTTAGTGTGTCCAGCTCTGTTGAGCAGCCTTTTCTTGTGACTGTCCTAAACTTAACGAAACAGAATACCCACACCCAGATAACGTTGTTGGAAGTGATGTAGCTTTTTAGGCTTTTGGAATATGTCTCTCTCCTTTTTATATATATATATATATATTTCTGATGGTGTTTGGGATTTTTCACTAGTGTTTTTTAGATTGAAGTGGGTGCATTAAGGTTAACTTTCCACTGTTGAGCCCAGAAGTGTGCAGAGGAAAGAACTCACCGTGCATTGTGTTGTTGGGGAGGTGACTACTATGGTGGGGGTGGGGGGAGGGTCTTGTAGATGATACAGAGGTGAAATAGAAATTCTGGCCAGAGGTTTCCTAAGTCTTTGATATTTTGTAATGAAAATCCCCACATTAGCCTCATTTAATCTCAATAATAGCCTGCTGTTTACCCTCAGGGAACAAGTGGTTTTCAAAATTAAGCTCCTCCAAGGTCCTGGCCAGTGCCTGTGTGTGCTGGTCATCTCTGATCTCATGGCATTATTTTCCCATATGCATTATGACATTAAGAAGTTCAACCCCACCCTGTATGAAAAGCACAGCCCTCAGTGCCCTGATTTAAGCTAGTGTTGAAGCCTTTGAGGGGCCTGGGGTCCTAGGAGACCATGCAATTTAACTGAAGCTCAGGTGTACATTGGATTTTTGCTTCTATTAGGCCACAACCCTTCAGAATGAGTTTAGGGCAGGGGCTATGGATCCAGCTCTGATTCAGGGAGCTGGTCTCCACCGTTCCTCAAGTTTTTATTGGTCCCTCCTGGTGGTGTTGCTGAGGTCAATCCTGTAGGTGTTTGGATGTGCTCCTTTCTGCTGTCTTGTGAGTCTTAGCCAGTGCTCCAGATGCCCAAGAGTGGGGCCACCAGAGGGTCCAGCCCCCCTGACCCCAGCATCTTCCCAACTAGTGGAGTGAGAAGAGTCTGCAGGAGGCCACCTGGCAGAGCAGCGTGCGCCTCTTGGGCCTGGATGCCCCTGTTAGTGAGTATAGGAAAGTACTGTGTCTTTAATGGACGAGAATTCAATGTATGCTGTGAATTTGTTGGTTTGAAACATTGAAAATTTTTCATTAGACAATGTTTACATACCTCACCTGAAGAACCTTTGAGAGTGTATATATGAAATTTAAAAATATATTGTTGCTTTAAAACAGTATGTATAGCTATAAAAGTTGGAGTTATTTTAACTTTGCGTATGTACCAAGTCTCTTAAATATTGAAATCTTGTAGACTTTTTGTGCTTCTGTGTTCTGCTTTTCCTGTTGGACCACATAGATAACTGTGTTCTTGTTATTGATGAAGGGGCCCCCACTGAAATCCACGCTTGAAGGATTTCCTGTGGTGGTTAAGATCTTCTGGCTTGGTTTTGGGGGGTGGGGTGTGGAGTTGGAGGACGTATGGGAGGGGTTACTCTAACATCAACATCTATTCTGTGAGCTTTCTCAAGGCGCTTACTTTATTGCAGCGTATTAAACTTCTTTGATATGAAAGTGTGTTTGTGTGATCACTGCAGAGGGCACAGAGAGGGCAGCACCGGCTCCTGCCCCATGGTACATGGCCCGAAGCAGGCTGTCTGCCCGGGCCTGCGTGTAAAGAAGCCTGCTGGGCACTACCCCAGACCCTGACTTCAGGGGACAGGAAATACAGTGGAAGCGTCAAGGGGTCCCAGGTGACAGGACAGGAAAGGTGCCAGTGTTCACCCTGGGGCTGAACAAGCCAGCCAGTGCTGTCCAGTCCTGTGACCCCTGCCGCAATGTGGCAGAACACAAACCATGCATTTGCCAGGGCTCTGCTGTGATCTGCCTCATTGGATCCTTTGTCTCTGCTGGAAGTGGATCTGTTCAAGGTCTCCCAGAGAACCAGTCCATCCACACGCAGTGAATACACATAGTGGCTGTCTAGCAGCCCCTAGTTTTGCATTAACACAGAGCTTGCACTTTTTCAACCTACAGATGTGTTTATTTAGCTCAGGATTTTTTTAAAAAGTTGGAAACTTAAGTTTTTCGTTTCAAAGATTGTGGTTTCTAGTTTTGTGGGGTTTGTTTGGTTGGGGGGTGTTGTCTGTTTTTGTTTAACCTGGCAAATTTAGCTCATGATGAGAACCAGCTGGCCCAAATAGATGTAAAAATGTTCTCCAGGTGCCAGGGTCTCAGGCAGTGAGTGTGTTTGTCCCTGTTGGCACCCGCTTTAATCAGAAGTGGCTGCAGAAATTATAGGCCAAGGAGCACTACCTACTTGTCTTCCTTCCTAGAGTTCACCTTCCCTTCTCTGCCCTGCTCTCTGATGGCCTCTATCCAAATCCCTAACTATTATGAAGGCACTGAAGTCATCACCCCTGTGCCCTTTCTGGGTGATCATGTGCCTTTGGAGTGGAGCTTGGTAACATCACTACGTTCTTAGGTTCTTAGTGTGAGATCAGTTCATGGCCCTAACATCAATAGAGGTCCTATTAGCTTTGGCTTCCTATCTGGGGGACCCAGCATCCCAGATGCTCAGATCCATATTTATCTCTCAAGAGAAGGGTTTCTGGTCTGGTGTGTGTCCTCCTCAATTCACTGGCCTCAGAATACATGCTGCTTTCTCATCTGTTGCCTGCATGCTCCAAACCCTTCAGGATCTGGTTAAATGTGTGAGTGACTCTGTAGATGTACGTGTAAGTGTCAGTGTCACTGTAAACACTTGGCAGCAGATGGAGGTGAGCAGGCTCCCCAGTCGGCACATGCCCCTTCTTCCTGGATGAACAGGCCTTGCCACATCAGGGTTAGCAGACAGCCTGCCTGTCATGACTAGCCAGTGTGGTAGCCCAGAGCTGGGAAGGTAAATGCTGCTAGCAGCAGACTCATTTTGGTGAAGAAAGAGACCAGGCAGTCAGGAAGTGAATCAATGTCATGTTCACATGGAAGACAAGGGACAATACTGACATAGTCTAAAACAATACTTCTGGGGAAAGGACACGTGTGGCTCCCTCAGGGACTGTTTTAAGCCAGTTTTAGGAATTGACCCAAACAAGACTACAGGAAACCCCCAAACAAAAAGTCACAGCTACATAGCATCTGAAAATCAAAAGATACTGGAGGTTGACTTTAACATATAAAAATACTATAACAAAATGAAATACAAATATATATTAGAATCTGTAAGTATTCTGTATAAAGAGATACTTTCATGGTTAGGCTAACAGCAGACAAAGAGGGAACAAAGCCGATCTTTTCCATTTCTTAACGATGTCACTGGGCCGTGAGCAGTGCCAGCTCCTGGAGGACTTGCCCTGCTGGGTCTCTTCTGTGCATGTCTAATGGAAACAGCCAGTGGTGACCACAAAGCAAACTGAAGGTCTTTACCAAAGGGGAGCACAGTGTGGAGATGATTCTCAAAGGGCAGGCCTCGTAGTCACCGGCTTGCAAGGAAGCGACGGAATCACAGGTAAAGATGAGCCGGGGCTCGTGGCTCCCTCGCCATGGGTGCCCTCACTTTGCAATGAGTCTTGATCCTCAGATTGAACAGAAAACTGGAGGGGGGCAGAGGTGGGAGGTGGAAGGGCCTTTCATGTTCACAAGGATCTCTGCAAACCATAGCAGCAACTCTCACTCTCCACCCCAGACCTTGGAGAAAGGTGGCATCACTTGACGGCGGGGCCTCACCTCCAGCAGTGTGAGCAAACCTGCCAGCCCATGCCTCTCAAGCCCGGGAATCGGCCTTTCCAGTGATGGGCTGGGGATGGTAACCTCCATAGGGCTGAGGAGGCCTGAACACCTATTTCTAGAAGGGAACATGATGCTACATGCTTAAGCTTTTCTTCTCTGTGGAACCTGGTGTAGCTGCTTGCCAGGGTCCCACAGTGGCCTGGAAAGTTGTAGTAAGAGAAAGACACTGGGCAGAGTTGGGGAAAGCCCCTCAGAGGCCTGAGCCTCTGCCCTCTTGGGGAGTTGCCGATCTATGCTCGGGGCCTAGAAACTGTGCCTCCCCCACCGCCAGCAAAAGGTGTACCCAGTCATGAGGACACGGACCAGTCGGTCAGGGCAGGGCTCTCTTTCCACCCCAGAGTCTCGCTAGCCTGAGAGCCAAGTTCTAAAGTCACGGGAGGCTAGTGTCCTCACCAGCGCTGAATGCTCCTCTTGGTGCCCACGTGGGCGGGGACACGGGTATAAGACCATTCCATGCTCTGTATCTACACTTCCAAATGGAAGCAGCCAATAGAGGGACATGCTCACACCTCTGACCCACAAAGACACCCCGCCCCACCCCACCACACAGACCCGGGCTACACCGCCTCAGGGAGAAGTGAGGAAGTATAACACTCTCCCTTCAGCAGCCCCATTAGGATCAAACCTCATCTTTCTACCTTTCACTCTGCTTGGAAGAGAAGTGTTTGTGTCAGCCCGCCATGTATCTGTGGCTTCAAGCAGCCGTCACTGCAGACCCTTGGAGTGAGGAGCTGCAGCCTGGCCATTTGGGGCACTCCGTGGTGCTTAGGAATTAGTTCACAAGGTTGCACCCCCATGGAACTCACACCGGGTTAGGTACATGAATACCTGCTAATTGAAGTTAATGCGAATGAATCTTCTAACTCCTCAGGCCTCCCTCCTGAGACCAGAGAGGCAGTGTCTACATGGTTCCCATCAACCTCCCTGCTTCACAGCTGAAGACCTAGGGCCGGGAATGGGCAGGAGTCTGCCCAGAGCCACAAGGTCATATGGCCTCGGTACAAAGCTCCAAGCCAGGCCTCCAGCTGAGGAGTCCCTGGCCTCACCCAGCTGCTCCTCACACCCTAGCCCTCCCCTGCCAGAGGCACCAACAGCCTTTGGCTAGGGCCCATGCCTCTTTTGTAGCCAGCGATGCTGTTCGGCTAGAGACAAGAACCCCTTGACCTCTGTCATCCCAAGCTAAGAACCCCTCATAGAAGTTATCATGGTCACTTCATGGATTCAGAGGCCTGGACCTCCTCCAACCCCACCCCAACCCGACCTCTTTCCCAAGATGTGGAGGCAGTGAGCCACATGACTCAGTTCCTTCCCCATGCCAGGAGGCCTGCTTCTGGAGAGTGACCTGCTGCCCTGCCAGTGGATGTGGCTGCAGAAGGCAGGCCAGAACCCGGGAGGTGGCTGTCCTCAGAGGGGCCAGAACAACTGGGCCATTAACGCTGTTTCAGTCCAGCCGGGGTCACAGACCAAGGGAGAAGCAAGTGGAGCAGGGTTAAGTCCCCCTTTTCCAGTCCCAGGTAGCGAGGAGAGGAGTGCCAGCATTCTGCCTCGCTCGGTGGCCTGACCTCACACACACATTCATTCAACAAATATTTATTAAGCGCCTATCTGTGCAAGGCACTTTGGGAGAGGGCGCGGCGGTTCAGGCCTTGCTTGCTCCTCTGCCCCGGCAGTGCAGTCTGCTGGAAAGGCAGCTTCAGTGTCCCGGCGCTCACCAGGACCCAGGCGCCATCCTGGTGATGCCCGCACCTCAGCCCAGCTGCTAGTACGCCACCTGAACATTATGCACACTGGGCACAGCCGCACTTGGTGGGCTTCTCCACCTCCTCAGCAAACGAAGACCCGTCGCTGCACTCGAAGCTGAGCTTCCTCCGCTTCAGCCGTAGGCCCTGGCAGCAGCCCTGGCCTGGGCACGTGCCCCGGCATTCCACCCACGACAGCGAGCGCGTGGTCTGGCAGATGGCATAGCCCCTCTGGACCCGGTGAAAGTCCCGGACAGGGTCCCCCCGGCACTCGGACTCTGGATGGGACAGATACCAAGAGAGAGCCTCAGAGCACACCGTAGGAAGCAGGAGGGAGACTGGGCAGCATCCTAGGAGGGCTCCGCTGGAAGGATTCTCTCATCCCTCTGTCCTGAGCATCCTCTCCCGTTTCTGCATGCACCTACGCTCAGCTTCATCCTGGGCCGGCAGTGTGACTGGAGAAGGAGGAAGCCACTAGCTGCCCAGACCCTCCAGGCCACAGTGGCTGCCAGTTGAGGGGGTTCCTGCTCTGCAGATGTGTAAGAACTGGGGGTGACAGCGTTGTAGAAACATTCCTCAATGGAGAGGATGACCCACTGACCCTGTGGTGCTCAAGGCTAAATTTCTCCCTCTTCCCAGCCTCTGCAGTCTGGAGTCTAGCCAAAGTGTCTTGGTGAAAAGGCCCATGGAAAGCCTGGGAAGAAATCCCCCAACCTTCAGACATCCTGCTACACCTACGTCCAAAGCTGATAGAGCAAAAGGCTCTTCTGGCTAGGAGCTGTTCCTGGGTGTGCCTGGATGGTCTCTTCATGGAGAGACCTTAGCCAAGAAGGGCAGAGCCCTGGAAAAGGGAACGGCAAGGCAGGCTGGGCCCAGGAGGTGGAAATGGCGGAGATCTGTGCCAAGAGGATGGGCACAAAACCCCAGTGGTCCCCATGTACCAGAGGGGAGGGAAGAAGGAGGAGGATGGGAGGGCTAGTTTGAGGGTGACAACATGAAGCTCCTACAGCAGAGTGGCGGGGAGGGTCTCTGCAGAGGACAGTCAGGAGGGGGCCCCCTGACCTTGCTCACACAGCTCGCCTGAAAAGCCCGGGTTGCACACACAGTGTGCCCCTTTGGTGGCCGAGGCCTGGCAGTGGCCATGCAGGCACTGTAAGCCCCCACAGGGCTCTGCCACAGCCCCGACCTGGTTGCACAGAGCCCCTGAGTACCCATCCTGGCACTGGCAGCTGTAGGCAAGGGCATCAAGGGGCACACATTTCCCATGGACACACCTGGAAGAGACAAGAAGAGACCTGTGAGAACAGGCCAGCCCATGAACCAGCCACATGCTGTCCCACCCCCACCCCCCCCCCCCCGTAGCCTTGCATGTGGTTTTGTTCCCAAGGTTTAAAGGGGCAGGGACCAAGATGTAATTCTCTGCTTGTCCTTTTCCAGTTAGTAAGGGCTTAAAGTCAAGTAATAAAATAATAATAATGATGATAATAATATCTTGTGTCAGGCCACATGCTCCAATTTAAGAGTTAAAAACACAGCTGGTGAGACAGTGCTAGCCATAAACAAATGCACTTGCAGAAAAAGGAAGGACAGATGGGGGTGATGGCCCTCTTGGTCCATCCCAGGCTTACTTGTGGCCATGGCAGGGGCCATCCACTGGCTGGTCACAGTGCAGGCCCCCCCAGCCAGCCTCACAGTGGCACACAGGCCCTGGGGTGGCATTGGGCTGGCAGATGCCATGCAGGCAGTAGAGCTTTCGGCAGGGCTCACAGCCAGGCACCACGCCTGGCTTCATCTGTGTCTTGGTGAAGTCCTGCAATTCGTTATTGATGTACAGATTCCGGATGCAACCGTGGAAGCTGGTGCCATTGAGGATCTGCCAGAGGCGGAAGGCAGCTGAGTTCACATCCACAGGCATCCCTGAAGTGACAGGAAGAAACAGTAGCCTGCATTGGGGTTGAGTCATGCCTGCTGGACAGCTCTGCAGTGTCTCCTCTTGCCCTTGGGCTCTGTCCTATCTCTGCAGAGGCCTCTTGCCACCCTGGAGGATCAGACTCCTTTCCAGGAAGATGTAGAAAGTCTACTTCCTCTGGGACCCCAGAGATGAGAATCAGACCAGCATAGCCAGCTGACCAGCTAGACTCTGGGATGCCTGTTCCCTAAGTCTAACTATCTCACCCTGGGACTCCTTTCTCCCCTCTGGGGCATCTGCTTTCATTCCTGGAGACCCCAGTCGAAGCAAAGAACTCATGTGCAGGGCACTTTGACACCTGCTTTTGTGTTAGTGGCTTCAAAGCAACTTCAAGGCAGAGGCTGCCTGGCCCTGTCTAAAATGTTCAAGAGCTCATCTGAAAGCCTCAACTAGTAGGAACAGAGCCTCACTCCCCAGGCTGAGACAAAATGAGAATGGTTGCAGTTAGTGGACAGTGGCTTCCTGGCCTGCAGCATCTGCAGGTCCACTGGGGGGGGTCCTCCAGCTGGTGTTGGACTCTGTTGCTGAGTCTACTAAGTGTTTCTGGTCTCTGGGGGGTTCCAAGACTAGAATTGGATCCCAAACATGGGAGAGTCCTTCTGGTCCAGATCCAAGAAGGGTACCTGCAGTATGGCGGTAACTGGGAAGGACCCATCCCTCCCCAGGCCTGTTATTCATCCCTTTTGGTTAGTCTGGGTTGACCAGAATGCAGATAGAGGCTGTTCGGGGCAGCACAAACCACCAGATTAACCATTCAATAGGACCACCTCATCCTTTGGCATCTCCCCAGCCATAGCAAAGCTCTTCTGGCCAGCCTCAGACGAGAAAGCACAGGAGGTCCCTGCCTGGAGACAGTCACCACAGCTAGGTGAGAGGCTTGAAGAGGGAGCTGTAGCTCTGTCTGTCCTCACCTCCCACATAGAGGGGGGCCTCGCTGTTGAGCGTGTAGTGCTTGCCGAAGTTGTCCATGGTCATGGGGCTGCCGCCATCGATGGAGAGGTTCACCATTTGGTCGAAGGTAACCAGCTCAACAGTGTGGAACTGCCCGTCGTTGATTGTCTCAGCGCTGGAAGGAGATGGGAGGGGTACCCCCACCCAGGGAGTGAGCCTCAGGAAGACACCAGCTAGGCACATCAACCCAGCCACTGCTCCCCAAGGAGACAAACCTCTCAAGGGGACTTAGCGGACTTTGGCCTGATGCCTCCTGTTTCCCCTTCCTGAGGCCCAGGGGAGACTGGGACATTTGGAAGTGAGCTTCTTCCCCAACCTAGGGGCTGCCTCTGAGGTGAGGTGAGATGGGGAAAAGTCGGGGCCAAGGAGCCTCAGCTCCAAGTGGGATGGACTCAGGAGACCAAAGGGCCTTTCGTCTTGGCCAGCTGAGTTTCTGTAGTTCCAACAACCACCTGTTCTTAGCCCTGGATCCCCACCACCTGGCATGCCCACCCAAGGAAGGCTGACAGCCTGAGGAATTCCTACCTGTAGATAGCAGAGCTGGGGTAGCTGCCTGGGTCATAGCTAACACGGACATGGCCTTGGTACAGCTCAACTGCGATGTGGTCATTATCCCCATTGTACAGGAGGATCCCATTGTCCTCTGCTGTAGATACCTGAGAGGCAAAGGCACCTGCTCTCCCATGCCACCCCTCGCAGAAGCAGCACAGGCAGGCGCGTGAACAGAGGGGACGTAATGCTGGAAGGGTGATGTCATATTAAAACCATTCTCTCCCCTCTCCTCTTCCTGACCAGATACCCCTCCTTCAGAGATGCTGACCTAGGCCAGTAGTCACAGGTTCACTTGTCATTCACTGCAGACCAGCCAGCACTGGACAGCTAGAGACTGGCTGGGTCCTGGGAAGCATTTGCCTAAGAACAGGTAAAAGGCCAGTTCCCCAGTGGGAAATAAGCAGTCCACAGCCACCACAGTATGGTATGGGAGCCCCCTCTGAGCCAGGAGGAACTGGCTGCAGAGGGGGAACTAGAGAGGAAGCACATGGAAGGTTCTCCCTGCTAGAGCCCTTTAATGCTGCAGCATGTGCTAGGGAACAAGGTCATGTTTGGAGATGCGGGTATTTGGGAGAGAGGTCCCCACGGCTGTGGGAAGCACAGTTGTTTCCTTCTGTCTAGCTCCTCCTCCCTGAATCCTCCCGGTAAATACTCTGATGCCCTTGACTATAGAGTAGGCACGTGGACCAAGGCTACGGAAATCACACTTGCTCATTTCCTGGGACCCAGTGATTGGTCAAGGAATCAGTATGTAACAAAATCAGCCAATCAGAGAGCTTCCTTGAGACCACTGATTGTTGAATGCAGGCAAAGAAGAGCCCCTTGATGATGTGTGACAGTGAGGCCTCCTGAAGATGCTAGAATGACCCGAGCTGCAGCTGGGACCCCGGGACTGGGGCCTGGACTGAGGCTGAGGCTGGGCTGGGCTGGGGCCTGGGCTGGTGAGTTTTGCCTCCAGCGGATAAGCTGCTGCTGTCTTGCTGAGGACAGTGTGAGAGGAGAGAACTGGGCCTGTCTGAGGGGCTCAGGAAGAAAAGGAAGAAAGGAAAGGAGAGATGATTGGGCACGTGTGGCCAAGAATGGAATTTGAGGCAGAGGGGTCAAGAGTTTCCATTCTCCTGGGCAAAATGCAGTATAATCTGCCCCCATCTCTTCCTCTGGAACATATTCAGCAAAATAGAAAGGTTTTTCATCATTTGTTGAAGTAGAACCTGGTTTTTCCCCTCGACATGATGATGGTCTAAGATGATACTGAAGGAACAAAAAGGGCATTTAGGAGGCTCCCAAAAGTATTGGTTAAAGACAAGCCCAGATTCATTCTGGCCACATGGAGCAAGCCTGTCTGCTGCATTGGAGGCCAGAGCTGAGCAGAACGCGTGATAAAAGCCTGTGGACAAGGCCTCTGGCAAGTTTGTTTTCTGGATACTGTCACTGCGCAGCTGTCCCTGAGATGACTCAGAACCTTTCCGTGGCACTCAGGCCGACTCATCCTGACTGGAGGAGAACAGCCATTCACACAGACTCCTGTGGGCAAGGGTGTACCCTCACATTCTGACGAGCCCAGGTGCCCTGCTCCATGACTCCCTGTGAGTGACCAGGTCCCAGGGCACACACCTGAAGAGTGATATTGGCTCGAGGCCAGTTCTGTAGGTCAGTGAACTGCAGGTAAGTGTCTCGGTCCACAAAGTTGACACTGAGCAATTTCTCACATTCGGGGCCACCGAAGCCTGGCAGGCACTGGCATACAGGTCGGCTGCCCTGGTCTACACAGTTGGCCCCATTCTGGCACTCAGTCCCTTCACAGGGGCTCCTGGGGGCAGGTGGAATCTCACAGAGCTGTCCACTGAAAGAAAAGACACAGGTCAGAGAGGGTGGGGCCGAATGAAGGGGGGGGAGCTCTCCCACTGTGCAGGTCAGAGACTCTCTAGCTACCCCAGGAAAGTGAACCCTTAAAGTGACAGGAGATGTCCTCGGAGGACGTTGAGTTCCAGCAGCATCACCTGGCACTTCCCGGAAACCCCACCTGAGCCACTTTCTAACAAGATCTCAGGTGGTTAGCGTGTGCATTGAAGCTGAAGATTTACTCCCTCCCTCCCCAGGCCAATAACTCTGCAGGACAGGTTTTACAGTACAGACGAGAAAGCTCAAACTTAAAATACAAGCAGTGGTGATGGAGGTGGTGGTTAAGAGGCACTGAATTACAAAAGCCAGAAATAAAGAAGGTGCATTACTACCAGACTTACAGCAATAAAAACAGCTAATGGGTATGTGGCAGGAGACAGAGCATTTGTCTAATGTGCACAAGGCCTGGGATTCTAATAACTCCAACTCAAGAGGCAGGGGAGACTTAGAAGGCCATATATGTACAACTGTGTGCTGGCTACTTGAATAGCATAGCTAAAATCGCCCAATTTTTAGAAACAAAAACTTGCCACATTGACTCAAGAATATAAATAATCCATGCTAAAAAAAAAAAAAAACTAGTGAGGAAATTGAACTAGTGACCAGAAAATTCCCCAGGCCTAAAAATTTTCACCGATGAATCCTATCAAACACTTAAAAATAATTAATACTCGTTTTCCCACAAGTCCTTCTGAGAAGTAGACAATAAAGAAATATGTCCTGATTCTGAGACCCTGAAGATACTGCAAGAAAAAATAAAATAGAGGCCGATATCTCTAAGGGACATAGGCAAAAGTCCTCAGCAAAATCGCATCAAATCATGGTATAGAAACATTGTTATATACCATGACCATTTAAGTTTTAACCCAGAAGCAAGGTTGGTTTACCATCTGAAATCAATGTAGAACACCATGGTAACATATTTAAAAAATCAAACAAACTTCAACCAAGTAGAAGCAGAAGGGAAGTCTATCAGCTTAGTGAAAAACAGTCAGAAACACACACAGCCAGCGTCACAGCTGATGGGCAGAGGTTGGATGTTGCACTGCATAAACAGAAAGAAGCCAAGAGTGTCTGCTCTCAGAAGCTTCCTGTAGCACTACACTGCAGGGTCTGTCCAGAGCAGCTAGGACAGAAAGGGGTTAAACATGCATCTATATTGAAAAAGAAGAAGAAATAGTATCTATTTGTGGATGGGATCCTGTAGGAGAAAATCCCAAGAAATCTATTAAATGCTCTTAGAACTAATTAAAGAATTCAGCCTGATTTACAAAATCAATGCACACACCACAATGACACTAAGAAATCAATTCCAGGAGGTTGGAGAGATGGCTCAGTGGCTAAGAGAGCTTGTTGCTCTTGCAGAGGTCCTGAGTTCGATTCCCAGAAACTACACGGAGGCTCACAAGCACTGATACCTAAGTCCCACCAGATCTGATGCTCACTTCTGACTTCTTTAGCTACTTCATGCATTGGGTGCACACATAAACATGCAGGCAAACGCTTGTACACATAAGTAAAAGAAACAAATCTTTAAAAAATAAACTCTATTCGCAGTATCATTTAGAAGAACTAAAATTAGGAAACAAATTTCAAAATTAAGTATGAGGAGCTAGAGAGATCGCTCAGTGGTTAACAGCACTGGCTGCTCTTCCAGAGGACCCATGTTGGATTCTCAGCACCCACATGGTGGCTCACAATCACCTGTAACTTTAGCCTCAGGGGACCTGACACCCTCTTTTGGCCTCTGAAAGCACCAGGCACACACTTGGTACACAGACATACCTGCAGGCAAAACACCCATACACATAAAATAGTAATTAAAAATGGTTAAAAGTAAGTGTGAAGCATCTACTTTTAAAAATGACAAAATGATTGTTGAAAGAAGCTAAAGTACATTTACATATGCAGAAAGGCAATTCATGCTCAAGAATGGGAAAATCCAATATTGTTTTGTTAAAATGCCACTGATCCCTACACTGCTCTATAAAGTCAATAATGCTTCCACCAAAATCCCAAATTACCTTTTTTTTTTTTTTGCAAAACTTACAGGCCTTAGAGTTTTCACAAGAAAGCCAAGACAAATAAGATGAAGGGAAAAAATATTTTCAACAAATAGTGCTGGGACAACTGGATACCCATATCCAGAAGCGTGATTTTAAACTCCTTCACTATTCCCATGTTCTGCCTTTAAACAAACAGGTTTAGAACCCTGTGCCTAAGTTCTAAGCGGCTGTTTGGCTCTCCCAAGTTTGCATAGTTGGGACTGGTAGAGCCACGCCTAAAACTCCAGCACTCAGCTCCCACAATGGGATTGTCACTCACCCATGTCCCAAAAGGACCCTTGCCAGTCCCACCTGAGGCAGGGGAATTGCTCACAGCGTGGCGAGAGGCTCACCTGTAGCCCCCAGCACAGAGGCAGGCGTAGCTGTTGACGTCATCCACACACTGGGCGCCGTTCTGACAGCGGTGGTCCCTGCAGTCGTCTTGATTTTCGCTGCAGTTGTCACCCGTGAAACCTGGCACACACTCACACCTATGGTGGACAGGGAAAGGGTCAGCCAGCATTCAGCCTAGGGCTCAATGGTCAGGACTGTGCAGCCTGTGTGACAAAGGATCTCCACAGGGTCTCTTCTACTAAGAGAAGAGCTCTGTGGGTGTGGGGGAGCCAGGGCTAGGAGAGTGAATGCCTGGCAGCAAGAGGAGGCAATTATCCTGTCTTAGATGCCCACTGTCACTACCAACTACACCTTCAAGGTCAGCCTCGGGCCCATTCTTGACCTGCCCTGCTGCACGGTCTCCTAGAACCCACCCCATCACGGAATCCCATGCTCCACAGATTGGCTGTTCCTCTAGGCTCAGCCTCTACAACTTTGCTGGGCCCAGATTCCCACCCTTCGGCAAAGACTTGTGCCCACCCTCAGTGAGGACCTTGACCCAGACCAGCCCCCAATTTCCAGGCCTGGGTGAGTCCAAACCCTTCAGGCTAACCCTCCATCTAAACATAAAGCACACATCCCACTTACCCCCAGAACATCTGCTGCTCTCCACACACCAAGTCCATCCACCAGGCACATCCCTGCCTTTGTCCTTGTTAACTTAGAACACCTCTGCTCTTCCCCTGAGTGGTCCAATCAGGCCACTTCCTCTCCTTTCCCAGGAAGCTTCCAGGAAACACTTTAGCTCTCATCAAGCCATTCATCTGAACCCCTGCCATCTCCAAATCCCATGGAAGCGGACTGCATGCATTCTTACTTGGGGTTGTTTTTTTATTTCAAACTCCATGTCTCTCAGGCTGTAAGGGACGTCTCCCAGCCCAATATACATATGCATATGTACAGAAGCAGTTGGGTGTGTGTCTCAGCCACATAAAATGGCACACTGTTTTCTGGCATTTCCTGTCTTCTCTTTATTAAAGATTTATTAAAGGATGTTAATTTTGACCTACCCGATTGATCACCACCCACAAATGGGTTACAACCTGAGAGAATGTTGTCATTTGTTCACTCTCTTGCTGAGTCCAGCACAATGGCAGGCACAGCTGGCCATCCCTCCCTTCCATGCCCCACCAGAACAGGAAGTGGGGAGCACACGCATCACACAGTCTGGTGGCGGTAGCTGGGCCCAGGGCTGAACATGGAGCCCATCTACTGAGGGTGAAGGGTGACACAGCAGTCCCGTGCCAGCCCGTGCAGTCCGGCTTCACCTCGCCCCGTAGCTGCCTCACTGGGGGGAGGGACTCTTCCACAAGTGTGCCGCTGCTCCCTGGCTGGCTCTGCTGTCCCCACTCCCATCCCTGTGACCTAGAAGCAGTGATGCCTCTCTCGGTTTCACAGAGGCCTTGCTGCAGTATAGTGCCCATGTTTTGTTGGGTCCCAGCAGTCCCTTGGCACTACTGGCTACACAGCAGACTCCTTTAGGTCTCTACCCCTGGCCTTAGCTCCCATTCCTGAACTTGGGTCTTTCTGCCACAGACCACAGGAAGTCCTAGCCTGACAATTCTTTGTTGACTCCGTGGATGGGAGGGAGGGAGTTCTAGGGATGAAGCTGTGTTTTAGTGACATTTTCAAAATCTCCTTCAACCCTCATCCAGCAGTCTCCATGTGACAAGCCCTTCTACATAATCCAGTTAATATGATGACTGCTCGTGCTGGGACTGGACAGGTTTTGGAATTCAGAGCTTTGTGACCACAATTAGGCCATAGACTGAATATAAGTGAGCATATCTGGAGGTTGCCAAGGGAACTGGAGACAGCCCAGTAAACAGATAAGTCTACACTCCAGCAGAACCTACCCATATCCACCCTTCAAAGAGAAGTGGCAAGTGTGCCAGCCTTCCAAACTTTCTTTCAGGTAAGACTTTGTTCTGGAAGGACTCTAATTCTGTGAGCTTTGTGGCTTTTGCGATTGGGTGGGAGAGGTCATGGTGTTGGTATTCAGGCATTATGCTGGCTGCCCCTGTCACCTGGCAGAATGCACTCAGGCAGAATTCTGGTCAGCTCAGGGTTCCATGAGTACTAGTCTGCACACAGGTGCAAAGGACCCCTTTAAAAGAAAGACCTCCGCCTACTTCTGCTCTCTTTCCTCTCTCTTTCCAGTGGTTCTTCTCTCTCTCTCCCCTCAGCTCTCTCCCCGCTGTTCCCATGGGGCAGACAGGACTTTTCCTGTGTCCCTCCTCTTCTCTTCTGTCCTCTCTCTGTCTCTTTACCTCTTTCCTTCCCCTCTCCCCTTTCTAATAAAACTTCTCACTTATGCTCTGTCTGCTTGGTGTGCTTGTCCCCCGGCCCCCCCCCGTCGCCTGGGGGGGGGGACATGGAATCCACCATGGTCCTGCACACAAGGTTCTCATCGAGCTGCATCCCAGCACATGGGCCTGACGTGGAGGGCTGTAGGTGGCTGTCAGGCTCGGTGCTAAGAACCTTCCAGACAAGTACCTTCTCACTTCCCTCAAGAGGCTTCTACTGCTGCTCCCAGTCCCCAGGGAGAACGAGGGGCTCAGTCCAGCCAGCATCTACTCAGGGCTAGACTACAGCAAGTCACAACCTCAGGGCTGTGTGGCCAGAGATGTGCCTATGTCCTGGTTCTCAGGAACACAGGGTGCCAGGACCACACCCGCCAACAAATGAGGAATAGGAAGGAAGGGAGGAAGCCAGGCCTAGGCTGTCACTGACCTGGGCCCATCCGGGGTGCCCACACACTGGGCCTCATGCTGACATGGGTTCAGATCCGAGGAGCAGAAATCCACCAGCTGCTCACAGGTCCTTCCTAGGGAGAGAAGGAGCAAGAGGCAGCAGATGCCAAGCTCTATGGAGCCCATGCAGACACTAGCATCCCCAGAGGATGGGGGGTGCCCTGGCCCCTCGAAATGCTTACCTGTGTACTGCAGGGGGCACTGGCAGGTGTAATTGCCCACACCGTCCACACAGACACCCCCGTTGACACAGGCATGCTTCACACAGTCGTCTGTGTTCACCCCACAGGTTGGCCCTTCAAAGCCGGAGGGACAGGAGCACCTGTGGGGGAGGGAAGGATGAAGGGGAGCAGGGAAAGCCAGTGGCAACCGGTCAGAATCTTCACTCCATACGTTTGGCGTTTCAACTACTCTAGGCCAGAAGGTAACAAGACTAGCCTTGCCCTCAAGGAATCCTCTGGATTGCAGTCTGGAGGGGAAGACAAATAGGAGGCAGTGACTCAAGGAGAAGTACAGTCAGGATGGTGGAGGCTCTGAAGCCAGGTGTGGGCAGAGAGCACCTAACCCTTCCTCAGCAGGACAGGTTTCCTGGCGGAGGTGAGGGACTAGCCTCAGCAAGAATCCCAACACAGGAGGGGAGGACCAAAGACAGAGAGGGACAGAGAAGACACAGAGGGACCAGAGTGAGAAGGCAGGACCTGCCCGTCTACACTGCTCAAGTGTTTGAGGACACAGACTTCAGGAACAGTAATAATGGAGCTGGGCTGAGCAGTAGCTGGGTTATAGAAGGTTCTAGAAGTTGACGCTTAACAACCAGGGTACTCCTTAGCCTCAGGCATGTGAAGCTTCCCAAGGGGCACAAGGGTCAGAGAGGATGGACTGAGGAATTCACATCCAGCTCTTCAGGGGTCCTTAGAACTCCTCCAACATCCCCAGGCCTCAGCTAAGGTGCCCTCTCCACCCAAGCAGGAGGTGGGCTGTGCCTCCAGGTGTCAAGGAAAACAAGTGAACCACTAAAAATAACTGACAGGAGACTTGTGAGCTGTCACCGAACACAACTGTAAGATTGTCACCACCTACTCACTCGGGAGATTTGGGCATATAAACTGGGAGGACTTCCAATAGCTGTGCAGCAGCTCTATGGCGAATCTCCTAACCCTGACTGGATTTATGTGAACAGACCTTCCCAGCAAGCATATAATATCTATGTAAACAAGACAGCGGGGCAGCTGCTCTCTCCCACCATGCACGGGCCATCTATGGACACACGGACCAACTGACACAGAAGACAGCCATTCTACAAAGGAGTTCAGTCTCAACACACATCACCGTATCGATAATAATATCAAATTTTATAGCAGTTGCATTGTTTTGTATGTTATTAGTCACCACTAACTCAGACACAGAAACTATTTTTTGTAATTTTATTAATTTTTATGAGTAAGGGTGTTCTGTCTACATGTATGTATGTGCATTACATACATGTGTGGTGTCCTTGGAGGCCATAGATGGTTGTGAGTCACCATGCAGGAGCTGGGACTCAAACCTGGGTCCTCTGGAAGAGCAGTCAATGCTCTTACTGCCCACCCACAGGATAACCTATGTGTACCAGCAAACACAGCCAAAAGAAATTTCTAATCAGAAGCTCACGGTGACAAGAAAAGGGAAGGGGCTTTAAACATTAGCTCTTGTGCCCTCGTTCAAGGCAATTGCTCCTGGCATACGATCATATCGCAATAGAGACCAGGAGGGTGGTGAACACAACAAATATTAGTTCCAGCCAGACAGGGAGACATGGTTTTCATTGCTATGGAGGAGCCTGCTGGTGGCATTTTAAAACAGTGCCCAAAGGTTAAGTGTGGCATCCGGAGCTGTGATCTAAGCCCTCCGGAGGCCAAAGCAGAAGGATAGCTGAGAATTCCACAGCAGCCTTGGCTATCCAGTACTGTCTCAAAAAAATGAATAAAAATAAAGTAAAATGGTACCCAATTGCTATGCTAAACAGATGCCACTGGGGGATGGGGATAGCGTACTTAACCTAGTTGTTTTGCTCTAAAATGGCAATAATATTTATGATATCCATGACACTGTCTCCTTTGCATGGAAAAAAATGAACTTACAATGGGAAAAAATGTCGCTGTTGGTGTAAGAAAATTTGTGTGGGGTGGTGTTTTACATCTTGTCTGGAGGGTGAGTAAAGAGGTCTGAGGTGGGTGTGCTGCAGGCATCCTCTAGAGTTTGACTTTAAGACGGGGTGACAGGACATTTGTGCAGAAAGTCCCTTCTGGCCAGATCTCCGGGCATATAAGGCAGGTGGAAAGAAGCCCCCTCCGACCGGGTGCTACAGGCTGCCTGGCTGCTGGATGTGGGACTACCTGACCAGCTCCCAATCCCAGAAGGGGCATCCCAGCCCTGTGCAGGAGCTGAGGACCAGACCGGGAGGAAGCTAAGCTGGATCTGCTGCCTGCCCCTGAGGTGGGCCTGCCTATTGTAAGGATGCGTTTCCAAGGCAACACTGGAGGAGAGGCACTTAGCACTTTATTTTTTACATCTGGTAATTTGGGTCTGCAGAGGCAGGTTTGGCCATTTCCGCCCGCAGATTCAACATCATTTTCTGAAGAGCCAATTTGTTCAGTAGGCAATTTATCTGCAGCAACTAAGTACTGTATTCCTCAGAAAAGCTCTGGGAGGGCAGGGATGGGGGCTGGGGCTTCCTGGGGAAGCAGGCTAGTGAGGGTGTGAGGAGTGACCTCTGCTCTGGAGGGATTCGGGTATGCTAAGTGGTAAGGGCATCTGTAACCAGAGCATGAGATACATGGTGGGTTCCCTCCTTACAGTGGCCAGCCAGTGAGAGTTGTGCAAGGTAGGACCCCAGGAGGGGTGACCAGGATGCGGGTCCACCTTTGTCACTTCAGCTGTACCATGGGGCCAATCACAGCCTCTAGAGACTTCTTCAGCTTAAAGTGGAGGGGGTCCGTGGAGATTTAAGAGTCTTGGATGCCCCCAATCATTCCCTGACACTGCCGTGACATGTACTCTTGGCTACAGGTTTCCAGTGTGTGGAAAAACACTCCTGGCCACTTGCTAGAGCAGTATAAGCTACACTGGGGGCCAGCCCAAGTCCAGGCTCTCCCCCGTGAGCCTGTGTTGTCTGGTGCCTGCTGTTCCAAGGGTGCCCTGCTCGCACCTCTTCCAGGTGAGGAGGGGCCTCGAGGACCTGTGAGTATAATTTGGAGCACAGGTCTGTTCCCTCTACCCAACCTCATCTCCAGCACAGGGAGACTTGGATACTGGGCCCATTGGCATCCCTAACCCTCGGATGCTGGGTCCATTGACATCCCCAACCCTCAGATGCTGGGCCCATTGGCATCCTCAACCCTTGGATGCTGGGCCCATTGACATCCCCAACCCTTGGATGCTGGCCCATTGGCATCCCTAACCCTCGGATGCTGGGTCCATTGACATCCCCAACCCTTGGATGCTGGGCCCATTGGCATCCTCAACCCTTGGATGCTGGGCCCATTGACATCCCCAACCCTTGGATGCTGGGCCCATTGGCATCCCCAACCCTCGGATGCTGGGCCAATTGGCATCCCCAACCCTCGGATGCTGGGCCAATTGGCATCCCCAACCCTCGGATGCTGGGCCCACCAGCACTCTCCAACCCCACCTCAGTCTCCATGAGCACTCACGTGAAGCCAGCATCCTCGCCCTCCTGGGTTTGGCAGGTTCCCCCATTTCCACATGGGTTGCTGGAACAGCTGTCCAGGGACACCTCACAGTCTCGGCCCTAGAGGGAAAGCCAGGGATGAGGACTCCAGGGAGAAACAAGGAGGTGGTATGAACTAAGAAACAGCCCTCAGTCTCTGCTTGTCTATCACAGGGGTGCCTATTCATCCTTCCATTCACTCATTCATCAACATACATCCATTCATCCACAGGTTAGGTCACTGGCGACAGGGTCACTCACTTGCCCGTTCTGAGCTAGGCCAGCAAACAACATGGCCGGTCTTGCAGGGCCTTGCAGCAGGCAGAACTCTTCCTCCAGCTTCAGCCTCCACTCACCTTGTAGCCACTGGGACAGGTACACCTGTACACCTCAAGAGGGTCATTGTGGCAGGTGCCCTGGTTCTGGCATGGGCTGGACAAGCAGGGATCACACTTGGCCTGGACTGCCAGGCTGGGAGGACCTGTGGGAACAGGGACAGCATTAGCAAGGGGCATGTGGAAGCATGGTGCTCCGCCCCGAGAAGCCCAGTCCCGTGGAGGAATACCCTCCTCCCAGGAGACATGCCTTCACCGTGAGTGTGAGGGTCATGCTGCATCAGCCAGCTCTGCCCCACTTTCCAACTGTGGAACCCACTTTACCACAGGGCCCCCGGCAGCCCCTGATTCACACGGAGCTGTGAGAACTATGTGAATGGATGTGCAGTGTTCAATAGGTAGAAACTGTATACATAGTGGTCAGGGCCACCCTAAGAGTGAGCAAGTAGGGAAGTTGTGATTTCTGACCTCTCCTGACTCTGCCGCCCATACCCCCAGAGGCAATCACCCCAGCTACAGTCTGCTCAGCAGAGAGGGAGCTGTGTGCCCGGGCTTGGCTCTGCAGGGAAGCCACATGGGGAGAGTCCATATATATGCCTCGAGGTTCTTCCTCTCCAAGTCTAAAGCAGGGAGAGCCTCCCCCACTACCTCCAGGCTGTGCAGGTCCCTCTCCAGACCTTGCTCACAGGGAAAACAGGGGAGTCTGGCAGCAAATGTACACCTGTGTACCAACCCTGAGAGACACCAAGCTTTCACAAGAGAGCAGAGGGAAATCTGGCCACTCAACTCAGGCTCCCCCAGGGTGCTCTTTCCGGAAGAGGTGACATCAGTTCTGATGAAGAGGCATGCACTTGAACAGAAATTAAAAAACAAAGCAAAGCAAAACAAAACAAAAAAAAACCTTTTCCATGACAGAAGGCTGCTGGAGGGACTTCCAGACACAGATCTGTTGTTCCTTGACCCAGTATTGGTGCCTGAGTGAACTCAGCTAGTGAACATCATCAGGCTCTTTTCTATGCTGGTGTACTTTTCTGGATGTTGTTATATTTTAGTTAAAAAGAATACATTGGAAAAAATACAACTTGTACCACTCTGTCAGCTAGTAAATGCCAAGCGTGTATTAGCACAGATCAGCTTGCTCCTAATAACCACTACAGAGTGGGCCCCTGGAACTATCACTGCTGTGACAGCTTCCTGCACACTGGGTGGCCTGGGCCTCCTCATTAACCTACAGCTGTCAGTTTCATTTCCTATGGTGGCCTCTGAGCTTGCAGAGGGCAAGGGCCATGCTCCTGTGTCCCTAGGGTCCTCCCCTAGCTCCCCCTGCACACAAAGCTGAACCCAGGCAGCCACTCAGCCACCTGTCTTTGCTCTGAAAACTTCTGCAGGGCCTCGGGGGCTTGATCAGTCAGCCAGCCAGTCACTCATTGCCTGAACAAGTCTTTGTAGATGCTGGAGGTCAGGAGCCTCAGCCCCACCGCCAGCCATGCCCTGACTCTGTGTTCTGCAAATATCAAGAAAACACCAGCTAGTCGCCTGGGCCCATCAGGGACAGAGTAGAGTTTCAGCTAGTTGTCCAGCACAATGCCTATCTAAAGGAAGTCTGGGTGCCCTGTATTGCCAGGAGCCTGGGAGCTTGGAAAATGCTATTTTTGTTTTTCTTATGTAACCACGGGTAAGAATCTAAGCCCTAATGGACGGGGATTTTTCTGCCCGTTTTGTTTGTTGGATATCAAGACTAGAAGGCAGTCATGCTAACAAGCAGAACCTCATTTTTATCCATTGACTCACCCACTAGTGGGACCCAGGGACCCAGGAGTATCTGGAAGACCCTACCAGGTTTGGACAAGTACTGTAGTCCCTGGTACCCAGAACCCCTTCTCTCATGCTCCTGGGCTCACCTTGGCATTCGAACTTCTTGGCAGGTGTGGTAAGCAGAAGTTTGCCCTCCATGTCAGGGGGTCCGGCACAGCGGGCAATGCCAGGCTCCTTGTAGCCAGTCTTCACCCAGCTGGACAGCCATCGGAGGCGGCAGTCACAATACAGGGGGTTGGCACCAATGGCTCTGGGACAGGCAGCAGAAAAAATGGGCATCCCAAGTTCAGAAGCTTTGAGCCAGTGAGCACACAGAGATGCGGGTTACCCACAAGCCCCTGCTTTAATCACTCCATATGCATCATCTTACTTGGTCCTCACTATGCCTCTCTCCATTTTCTGCATACAGAGACAGACTTAGAAAGACTGAGTAATTGTCCTAGACCAAAGGGACGGAGGAATCTGGGTTTGGAACCCATTCTGCCAGCTACAGGGAAACGCTCTGTACTCAGAGCCTCCGTCCACAGGCATGAAGGAGAAGCGGCCAGCATTTACCCCTGCAGAGCAATGACTGCTGCTCCTGCCTTCTTCACCCAGTGCTCTCATTAACCCCACATACTAGCTCTCTGCATCTTTAAGATGCGGTGCTGAGCATAGCATGGAATAAGGAATTTCCCTCAGGCCACACGGCAGCTAAGGGCAGCCTCTGGGTCTAAACACTGAACTGCCTGTCTGAGAAGCCCAGCCACTTTTGTTTCCTTTTTATTTTTAATTAAGTAAAGACCACATGCATGCATTCTTACTTGCAAGCTTTCTCAAATGCTGCAGAACACAGCGAGTGCTAAGTGCCATGGAGACACACACACACACACACACACACACACACACACTTTTTTGTTTTGTTTTTTGGAGACTGGGTTTCACTATGTAGCCTTGGCTGTCCTAGAACTCATTATGTAGAATAATATAGTGGGCTTGGACGCATAAAAATCTGCCTGTCTCTGCCTCCTAAGTACAGAGATTAAAGACATGTCACCATGCCCAGCAACTTAAGTTTTTTAAAAAATAATTTATTATTATTTTATGTGCATTGGTGTTTTGCCTATAGGGATGTCCATGTGAGGGAGCCAGATTCCCTAGAATGGAGTTACAAGCGGTTGTGTGCCGCTATGTGGGTTCTGGGAACTGAGTTCAGGACCTCTGGAAGAGCAGCCAGTGCCCCTAACCTGTAAACCATCCCCCCAGCCACATATATTCTAGTGTTACGGATGAGAAAAAAGGCATAACTCCAATCCTAGGTGCAATTGTCTTGTGGAAGTTTCTCCTACGGACACATCTACAGATGCATATAAAGACACCTGTGTGACAAGCTCCTGCTATGGTCTAAGTCTCTCTTCCAAACGTGTGTTGAGACTTTTACCAGTCCAGTGTTGGAAGATGGCCCTTTAAAACAGGTAATCTGTGCTGGTTCCCCAGAACTGGGTCAGCTGTCATAGGAGTGGATGCCGGGTACAAAGGCTCTGTCTGGCCTCATTGCCACCCTGTCATGTGAATGTTCAGCCTGCTTCTGCTGTGTCATCCCTGTGCTCCCGGGCTTCCAGGCTGCAGAAGCAGGATGAGACTAACCTCCTCGCATAATCATGTGTCCAGTCTGTAGCTGCAGAAAACAAACCAGGACCTGGAAACTGCCACTGATCATCGGCAAGTAACTGGTTAAATAAACTACGCTATGTTCACAGTATGTCACTATCCTCCACAGAGGCACAAGGTGGCACAGACACCAAGCTCATGTGCGTGTGGCCTTCCAGCCCTTTCCCCCATGGATACGTAAGGTTCCTATCTGCAGTGTACCACATCCAAACAGCTTGTTCTTGACACTAGCCAGTATGCCTTGGAAACCTTCCAGGACAGCATATAGGAATCGGCCTCGTTTTGCCAAAGTGCTTTGCAGTGTCTCCAGGAAGAACAGATACCCTGCGGTTTAATGAGCAGTTTCCCTGTTGCTGGGCTCTCTGGCAGCTGAGATGGCTGTGAACACTCTTTTACACATGGCTTTGTGAGGTGTGAGCATCCCTGTAGAACAGATGCCTATGGAATCCAGGTGACAGAAGACGCGGGTATCAAATGATCGCGCTGCCCCCAGGAGGCTGTGTCGGCTCCCATAGCCGGCAGTCCAGGGCCGTGCCTGCGCTCTCACACCTGAGTCCACCTGAGTACTGCCAGCTGCCCGGCCCTGTACCAATCCCGTAGCAAGTTCCCCATGCACAGCGAGAGGCATGAAGACAGGGTGTGAATCTAATGGAACGAAGGGGCCAGAGTTCTTCCTTTCATAAATAGAAGATCAGCGCCCAGAGCTCATCCATATCAACCATTTTAAAGCCTCAAGGCTGTGTGAGGTTAGCGACAGGGGGAGCGTTCATCGGGTCACCGGAGACCCAGCCACTTCCCACCTGTTCTGGACTGCAGAGGAAGTGACCCCAGGATGGGCGCAGACTGATAGCCGCACGAGGCTGTGGCTCTGAACGGGAATCTCCCAGAATAGCACAGCTGACGCCGTGTGACCTTATAAAACAGGCTGAGCAAGACTTGGACTCCAGTCTGCCACAGCTGCTCCCTGCCCCGGCTGACCTTGGGCTGTTCCCCTAACATCTCTGGGGTTTGCTTTATGATTCAATAAAGAGCCTGCGATCAAGAGGGGGAGAGAGACAAGCGCAGATAACCTGGAATGGGCGCCGAGGGACTAACGCAGCTCGGGAAGGAGGGCAGGTGCAACCTTGATGTGTATTTAATTTTCTGTCCTCGTGTGCTGACAGCATCCATCCTGGCTAATGGGATGAGCAAGACAGAATCATCTTCCCCCATCAGCACCAGAGCCTCTCAGACACAGAGGAAGGTCAGAGTCAGACTCCAATGCGTAAAAACAGACTTCTCAAGATTACAGGAACACAGATATCATGGTATATTTAAAATACTTACTTTAAATTATATTTTATATAAAGTAAGTATAAAAATATACTTGTTTTTAATATTATTTTTCAAATTATCAAAATGTACAATATAGAATAATTATGGCACTTAAAAACTTAACGTAGAATTTATAGTGAACTACAAGGAGTATAGACCAGTCAGGAGCATGATAGTTGGAGAGAAGCACTCAAAGAATCTAAGGTCAAAAGAAAAAAAAGAATCTAAGGTCGTCCTGAGTGCAGGGCTCTTGATGTGACTGAGAGCTTTACAAACTCCCACCCTGGCACAGGGGTCCACTGCCACCATCAGCAATGCTGCACCTCCGACGTAAATGTCCTTTCCCAATCCATTTCTAAAGACTGCAGGGCCAAAGTCTCCTAAGAGCCACTCAAACCCATCCTGGCTTTGTCCTGCATGTGTGGCTACTTGTTCCTGTCCTGGTAGATGTCAGTACCTCATGCAACACTCCAAGCTTCCACTTGCCCAAGGCTGGGTTTTCGCAGCTGAGGACCACTGTCCTTGTTTTTGGTAGTTCTTACAGCTCCCTTTCTCCCAGGGGTCATCTTGCCCAATGGAAGCTAATGTAAACAACTTACACATTTTTTCTTTTTGGTTGAGACAAGGTTTCTCTGTGTGGCCCTAGTTGTACCAGGACTCTCTCTCTGTAGAACAGACTGACCTCAAACTTAGAGATCCACCTGCTTCTGCCTGCGTGCTGGGATTAAAGATGTGCGCCACCACACCACAGCAAAATTTATACATTTTAATCAAGAGCTTTTTTAAAAAATTAGGAGGCTGAGGTAGGAAGATCAAGAAAGGTCAGTGTGGTGTGATTGGGCTGTGTGGTGTGATTCTGTCTCAAAATATTAATTAACTAATTAGTCAGAAAGTTTAAAGTAAAGACGACAGAGACCCATTGGGGAGTGGAGAACGGGTAGGGCCAAGGGAGACATAGTTGGGTAAGGCATCAGCCCGGCCCTCATGGATCCCAAAACTGTGGCGGGGAACACCCCCCAGTGAGGTTATAAATAGCTCCATGTTGTTGGTCTCTGGTGTAACTGGGGCACACTGTACCAGTAGCTGTCTCGTCTGCTCATGCCAAGCTTCTATTAATGGAGCCTAGCCTGAAACAGCCTCTCCTGGTCTGAAGCCAGAATAATTCTCAAACTGCAAACCCCTGCACCTGAACCCCACCCCTGCCCAGCCCACTCAGGGGTTAATGTGCGCTACTGTCATCCTCGGGTCCCAGAGGCTGCAAAAGTGGTTCCTTGAGGACAGGAGCCACCGACTTCAGAGCTGGACCAGACACTAGCTAACACCAAAGGCACAAGCTGGGCCAGTCAGTATTAACTGGGGGAAGCCTGCCAAGCACACGGAGAGGGTACAAACCCTCAGTGTAAAGGGATGCAGGAAGATAAGCATCATCCATCCTAAAATAGAATCAGCTTCATTTTAGCGAATTCCCTTCCAGTCTGCCTGTGGTCCTTCTTCCTTTCAATGAGACAAGGACCCCGTAGGCAGCCCAGGCTGACCTAAAACTTGCTGTCTTCCCGGGTACTGGGATTACAGGTGTATACTACTATGCATGGCACCACCAATCCTTATGTGCATATTTGTATCACATTAATTACTCTGCATGTTATCAAATAGTAAATTACAGTGCCATAATTGTTATTAACTACTTTCTTTTTGGTCCTATGAGCATGGCATGATGTAATTAATCATTTCTATTAAACTTTCACACCTACTTCTCAGTGAACATTGGAATATGGCTTTCTAGCCTATAGAAGAATAAAGGCAGCAGATGCAAGTTTCTAACAATGAAGGGCAACACTGAGGAACTGTAGCCATGAGCTCTAATAGGGGCATGCAAGCTTTTGACACCGGGCTGCGGATTAGAGCTGGTATGTATCTGCTGATGGATAAGCAGGAGATGCTATGGTTTGGATCTTGAATGTCCTCTCAAAACTCACGTGTTAAAACTCTTAGATTCCAGCCTTTGGCACTGCTGACAATTAGTAGAGCCTGTAGGCTGTGGGATCTGAGGGAAGGCATTAGATCATTGAGGAGGTGCCTTGCAAGAGAATATCTGGACCCTGGCCTCTCCTCTTCCTTTCTTCCCAGCTGTCATGAAGTCAACCACTTCCTCAACCACACATTCCCGTCATGATGCGCAACCTGGCCACCAGTCCAAAAGCACCGTAGTTCTCCAACAACAGACGGAAGTCCCTGAACTTGGGAGATAAAACAAAAGTTTCTTCTTTTGGAGCTGATCATCTGAGTGTTGCAGAATATTTGTTTAACTATGTAAAGATGTGCTTCACTTGTTTATGTAAAGATATGCTGCTGTTTGATCTTGCCTGCCTAAGGCACCAGATTGGGCTAATAAAAAGCTGAATGGCAAGCTGGGCGTTGGTGGCACACACCTTTAATCCCAGCACTCAGGACACTCAGGAGGCAGAGGCAGGTGGATCTCTGTGAGTTCGAGGCCAGCCTGGTCTACAGAGCAGCCTCCAAAACAATACAGAGAAATCCTGCCTCAAAAAACCAAAAAAAAAAAAAAAAAAAAAAGCTGAATGGCCAATAACGAGGGAGGAGGTATAGGCAGGAGGTATATGGGTAAGGAAAGTAGAAGGAGGAATTTAGGCTGGCATGGGGGAGAAAGAAAAAGATGCCAGGGGCCAGACAGACAGACAGACATGGAGGAAATAGGAAAGTAGGACATGAAAGGTAAAAAGCCCCAAGGTAAAATGTAGATGAATAAAAACAGCTCAAATTAAGTTAAAAGAGCTTGTGGGACAAGTCTAAGCTAAGGCCAAGCAGTCATAATTAATCACAAGTCTCTGTGTCTTTATTTGGGAGTTGGTTGGTGGCCCAAAGGCAATTCCAACTACATCTGGGGTATTTTGCTATGATAACAGAAAACTGACTAACATTAGTGAATAGGTGGCTGGCAGATGATCTTAACTGATTGATTTCTTATGTAATATATCTGGCCTCAGGTTTGATATCACTGTTTTCCCCCAAAGACAGCTATGGGATCAAACTTGGTTTTCACAGCATTGGGTTTGTTTGTTTAGAACATGTGCTGTCTGAACCTGGAAGAGAAAGTGGGGAATAGCCTTGAACTCATTGGCTCAGGAAAATACTTTCAGAACAGAGTACCATTAACACAGACACCGAAACCAACAATTAATAAATGAGACCTAATGAAACTGAAAATCTTCTATAAGGCAAGGGACACTGTCATTCAGACAAAGCTGCAGCCTACAGAATAGGAAAAAGACTTTACCAGCCACATATCCAATAGAAGGGTAATATCCAAAATACATAAAACAGATTCTCAGTAAAGGAAACTCGAAAAGCTGAGAAACTCTTAAAGAAATGCAAATCAAAACTACTTTGAGACTTCATCTTACACCTGGGAGGATGGCTAAGATCAATAAAACAAGTGACAGCTCATGCTGGTGAGTATGTGGAGTACAGGAAACACTGTTCCATTGCTGGTAGGGGTGCAAATTTACACAGCCACTCTGGAAATCCAGACGGCAGTTCCTCAAGAAGATGGGAATCAGTCTACCTGAGGATTCACTTATACCACTCTTGGGCATATACTCAAAGGATGCTTCATCCTATTACAAGGACACTTGCTCAGTCATGTTATTGCTGCTCAATTTATAATGGTCAGAAACTGGAAACAACCTAGATATTCCTCAATAGATGAATAGAGAAACAAAATGCAGTACATTTACACAATGACATACTACTCAGTCATTTAAAAAATGAAATAATGAAATTCATAGGTAAATGAATGGAACTAGAAAAATCATTCTGAGTGAGGTAAACCAGACCCAGAAAAACAAATATGGTATGTATTCTCTTATAAGGGGATACCACCTGTTATGTCAGTGATGATCAAGCTACAATTTGTAGACCCACCCACAGAGTTAAGGTATAGAGTGAGGGACTGGCAGTGGATACAGATAGATCTCCCTAGGAAATGGAAACAGAATAGGTAGTTAGGGATGGGGGAGACAGACTGGAATGGGAGATTCAGGTTGGGGTAAGGAGGAAAGAAGGGCACAAGAGAGGGAACCGGGGAGAGATAGTTAAAATTAAGGGCCACTTGAGGGGTCATAAAGAAACCTAACATAGTAGAAACTTCCTAAAATATATACATATGTGAATGTGTTGCCTATTTTAAGATCATGCTGACTTTGCAGATTAAAATGGGAAAGACAATTCTCAGAACTGGGGACATCTAAGAAGACTGACTTAACTTCAAGAGAAACACTGCCAATACCAAGGCTCTCTGATCTAAGTATGCCTTACCCACTAAGGCCCTGGGTGTGGAGGGGATTCAGAGGAAAAAGAGTCAAAGCGTTCTAACTACAGCACATGTGGCCACAGTCTACATGCATGTCATAACTAAGGGTACCAAGAAATGCCAGGAAGGTGTCTTTTCTGCACTGTCCCAACCTCCAGGGTGAGGACAACACTGCCTCAACCCTGGTCTTACCTATCTCTTCATTGTTTTATATACAATACATGAAATACATACTTGGTCATCTGTACCATATTCAGTGTACAAATCAAAAATACTGACTGCATTTCCAGCCCTGGGCAACCATCTCGACTACCCACTTCCAAAGCATTTGCATCACCCCAAACAGAAGTTCTGCACTCTGAGATATTAATCCCCATTTGTTTGTCTATTTGTGTATCTGCGCATGCCTGTGGAGGCCAGAGGACACCCTTGGGTGTCGTTACTCAGGTCCCACACACTTTTTCTTTGAGGCAGAGTCTCTCACTGGCCTGGAAGTCACCAAATAGGCAAGGCTGGCCATCTGGCTGGTGAGCCCCAGGGATCTGCCTGTCTCTGCCTCCCAGGTCCAGGATTAGTACATGCTATTATGCCCACCTTTTTTAAAAAAAAAAAAGATTTATTTATTTGTTATGAATACAACATCCTGCCTCCATGTATGTCTGCACATACCAGAAGAGGGCGCCAGATCTCATTACAGATGGTTGTGAGCCACCATGTGGTTGCTGGGAATTGAACTCAGGACCTCTGGAAGAGCAGTCAGTGCTCTTAACCTCTAAGCCATCTCTCCAGCCCATGCCCAGCTGTTTATGAGGGTTCTGGTGGTCAAACTGAGGTATCCATGCTTGTATGGCAAGTGCTTTACTGCCTGAGTCATCTTTCCCAGCCTTAGCCTACTTTTTTAAAGAATCATCATGCCACTGCCAGTTAGAGGGTTTGGGAAGCAATTCTATGCCATTCTACCTCTTTAGGAAATAGATTTCAGAACCTCCTCTCATGGCGTGAAGCAGTGGATGTATTGTGGGAATAGCCTAAGCGCGTGGGCACTGGGGCAGCTTTGGGCAAGCATCTTCCTTTCCCTAGCCCTAGTTCTTTTCGTGTGAGATGAGGAAACACTACCCATGTTGTGGGATCATCATGGGAGGGAGTGTCCCACTGGCAGATGTCAGGTTCAGCAATCAATAAATGTTTGCTACCACCTGCTAATGACCTGCTCTCCCTCACTGTCCTTGTGGACCACTGAGTATGTAAGAGGCCATAAAGGTGACTAGGGAAAACTCACAAACTCAATGTCAGGATAAAGGCAACATGTTCTGATGGCCTGAGGGGTTGGATCTCCCTCAGACTCCAAGTTCTGCTTAGAAAGAGGCCCAGGGAATTGGGCTGGCATTACTTACAGGTGAGACAGGGATGTTACGTCTGCAAAGATGCCCTCTTGAAGGGTGGAGACATCATTGCCATGCAAAGACCTGGGGAAAGAAAAGACTACTAGAACCCAGTCCAGTGAGAGGGAGGGATGCCTGGTGGAAGGGCTTCCTAGTCCCTGCTGAATGGACATACCAAGGGTGTCTGCTGGTGAGTAGCCCCAGGAAGGAAAAGGGGAGCCCTTAGAGTCCAGGTAGGCCAGCTGTGTCCCCACACTACGGGAAGACTCTGAGTTTGCCATTTAAACAACTCAAACATCGAGTTTATATCATAAATAAGACATGTAGACACACAGGCCCTCCCTCCTGGCCAGGAGACAGAGGCCAAGTAGGCTATTTGTAAGGAGATTAGCATAGCCAGGTACAATGTCACCTTGGTTCTGTTGGCGTCAGGAGCCACCGTAACAGACACAACAGAATGTTTTCGCCAGCAAACACTTTCAATACGATCAGAAGTCTCTTGTACAAACAAAGGACACCTTTATCTCAGGCACCCCTTCCCTCTCACACACTTATACCCAAACTCAACTTGGGGTGAGGTCACCTCTTCTCTTAGATCATTTCCCACTTGGAACTTATCTTCTATAAAGTTTGAATGAGAGTATTCTGGGCTCCCATCATTGGACAGAGCATTGTCCCTTCTGGGGCTACAGACCTGGGAATATTTCTGCTCACTAGGGGGAGGGAGCAGGCCGTGGGTAATGGGAGAGATTTTCTGGAAGAATGAGTTGGGAGAGACTTACAGCAGGCGCAGGGAACGGAGGCCCTGGAAGGCCAGAGGAGGGATGCACTGGAGGGCATTGTAGCTGAGGATCCTGCAGGAAGGAAGGGAGGAAGGAAGGAGGAAGCTATGCAGAGATGAAGGACCACTCCCACCCCATCCTGTAGGTGAGCAAGTGGAGGCTTTGAGGCCACTCCCCACCCCAGGGCCATGTCATTAAGTTAGTCAATAACATTTGTGTTAGGACTGTGTTTTTAGAGCCCACAGCTAACCCACTAACTCAAAAAATTCCAAATAAATGAACCCACCAGGAGCAGATGGGCAGATTAACGAGGGAACTGACTCTGTGGTAGACATGTACAATGGACAGAGTGCCATTGGCAGCATCAGGGAAGGAATGCGAACATATGGAAGGATGTTGGAGTAATTGTGCTAAGTGGCAGAAACCAAACAAAACTGGACCGTGAATCTATTTAAATAAAACTCTAAACATACAGCCTAATCTGGGGCCCAGTTCTGGCTAACCTCGAGCGTGTGACAATCTTCCTGCCTCGTTATGGAAGTGTGTCATCACTCTTGACTATCAGCTTCTACACTTTGATGTAGGCTACTGTGGAATATTAATATATGCAAGTAGAATTATGTATAAGAAAGATCCAAGTGAAGTGAACATTCCGTAGCAAGGGAGGAACACCACCTTCCTTGTGGCTACTGAGGTTAGTCCCAAGTTTGTCAAACTCAGCCCTGTTCACAGTTCTGGGCTATGGGGCTGTCCTAGGTGCTGAGGGAAGGTTGTGGCCTCCCTGGCCTCTGCCCACTCCATGCTAGCAGCATTCTCCCCCCCTCCCTGAAATGTAACAACTATGCATCTTCAGACATAGCCAAATGCCCCTGGAGCTCAGGATCTAGGGTTTGAAATACCACTCTAAGTGGGGATGACCTTCACGTCCAGGCTCACTGAAGCCCTACCATAGGTTGTCATGAAGATGGGAAAAGGGGATGAGCTGATCCATAGACACAGGTGGGGACCCAGACAGGTCCTTACTGACCTTTGCTTATTCTCTGGTCTTAAAGGCTGGCTAAGCCAGACCCTTTGCTGGGTACTGGCCCTGAGGCTTGATCTAAGTGACACCTGGGGAAGGCCTTGGTTCCCAGTGGATGATGTGTAACCCAAGGGGGTGGGGGAGAATGAGATGTAGTCTTAGCCACCAGACAAGTATAAAGGATGCTGGCTAATGCCCGTGACCAATGGCCAGCTTGGGATATTATGATAGCCAGCATGGGGTGACTTAGGACAAAGGCACAACATCTTCAGAGGGTCTGTTCTCACAACAGTCCAAGCTGAACACAGCTCACACCCACCGATAGAGTGGACAAGGGAAGTGCAGTACAGGCTCACGGGGAACAAGACATAACTATGAACATGGCTAAAACCCCACAGGGACTGATCACAGGGACACAGTGACGCTAGGCATAAAAGTCTCCCAAATGATTCAATCCATGTAGGGCTTAAACTGAGAAAAAATGAAGGATGTTGTTTAGAATTTTGTGTGCAGATGGATGTACTACAGAGAGAAATCAAGGAATCAGTCACCATCAATGAGAACAAGAGCTACCTTGGGATGGAGGAAAAGGACTAAGAAGGAGCTATGGGGCTTTGGGCTGCTAACACTGTTTTATTTTTGCTTAGGTGTCTATATGTGTGCTGGTTAGGCTTTTGTTTGTTTGTTTGTTTTTGTCAACTTGCCACAAGCTAGGTTGATATGGGAGGAAGAGCGTCAATGGAGAAAATGCCTCCATCAGATTGGCATGTAAGCAAGTCTGTGGAACATTTTCTTTATCAATGATTAGTGTGGAGGAACCCAGCCAACTGTGAGTAGTGCCACTCCTGGGTGAGCAGTCCTGGGAGATATAAGGGGTAGCTGAGGAGCAAGCCGGTGGGCAGCCTTTCTCCGTGGCCTCTGCCTCGGTTCCTGCCTCCAGGTTCCTGCCTTGAGTTCCTGCTGTGCCTCCCTGCAGTGATGGAGCTTGACATGGAGCATGACAGGGAGTGTGAAACGAAACAAGCCCTCCCCACCCAAGTTGCCTTTGGCCACCCACGGTGTTCTGTCACAGCACTAGAAAGCAAACCAGGACAACATGTGTGCTAGCTCTGTGATAACGTGGTAAATAAGACATATAAACTTTTTGTACTTTCCCACATGTGTGTCGTATTTCACAGGACCAGTTTTTCTGATTTTCTTCATTTGATCATGGCCCAAAAAGCAGAGAGGTGATGGGTGGGGTGTTAGTTTGTGGGCTCTCAGGCCCCTCTCTGGTGGGATCCCAATGAATGACCAAAGCGACACTAGCATAGCCCGATGACATGTCCCATGTGCCCACCCAGCCCTGCTGGGACTCACAGTGTGGTCAGCTGGCTCATGTTGGTGAAGGAAGAATTACTTAAGGAACTGATCTTGTTGTTGCTCAGGTCCCTGGAAAAAGCAAGAGCGTCGGTGTTTGGAAAGAAAGAAGGCCTGGCCCCTGGATGACTTTCAGAGCTTCTCCCATCTTCTCTTGGCCCTCTGGCAGCAGGGAGGGCAAGGCTCCCCATCTGGTGAGGATGTGGGGGACACACTGGTCTTGCCATTGGCTGCTGAGCTCCCTCTGTCCCTAATCTGCCTGCCGCATGCCCTCTGCGGGTACAGCTGGCACCGACCAATCTCTACCTGCCAGGCCCAGCAGCCCCTACTCTGGGAAGCATAACTAGAACACGAGGCCCCCAACCTATGAAGGAGAGTGAAACCCATTTTACACATAAAGGGTTGGAGTCTTCAATCTCTCGTAATTAACTCACTCAGGGCCACCCAGCTGGCCAGACGAGGGCCAGGCCAACCCATCATGGCAATTTCTCCTACAGTCGCTGGCCATGGTAGCTGCAGAGCATTCTTACACAGCCCTCCACCTGCCCTGACTGTGTCTGCGTCCTCCTCCCTTGCGGCCCCATCTTCTAGTCCCTGGTAGACACTGGCCTCAGGATGGGAATGTCCCAGACTCGCACTCCTGCCGTCAGTGTGGCCTCTGGCTCCCCTCACTGTCTAGAGCTGATGGCACCACCCCGACAGCCACAGCCATTCTCCCCCAGAGCACCGTTCACCTAGTGCCCTGCAGACCCCCAATGGGGCTCAGCCTGGTGCCTCCGCGGCCCCGCCACCTAGCACCGCGGCTGCTTCTGCATCCCACGCTCGGCACCACAGCCTCTGATCGCTGTCCACGTCTGTCCCCCTTCCTAAGTTCCTGCCTGTGTTAGGCCAGCATTCACAAGTGGTTTCCTGAGACCATCCTCTCACCAGCTTCTGCTCCGTTTATCACACCCCCCTTCCAACCAAGCCCTCATCTGCAGCTGCCTGTGTTGGACCCTACTGCTGCCTACAATTTAGGGAGCCCTTGGCCTCTTCCTGCATCCTCCCGAGACCATCTGAGAGAGATCCATGACCTCAGGGTCTCCTGGCCTGCCTGCTACAGCTACTTGGGTCAGCTCTTGGGTCTGAGAATCATTAACAGTGAGCTCTTCCTTCAGCACCTTCCTATAACGCAATCCCGTCTCTCCTCCGTATTGCTACAGGCCCGCTTCCTTCCTTGCAAAGAGGAGGTGGGGTCTTTCCGTGCAGGAGAGGCAGCCTGACAGGAAGAGCTCACTTGACATTCCCGCTCTGTCTGTCCTTCCTTCTTCATGTACATCTGGGTCGCTGGCAGAGGTCAGGCCACAGAAAGCCTGGGGAGCTTGCAGACCGGAACCTCCCTCTAACACCCGCCACTATTTCACCCCTGCTCTGCCGAAATGTTCAGAACACGTTGGCCATTGCACAAAGACAGACTAACTGGAGCATCATAATGCTGTAAGCCTGTGCCGTTCAAAATGGCCAGGCTTTGAACGGAATGTCGCCAGCCCATGGCTACACTGTTCCCGTAGCCAAGCTTTGTCAGCGAAGGGAGCAGTATGTTGACTTCTGCCCTCGCTCCTTGTCTAAGAACAAACCTACTAACAACAGTTCTCAGTTGACATTGAGAGCAAATTCATTAAAAGCAGTTCTCAGACTGGCATTGACCCGCTGGCTGCTCCGAGCCAAGCCACACTCTGATGGGATATTCTCTGGACTTTTTTGATAGACTCTGGATAATACACAGACAAAAACAATTGAGGCGAGGCGCTAATTGCACTGGAAAGCTAAGAGGAGTTGACCTCATTATCCAGGGGTTTAATCTGAGTACTCCGGCAGGGCAGAAAGGGTGGAAGGCAGGGGTAACAAGGCAAGTTAGGAAAAAATAGTATGTGGACTCGTAGCTGCCTTGTTTCATATTGGTTTGGGGACAGGGGTTGAACTGAAGGACTCCGCATCATCCCTTGTTCATCCCTGGCTCCTTGCAGAGATCATCCAGAGCAATAATAGTTACCAGCCTACCGGGAGGTATGGGCAGAGCAGCAGGCCCAGCCCACAGAGGACAGAAAAGCAGCAGGCCCAGCCCACAGAGGACAGAAAAGATGCAATTCCTAGCCGGGCGGTGGTGATGCACGCCTTTAATCCCAGCACTCTGGAGGCAGAGGCAGGCGGATCTCTGTGAGTTCGAGGCCAGGCTGGACCAACAGCCTCCAAAACAATACAGAGAAACCCTGTCTCATAAAACAAACAAAAAAGATGCAATTCCAGGATTTGGCCACCAGATGGCAAAAGAGCACCCAGGGATAGGTGTTCCCTGAAGAATGAATGGGGATGCAGGCAGCGTTCATTAACAGCATCTGCCGGCAAATGGGAGATTCCTGGGAAGGCGGCACTACGGTGATTAGATGCCAACGGTCCTACTAACCACTGACTGAGGCAGGTCTGGGATCCTCAAGGCACCTGGATACTCACACAAGCTGCAGATACTTGAAGGTAGACAGCTGTCCCGGAACCAGCGCGAACTGGTTCCCATCCAAATAGCTGAGGAGAGAGCACAGCAGCATGAGCACCTGTCGTAAGGCATTTGCATGCACCTAGGATCTGAAACTGCACTCAGCGCAGTGTGGGCGCGGGGGAGGCGAGGGCCAGGCCGCCTTTGCACACCATCGGGCGGTGAGAGCCTGGAAAGGATGCAGCTTTCCTTGAGGGTCAGCAGGCAAAGGCAGCAGGAGTTCTGTGTACCCAGTGCTCTGGAGTGAAAGCTTCACTAAAGGGATGTACACTCAGGCGCTGTCTGTGATGGTGAAAAGAGGGAACATCTCCAGCCAAAAAGGGATTGGTTGTGGAGACCAGAGTTGACTCGGTTGAATATTGTGGCTGCAGACATCAACAGCGTCTTCCCGGCAAACGTAAGAAGCGGGGGAAGCAATATTACTTATTAAGCAGTACCCTCGCCATGAATCTGTCGCAAGGTGGCTATGGAGAAGGGGAAAGGGTGCGGCCATGCTGGAGTCCTTCCGGGATAACCCTCCTTCCGGCCAGCCAGCACCCGCTCTGCAGCATCTCCCACAGCAGGTCCCGCTGGTCCCGTTTCACGGATCCCGCCGCCCCCCCCCCGGACCCCCACCCCCGCCCGCAGGCTGCAAGCCTGGAGCTACTCACAGTTCTGTGACGTTCTTGGGGATGCCCTTGGGCAGAGCCTGAAGGTGCTTGTTGCTGCACCTGACCACGGTGTCCAGGCATGCGCACTCCGGGGGGGCACTGTGGGCGGGGCAGGCATCCCACCTCCTCCTGGCCTGGGGAGGAAGGCGTGACATCCTGGTCAGTCAGGGGCCTGGTCTCACGGGGAAAGTTCCTGGGACCCCCTCAGAGCAGCAGCTCTTCTCTGACACTGCCTTGGCCACCAGCTGCGCCTGTCTCTTTACTGCGCGCTATTGGCTAACTCCAGGAACAAAGGCTTTTGGAAAAGTTTCCAGGTTAAAACAGCTCCTGGGTGACCTCTCCTGCCTCAGACCCAAGGTGAGAGCACCTGAGACGGCCAGGCACTGTGTCGAGCATCTTCCCCTTGGCGATCCAGCACAGGATGCTGCTGTCACCCTTGGGATGCACCTCTGAGGCCCAGCACTCGGTGCAGCGGCTGGCCCATCTGCAGCATCCGATAGATGGAGAGAGCGGATAGTTTTCTATGTCGCTGAGATCTGGGCAGGGAAGATGACCTGTCCTCAAGCTGGTGAGGCGTCTTAGCGGATGCACACCAGTGACCCCTTCATCCATCATTGGCTTCTCCAGTGAAAAGCCCACCGGGTGTCTACCTTTCTTACGATGGGTGCAGTAGGACCAACGGACATGGTCAGAGTTGTGGAGGTTATGAAGTGCCACCATGTACCCTCTGCCAACAGTGACTCAGTTATGGGGGCTGACTGTGCTCAGACACGGCACTGTAAGTAAAGATGAACTTGCTGAATAATCAAAACGCCCTCAAGTAGATGTGCCTGCTTGCTGGTTACCCCGGGAAAAAATCTGATTCCCACGGGAACCTTGGTGCGTGAAGCTTGAAAAGAACCGAAGGAAGAGCGACGTCCTGCTAGAAGGGGAAGGCGATCGTGGGCATGGGAGAGCTCAGGGGGCAATGCTGGAGCACAGAACCACCAGGCCCTGCAAGTGGGGACTCGGGATTCCTACCGTGACAGACATGGAGGACCCTGGGGCTGGCCTCTGAGTTAAACACATCTCCATAAGGAAAAATTTTTCTCTTTGCATGATGGGATAAGAACTCATGTTTATTTCCATCCATCCATGTATTCCTCCCCCCCCCCCCAGCCTTTGTGTTATGTGACTACACAGAGATAGCTCTAGGCAACAGTGTCTCCTATCCCCTCCCCAAGGGCCAGTAGGGTACTGGCTGCCCAGCCCCTCTCCCAGCCCTATTCTCAGCCTGCGGCATGGCCCACAAGTTACCTTCCTCACATCTGAAGTCAGGGAAGGCCACATCCTGCAGGGGAATCTGCCGTAGGAAGTCTGGGTTCTGGCAGCGTGGGTTCCCTGTCACAATCTTCCTCTTCCGGAGCCAGTCTCCCAGCCAGGCTAGCTGGCAGTTGCAGTTGAATGGGTTGGCCAGGAGGTTTCTGGGAGTGGCAGGGAATGTGGTCAGGAAGGCGTTCTGCCAATCTCAGGGAACCCGGCAGGGTTCTCTCCTAGCCACACAGCAGTCTGATGCTCCTGTACAGACAGCTACTAGTCTCCTAGGTGACCAACTTCTAGGACCAGAGACAGAACTAGCAGTGGAAGGAACTAGAAGGACCCACGCCTCCCCTGAAGGAGTCTCCAAGAGTAAGACCCAGGAAGACCTCCACCTGGGATGCTAGGCAGGGTTCCCCAACCCGAGCCACCAACCTGCCTGTCCTCCAAGGCCGAGACTTACAGTGTGGAAAGGGCCTGAAGGGTGTCGAAGGCTCCGGGGGAGATGGTGGTGATGTGGTTGTCGTAAAGTGACAGGAGCCGCACGTTGCGCAGCCCTGTGAAGCTGTCGTTGTGGATGCAACTGATGCGGTTGTTCCTTAGCATCCTGGGGTAGGGGTGATGAGAGAGGAGGGAAAACAACTCAGTGACCCGCTACAGTGAGGAGAACACCTCAGAGACCCACTACAGTGAGAACACCTCAGAGACCTGCTACAGCAAGGAGAACACCTCAGAGACCTGCTACAGTGAGGAGAGCACCTCAGAGACCCGCTACAGTGAGGAGAACACCTCAGAGACCCACTACAGTGAGAACACCTCAGAGACCTGCTACAGTGAGGAGAGCACCTCAGAGACCTGCTGCAGCAAGGAGAACACCTCAGAGACCTGCTACAGTGAGGAGAACACCTCAGAGACCCACTACCGTGAGAACACCTCAGAGACCCACTACAGTGAGAACACCTCAGAGACCTACTACAGTGAGGAGAACACCTCAGAGACCCACTACAGTGAGGAGAGCACCTCAGAGACCCACTACAGTGAGGAGAGCACCTCAGAGACCTGCTACAGTGAGGAGAACACCTCAGAGACCTGCTACAGTGAGGAGAGCACCTCAGAGACCTGCTACAGTGAGGAGAACACCTCAGAGACCTGCTACAGAGAGGAGAGCACCTCAGAGACCCACTACAGTGAGGAGAGCACCTCAGAGACCTGCTACAGTGAGGACACCTCAGAGACCCACTACAGTGAGAACACCTCAGAGACCCGCTACAGTGAGGAGAGCACCTCAGTGGCCCACTTCAGTCCACCTCAGCAGTTTGGAAGCCACTGTCTAGCTCAAAAACCATTAGTGGCTTTCAAACTGCTGTGAGGGTGTCCCCTAGCCCCCAGCCACCTCTTCAGACTGACATCTGCTAGGATCCCTAAGGCCAATGGACAGTCATACCTGGCCCTGCTATAATGTCATTCTAGAGCACCTGTCTTCCATATCACTATCTGGAACAACACCCTTCCCCCATTACTCACACCCCAAGACCCCTTTAAGTCCCACCCACAGCCAAAAATTAAAGCAGAAACTAAGCCGGCACAGGACAGGTGATTGCAACAGTCATTTAAAGGGACTGTGAACACCCGTGAAGCATGTCAGATCGATTAGCCAGTAATCAATGACATCTAAATGCCGCCAAGTTTCTGCCTGTCAAATTGGAGAAGAAATCAAAGCATAACTGTCATAAAGCCAGCTTAGGCCAGAGCGGGAAGATGGGCCCTTGTACACATGACTGTCTGGAAGTGTTTGCTGGGTGCCCCGGGCTGTCTACGAGGGCGGTTTTGGCTCCCAGCAGCTGGCCCACTTTCAGGACGTCATCACATGACTATCAGGGAGGTGCGCAGAATTTGGGATAAAGGGGATAGTCACCGCATTTCTCAAAATACAGAATGTAAAACAGCCTGGGTGTCTGGTAATTACAGATAATCATGTTTTAAAGAGACTCTGTGCTATATTGAAGGGTTCATATGGAAGGAAAAAGCAGGTTACTAAACAAAATTTATTATAGGGTTCTGTTGAAATCTATCTGGGAGCTGGATCTGGTGACATAAGCCTATAATCACAGAACGTGGGAGACTGAGGCAAAAAGATCACAAATCCCCTGTGCTACATGGGAAGACACCACTTAGGAAGAAGAGGAAGAGAGAAGAAGGAAATTATGTACATATATAATTTATATATAAACATATATACGTGTATATATTATATGTTGTGAGATGTATATCTAATTTCAGTTATACAGAATAAATGGTGCCTAAAAATTCTAGTGCAGTGCAGCCATTAACAAACAACACCATATATGTATTTAAAATTCTACTAAGGAATTGTAGCTTCTTTTGTTTGGTTTGTTTTGTTTTTTGGGTTTTAGAGACAGGGTTTCTCTGTGTAGCATTGGAGCCTGAGCCTGTCCTGGCACTCACTCTGTAGACCAGGCTGTCCTGTGACTCAGAGATCTGCCTGCCTCTGCCTCCCGAGTGCTGGGATTAAAGGTGTGCACCACCACTGCCTGGTAGGAATTGTATCTTATGTTAGATAATCTTTTTTTTTTAAATATGTGTATGTGTGTTTGCCTGCATGAATTTATTTGCACCACATGTGTGTAACTGCCCACAGAGGCCAGAAGAGGGCTCTGGATCCCCCAGAACTGGAGTTACAGGTAGCTGTGAGCTATCATATAGATGCTGAGAATCAAACCCTGGTCCTCTACAAGAGCAATAAGTGCTTTTAATCACTGAGCTATTTCTCTTGTCCCATGATCAGATGGTTTTATTTTCTTTTAAGACAGGGTTTCTCTGCTCATCCCTGGCTGTCCTGGAACTCACAGAGATCCCCCTGCCTCTGCCTCCCGAGTGCTGGGATTAAAGGTGTGCACCACCACTCCCTACTGATTAGATGTTCTTATTATGCTAATGCTGATAATAGAGAGGACAGTAATAATTTTTGGAGAAACTGGATATGTCTGTGGCATAGATGGTTATACAGATCTAGCTATAGTGACCTGTGTATATGCACATATATGTACATGTGTGTATTATATGTTTGTAAATATAAAGATATATGTAGATAAAACCTGAGAAGGGCAGTTGCCAACACCCATGACACTGGTCATCTGTGGGTGGCACTGAAATTCTAGACGCTTCACAGTTTCTCCTGGGGTTTTGCGGCACCTGTCCCTACAATGACCTTCCTAGGTCCCTCTTCCCTCTGAGCCTTCCTCAGAAAGAACACAGTGACTGCTGATCTCCCCCAGGACTCGAGAGGAACTGGGCAGATGTGAGAGGGGGCGGGTATCCAAACGGGAGCAGACTGGAAAAACGGCCACGCTGGGCTCATGGAGAAAGACTGAGCTGCGCTCGCTTGACTGGACCTCCCTTCCAAAAAACACCACCGGCATCCCGCGTGCATTTACAAGTTACTAACACTGGAAGACAGCGCTAACTCTGTTGCATGTGTGCCTGCGACTTAAACCCAGGCAGGTGGCTCCGAGGGCTGCACTTCCAGAACGGCAGCTGCTGCCCATCCACAGCTGTTTATAAAATAAAGTGTGTCCCACGGTCACAGGAGGCTCTACGTTGGACAGCATATACAGGGACATCTGTGGAGGCCAACAGGAACATAGCCCCGTCTCCTGGACGCTGGAGAGTCAGTGCTATCTGGAGGGAGCTCCTTGCAGTGGCCCTGAAGGGGTGATGGCTGTAAATTCCGGGCGGGTTCCCAAGGCACAGAGTGCTCTGGCTGGCTCCAAGTCACAACCAGGATTTCTAGGGATGGTGGACAGCTCTGCTCCGACATCTGCACATACCAAGCCACCCTGGCAAGGTCCCCTCCCAGCCGGACACCCCTCCTGTGGCTGTAAGGGTCACTCCTGGGCATGTATCCCAGCAGCCTTGATCTCGGGGCAGCGATGGGGGCTCCTCACCCGGGGGCCAGCCCACATCCCAAGAACATGAGATGTCTGTCCTACCAGACAGGTTTGTCAGCGGCCCCACTCTCCTGCCAGTGAGACTAGGAGGAGGCCATTTCTCTTCAGTGCATAGGCGCATGCTGTGGCTTGTCTTTGTGCCCCTAGCTCCACCCACTCACAGGGTCCTCAAGCCATCTAGGCCACGGAACATGCCGCTCCTGATGGACTCCAGCTGGTTGGCAGTCAGGTGCAGCTCACTGACGGAGGCGGCACCCTCGAAGGTCCCGTCTTCAATCTCTGACACCTTGTTGTTGCTCAGGTTACTGGGAGAGGGAGCAGGGGAGAACTGTGAGCCCCCGCACGAAGGAGCCCCTCCCTCCTGACTGTAGCCGCCACCCCGCCCCCAGTGGAGGGTCTGTACCCCAGCCCTTCCCTTCCAATCCCTGCCACATCCACCTCGATGGGTGCCTTCCCACCAGTGGGAAACTCACATTTTTTTCAGGTGTGAGAGTTTCTTAAACAGCCCGGTGGCCTCTAGGATAGAAATCTCATTGTTGTTCAACCGTCTGTAAAAGCAAGGAATGGAACAAACACACACATATAGGGTCCACCTAAGCATGCTTTTCACTTTGAGACTGTAGGGTGCACGGAAGACCAGCTGAGCCCATTTCAAAGGGAAGCTGGCACGGGCAGAAAGGGGTGGTGAGGAATAAGGTGTTTGTTTTTAACATTAAAAATGTAATGCAGGAGCTGGGCGGTGGTGACACACGCCTGTAATCCCAGCGCTCGGGAGGCAGAGGCAGGCGGATCTCTGTGAGGTCCAGGCCAGCCTGGTCTACAAAGAGAGTTTCAGCACAGCCAGAGCTGTTATACAGAGAAACCCTGTCTCAAAAAAACTAAAAACAAACAAGCAAAACACATGTAATGAAGGGACAGTGAACAAGTGTAAAAAATGATGAACATTTGCATGCATGAAAGACAGATGTGTGTAGAATGTTGCATATGCCAACACAGGCACACAAACTCATGCTTTTGATAAAGGAAAACAGTAGTTAGGGAGCTGCTTAAGCCTCGGCTTGCGATAACGAATTCCTGTCTCCCTAAAGGGGCATCCCTAAGGAAAGCCATTCGTGGTTCAGGCTGTCAAAGACTCATCTAGGAGGAAGGGAAGCCGGAGCAGGGGTCATGGGTGAGGGTTGCCCGCTGACATGCCCCAGCCAGGATCTCCCATGATCCCCCACACAGAGCTGGCTTGGAGAGGAGCCTTAAGCAGACACAGGTGGGCAGGTGGGTTAGCGGGTGCTGGGGTCAGGGGGAGGGTGGGCAGCTCAGGGCCTCACAGCTCAGCCGTGGACTGGGGGATGCGTTCAGGGATCTTGGAGAGCTTCAGGCTGGAGCACTCCACCACCCCGGCCTCACAACGGCACTTGTGGGGACAGGCCACATCACTGGTGCACTCGCTGTTCAGGTGGTAATCCTCCGTCCCTACAGTGAGAGGGTGGCAGGGCTGAGAACCTGAGCCCAAACATCCGGGGGCCCCCAAGATCCCTACCTCCACAGCCTTCCCCTATTGCCGCCATCCCCACCCCTACCCCCCCGCTGGTCTCGATCCCCCACTCTCCTACCTGGAATGAAGTACTGCTCTTTGGCTGGGGAAAGAAGAAATTCACCAAGATATAGAAGCAGCCAGGTCAGCCCCATGCCTCATGGAAGGCACCCCAGGGGTGCAGCTTGAACCCTGCGTGGGACTGCCTTTCCCAGCTCATCTTTATGTGTAGAAGACCCCACTCCAGGGCATCCGGGTCCCCAGGCCAACGCTGAGAACTAAATCTTTCACTTGCACAGCACTGACAGACACTGTGCTGACTGACCTACGGATAGGGCTGAGGCACTAGGCTCAGAAGCTGACCCAGATGCCAACTGGGATGCCTCTGCTGAGGCCTCGTCTCCATTTCAGTCCTGGAGGAGTCTCCTACCTCACTGAGATGCTTCCTAGGCCTTGAGCACAGTGACACACGGAGGAGCTGGCCTAGGAGCAGAGGGGTGGCCAGGTCTCCCTCCATGGCTTCAGCAAGGCTGCCCCTCACTTTACTGCAGCCTCCCCCAGTAAAGTGAGGGCCAGAGCAGAGGAAACATCCCATCCAAGTTGAATGTAGACCCCCCGCAACCAGCGGGCTCAAAGTACCTGAGGACATCATTGTAAAGGCCCCCACGACACATTCCTGCTCCCCAAGCCCACTGGAGACACACGGGTAGCCCTTACCTGAGCAACGGAACTTCTTGCTTTTGATCTGCCCGATGCGCTTGTTGGCGAGGCGCCGGGGGCTGGCACAGCGGGCTCCGCTAGTCTCAATGGGGTTGGTACGTAAGAAGTCTGCCAGCCACTTGAGGTTACAGTCACAGATGAAAGGGTTCTGGGCCAGGTGCCTGTCCAAAGGGACAAACGGGCTGTCAGAGACCAGGGCTGCTGACCTCCATGGAGACAAGGCTTCGTAACCATCTGGGGCTCAGCCAGTGCTTGTGACCTCAAGAAGGCCAGAGCTAGCCATGGGGGCGATGTGGTGCAGGGAATAATCAGTGTGCATCCCTCTACCAGCCCATCTCAGAGGAAGGACTCCTTAGCAGAGAACTGCAGCTCCCTACAGACCCAGCCTCGCTCCCGTCCAAGCCCCTCTGCCTGCTCTCTCAGTTATCCTTTGCCTCCTTTGATGTGGCTATCTCATGAGGAGAGATGGGGTCGAGAGACTGGACAGGCCAACCTGCCCCTTCCTGATGAAGAAGCTGAGGTGACAGAATGCCAAGTCAGACACGGCCTCTCGGCCTCTCCACGGCCACGGTCTGGGTTTCTTTCTCTCCTGCAGCCTCAGGCAGCCCCATGCCTACAGCTGCCATCCTGAAGAGCACTGGGGCCAGGGTGGCGAGGCTGGGGCTGCCTGCATCACAGCTGCACCTGGAGTCACCACTCCCAGCCCAAGCAGCAGTGGTGCCTTTCCTTCTAGAAGTCTTTCTGTCCGGGAAAGATCAGCAGACAGTCAGGTAGCTACTGCAGAGACTGGCTCCGCTCCCCGCCAGCTGCCTGTGCCACCAGCAGGTGGGGACATAAGCTGTGGGGAGCAGCTAAGAGTGGTTACTCCATCCATGCTACCCCAGCAAGCCAGCCGCCAGTTCTTTTTTAAAAGGGTTATTTTATTTTTAGCTATATGTACGTGTATGTCTGTGGGTATATGCACATGAGTGCAGGTGCCCGAGGCGGTCAGAGGTGGTGGTGGTGGTGAGTTGCTGGGTATGGGGTGATGGAAACTGAGCTCCAGTCCTCTGTGAATGCAGTGTGAGATTTTAACCACCGAGTCACTCCTCCAGCCCAGATCCGCCAGTCCTGAGCCACGCCAACAGCAGGCCTGCAGACCTATGTCCGGCCACCATCCCACTGGGCACATCTGCAGAGAGCTATCAGGATGATAACAGCCAGGGCAGAGCATCTCCTGCCCCTGACACAGCTGTCTCCCTTGAGCTAGAATTTGTATACACAATACAGAACTATTGGTGGAAGGCCATGGTCAGGGCAGGGCCAGTCTCCACCTGACTGCCATCATCCAGGCTATATTGCTTATTAGCCTAGCTTAGGAACTGCGGAGCTCTCAAAACCTAAGTGTGACCCTGGCCCAGGGTCTGTGCCCAGCTCAGTGCATACTTTGGATGTCCTTTCTCTCATCCATCATGTCCTACATCCAGTCTTTGGCCCTGGCTAGGGATGCTGACCAGGGTCTTCATTGGTCCAGGATTTTCCCCCTTGCCTTTTTAAGTCCTGGCTCTTCTCATCTCCAGGTCCCTCCCCTGCCTCTGCATCCCACTCAGGAGGCAAGAGGATGTGCCGCTGACTTGCCAGGCAGACTGGACCACTTGGAACATGGCAGGATTCGGGGGCTGCTAAGGGCTCCCAGCTTCCCTCAGCCCCCATCTGCACCCTAGCGCCATGCCTCTGCTGGGTTGGTGCTCCCCCAGCAAACACTCCTTTCCCATCCCTGTGACAGGTTAGATGGTGCAGCAGAATGCAAGGCTTTTGAGTGTAAAACAACCTAGAAACCACAGGGACGAGTGGTTTCAGTACAAACTTAAGTTTTGACGGCAGTTAGGTGTGTGTGTATGTGTGTGTGTGTGTGTGTGTGTGTTTGTGTGTGTGTGTGTGTGTGTTTTCTCTGCTGGAGAATGAATCCAGGGCTTCGTGAAAAGCTGGGTGAGCATTCCACCACTGAGCAATGGCCAGCCTCACACGGGTGTCTAACAATTCCCAGGGGCAGCTGGAGAGTACAGGGCATTCTCCAGGATTAAGGGTGCACCTGAACACAGTGCCCCTGTGGCTACACCCTGATGCAACAGACACACGGACAGTGGAAAGGTAGACAGCTCTGAGTCTCTTCCTGTGAAGGAGTGGCAGGGAGAAGTCTCTGGGGACAGATGCTGTAGTTTATGACATTCATCATTAAGGATATTTGGGTGCTAAAGCCACAATGAAGGACCCACAGCATGGATTAAGATCAGACAATTTCAAAGGAAAAACAATGAGGAGTGTTGGTGACGTTGTAAGGACTCTGGATAGCACATGACACTGTGGTGGAGGGAGTGTACGATGCCACAGTCACTGTGGGACCCCCTGGCAGCTCAGCTCCTTGACTAACAGTAAAGTCACTCTGTGACCCAGTGGCTCTGAGAGAAATGTAAACACCGTTGTATGGGGAGCTGTAAGCCAGCGTGGGCAGCAGCAGTGTTCACCACGACTTCAACTCCTGGGACGTGCTGTGGGGCAAGGACCTAAATATACTTCAAGTGGGTCAGGGAACAAGACTTGTGGGAACACCAGACCTTGAGCAGAGACCCACTTCCCCATGGCCTGGGAGTAGGCAGCTGTAAGACAATGTTTTCTAAAAACATGTTTACTAAAAACAATACAATGCCCGGGGCAATAAGTTCCTGGAAAAGGCCTGCCCACGGAAACAGCCCTGTCCTCGACCTTTTCCAAAGACTAACCGCACCTTCAGACACACCCACACCCACCTCTGGTGTCAGGGTATATAATAACCAGCCAGAGTAGGAATAAAAGAGAGCCTTCTTGAGGAGCCTTCGGGTCTCTGTGTTGTCAATCCCCAACATCCTCCGCACGTTCTCGGACACAGGCTGCGCAGCAGATGCGACAAAGACTGATACTCTGATACCCTGGAACACTGTCTTTGACAGCAAAAGACACTCCTCCGTCTCTGTTTTCTTTTTTTTTTTTTTTTTTTTTTTTTTGGTTTTTACGAGACAGGGTTTCTCTGTATTGTTTTGGAGGCTGTTGGTCCAGCCTGGCCTCGAACTCACAGAGATCCGCCTGCCTCTGCCTCCCGAGTGCTGGGATTAAAGGCGTGTGCCACCACCGCCCGGCTCCGTCTCTGTTTTCTTTTTTCTTTTTTTTGGTTTTTCGAGACAGGGTTTCTCTGTGGCTTTGGAGGCTGTCCTGGAACTAGCTCTTGTAGACCAGGCTGGCCTCGAACTCACAGAGATCCGCCTGCCTCTGTCTCCCAAGTGCTGGGAATAAAGACGTGTGCCACCAACGCCCGGCCTGTCTCTGTTTTCTTATGAGTCAAACCAAGGATGAAATACACAACAAGATGTAACACCCCCAAACATTACATTACATGAAAGAAGTTGGTGACAGAAGGTGGCCTGCTGTGTGAAATGGCCAGAAAAAGGCAATCCCCAGGTCGGGACACAATCTAGTGGCTGCCTGGGGGTGGGGGGCCTGGGAATTGGTACAAGGGATTAGGGAACATGACGGAAACCTTCCAGCACCGGACTGCAAACACTTTGCGGATTTTTGAGTCACTGAGTTGCACACTTAGAAACTTGTGTGTGTAAGTTACACCTCAATGAAGCTATCTTGGTTTGTTAGTTTGAATTTTGAGTCAGTGTCTCTATTTGATGCTCAAGCTGAGTTTGAACTCTTGGTCTGCAGTCATCAGCCTTGTGAACAGCCGGGACAATAGGCATACTGTGGTTTGTTTGATGTTACATGGGTGGGAGCAAAGTTGCAGCAAAGCCAGTACGACAGCTCATCACCCTCGGGGCTGTGAACCACCAAGCAACCCACAGGACAGTGGGTTTACTCCTGCACTTGGTCGAGGATTTGACTTGTCCCCAGCTATAGGAGGAGGAGATGGGCTGTAGCTCGGGCTTTCACATCCTTTGCTCTTGTTCCAAATCATAATTCTGTTGCAATATGAGCAGGTGTTCACGGCAGTCTAACTTTGCTTTACAGGCTTCCTGGAGTCTGTTCCACGGAAGTACAAGAGAGGAAACAAGCCATTTTTACATGATAGGGCCTGCTGCCGTTCCACCTCGTGGGGGTCTCAGGACCTCCTCCATCTCAATTTCCTTATGAGTAAAAATACAGCCGGCAGGCCCTGCTTCCACAGGGCCACTGTTACTGAGCAAGACAATGCATACGAAGAACGTGAGTCCGTCCATCCCATCCCCCACCCCAGGCTTCCCGTGCACCCATCCAAGTCAATGCACCTCCTCAGCAGGCTTCTGCCAGAGACCCTGGCAGCTACTGAAAACAACCATCTCCACCCATCTTTCCCCACAGCCTCTAATTCCACATGCTCGGTGAGGTTCCCCACGGACCGCTCATTCCCTTCACTGCCTGTAAGTAAATTAATTAGCAGGAGCCAGGCTGCAGGTGTATGTGTGAGCTTAATGAGTTTGTCCTTGTAGCTGACATGGACTGCTGAGCACAGTCCCCAGGGAGTGGGTGTCATACCTCTGACTCCACCTGTTCAGACTCACACAGATGTTGTCTGATGCTGTGCAGCACCAGCAGGGACCAGCCCGATCACACGCGAGGACATCAAGCGTCAGGCAGTGCCCGTTATGCACAAGCTCTCCGGCCCACACCAGCACATCCAGACAGACCCCAGTGAGTAGAGGGAGGAGACACAGAGACTGGGTTTTAGCAGCCAGAGGGTGAGCATCTCTGTGTGGGGAAGAACTCTAACCACACGCTAAGGACTCGTGATGAATGACGGACCACAGCGGCCGGGGAGATGCCGAAAGCTGGGCCCCTTGAGCATCCCGATTCATTAACGGGCACTGAGGCTGCACTGAGTGCCTCTTCTCCCTGCTCTGACAGAGTACTCCACATCTTTCCCCTCAAGGGCCAGCGTCCACACTGGTGGGATGGTGTGGCGGTAGAAAGATTAAGAGGAAGTGGCGGTCACCCGAAGTAAAGAAGCAAAGGGTTGAGTGTCAGCCACACTCAGGGTAGGGCTTCCCATCTCAATTAAACCTTTCTGGAAACACCTTCTAGAACGAGCCAGAGGCATGCTTCCGTGGTGATTCTAAATGCAGCCAGGTGGGCAGTGAAGTTAACCACACAGAGGTTGCTTCATTAAAAAAGAGACAAGACAGACATCTAATGCTTCCAAAGTCCTGCTGCCAAGAAGCAACCTGTCAGCCGGCCAATCAAACCTGAACCCAACCAATCTCCTAGATTCAATACTCCAGACTCAGCTGTTCTCAACCTGTGAGTCACGACCCTTTGAGGGGGTCAAAGTGACCCTTTCACAGGGTTCGCATATCAGATACCATTTACATTGCAATTCATTAATTCATAGCAGTAGCAAGATTACAGCTATGAAGTAGCAATGAAAATAAATTTATGGCTGGGATTCACCACAACATGAGGAACAGTATTCAGGGGTAGCAGCACTAGGAAGGTTGAGATTCAATGGTCTAGAAGGTCATACACAGGCCAGGGGAATGTGTGACACGGTCCCGTGGAGACGCCGTTTTCAATGAGCAAAGGCTGGAGTGTCACCGGTGAATGAATGACAGGGAATAAAGGCAATGGAGGACACCATGTTTCCATGGGACGTGTTCCCAGACTTGTGTGCTGAAGTATCGGTCCCCGCTTTCTGGGGGAGAGGTGAAAACTTCACAAGGCAATGCCAGCTGGAAGGAAGTCACTGGGGGAGACTTAACTCTGCCTCATCAAGGAGAAAAGGAACCGACGCATCTGGAGACGAAGGATGACATCAGTCCTGCTGCACAGGCCGCATCAAATCCTCATGCCGACAGACAATGAAGCATTGCAACACACAAAAGAGACAGGCAGAAGTTCAAACCCTGACTTAAGTGCTTGATGACACAGAAGAATTAGTTGCTGAGTTTTTAGACACACTAACAGCCTTGCAGGTTTTGTTCATTTTGTGGTGCTGAAGGCAGAACCCAGGCCCCGTGCGTGTGAGGAAAGTGCTCTGACCCTGAACTATACCCCGAGTCCTCGCAGCTACATTGTTAAAGAGCCTTTGTCTTTCAGAGATTCGGGAACAGAGGACAGATGATGGCGATGATGGCAGGCTTTGCTTTCTAATAGTTTGGGTGGCATGGAAAAGGAGAGGTGGAGGCGAGCACGACTGAGTAGTCAAAGCTGGTGATGAACACTTGGGGCTTAGCTGCACTGCTTCTGCTCTGCTTGTAACGCTCCACAGCGAGGGAGCACAGCTCTCCACAGCGAGGGAGCACAGCTCTTCCAGTGAGGGAGCACAGCTCTCCTCAGCGAGGGAGCACAGTTCTCCACAGCGAGGGAGCACGGCTCTCCACAGCGAGGGAGCACAGTTCTCCACAGTGAGGGAGCACGGCTCTCCACAGCCAGGGAAGCACAGCTCTCCACAGCGAGGGAGCACGGTTCTCCACAGCGAGGGAGCATGGCTCTCCACAGCGAGGGAGCACAGCTCTCCACAGCGAGGGAGCACAGCTCTTCCAGTGAGGGAGCACAGCTCTCCACAGCGAGGGAGCACAGCTCTTCCAGTGAGGGAGCACAGCTCTTCCAGTGAGGGAGCACAGTTCTCCACAGTGAGGGAGCACGGCTCTCCACAGCCAGGGAAGCACAGCTCTCCACAGCGAGGGAGCACGGTTCTCCACAGCGAGGGAGCATGGCTCTCCACAGCGAGGGAGCACGGTTCTCCACAGCGAGGGAGCATGGCTCTCCACAGCGAGGGAGCACAGCTCTCCACAGCGAGGGAGCACAGCTCTTCCAGTGAGGGAGCACAGCTCTTCCAGTGAGGGAGCACAGTTCTCCACAGTGAGGGAGCACGGCTCTCCACAGCCAGGGAAGCACAGCTCTCCACAGCGAGGGAGCACGGTTCTCCACAGCGAGGGAGCATGGCTCTCCACAGCGAGGGAGCACAGCTCTCCACAGCGAGGGAGCACAGCTCTTCCAGTGAGGGAGCACAGCTCTCCACAGCGAGGGAGCACAGCTCTTCCAGTGAGGGAGCACAGCTCTCCACAGTGAGGGAGCACAGCTCTCCACAGTGAGGGAGCACAGCTCTCCACAGAGAGGGAGCACAGCTCTTCCAGTGAGGGAGCACAGCTCTCCACAGCGAGGGAGCACAGCTCTCCACAACGAGGGAGCACAGCTCTCCACAGCGAGGGAGCATGGCTCTCCACAGCGAGGGAGCACGGTTCTCCACAGCGAGGGAGCATGGCTCTCCACAGCGAGGGAGCACAGCTCTCCACAGCGAGGGAGCACAGCTCTTCCAGTGAGGGAGCACAGCTCTTCCAGTGAGGGAGCACAGTTCTCCACAGTGAGGGAGCACAGCTCTCCACAGCCAGGGAAGCACAGCTCTCCACAGCGAGGGAGCACGGTTCTCCACAGCGAGGGAGCATGGCTCTCCACAGCGAGGGAGCACAGCTCTCCACAGCGAGGGAGCACAGCTCTTCCAGTGAGGGAGCACAGCTCTCCACAGCGAGGGAGCACAGCTCTTCCAGTGAGGGAGCACAGCTCTCCACAGTGAGGGAGCACAGCTCTCCACAGTGAGGGAGCACAGCTCTCCACAGAGAGGGAGCACAGCTCTTCCAGTGAGGGAGCACAGCTCTCCACAGGGAGGGAGCACAGCTCTCCACAACGAGGGAGCACAGCTCTCCACAGCGAGGGAGCATGGCTCTCCACAGAGAGGGAGAACAGCTCTCCACAGAGAGGGAGAACAGCTCTCCACAGAGAGGGGGCACAGCTCTCCACAGAGAGGGAGCACAGCTCTCCACAGAGAGGGAGCACAGCTCTCCACAGAGAGGGAGCACAGCTCTCCACAATGAGGAAGTACAGCAAGGGACCACAGCTCTCCACAGCGAGGGAGAGCAACCAAAGACTAGAGTCAGTGTTCTCTGCTTCCGTTTTCCTTCTGACTCAGTATTACCACTCTCCAGATGCACTATTACTTAATGAACTGCCAAGAAAAGAAGAACATATTGCTGATTAAACGACATGCCATCCCTGAGAACACAGAGCTGTCAACGTGGAAACATTAGTAAACTCCAGCTGGCATTTAGCCAGCATTCCTGTGAGCTTATCATTTTGTAAAGAACCGTTAATCTCCTAACAACTGTATGAAGATGCCCTCATTTTTACAGACAGATAAAAGGAAGGCCCAGAGAAGCTAATTAACTCATCCAGAGTCACCCAGCCAATAAGATGTGACCCACAGCCATCTATCTATGCAGGGTCTATGGGTGTCTTTCCTCAGTGGGAGGTCACCTCAGTGTGCACAGTAGCCCAGGGGAGACAGCTACTTGGACTCCAAGGTTGTAACTACTCTAGGCCCCCTGCTGGAGGAGAGAGAGGAAGAGGGTGCTCACAGGGTCTGGATGGCCCGCAGCGAGGTGAAGGTGCCCTTGGCGAGACTCTGTATCTTGTTGTCATACAGGGAGAGCAGAGAGAGGTTCTGCAGGTCCTGGAAGGCGTCGGGTCGGATGCAGTTGATCTTGTTGGCATTCAAAAGCCTGCAGACAGAGACAGCCGGGAGGTAAGAGGGTGGCCGGGTCTGACCCCTCACATGTCCTGCACCATCCTGGCCCTGGACACGGGTGACCTCAAGCCTCTCCACACTGCTTTCTCCTTCCCTGTCTGCATGCTAACTCTGAGTTGGCTGCAGAGAGCACAGGGGCAGAGGGGTTCCTTCTTCCCACGATCCTGCGGGGTCCCCATGCGTACACAGGGGCGTTTTGTTATGGCATCAGCTAGGTCTAGATTCCTGGCTGAATCCTCTTGATTCAGGAGGCAGAGCTGACCTGGGGACCCTGTAAGAGACAGCCTTGTCTCCAAGGGCACAAGAACACAGGTCATATCTCATAGGCCTCTGACAAGCAGCACTAGGCCCCCCTCTGCTTCCACATCTGGCCTCATAGCCTTACTGGGGCAGATGAGCCTTGTACCCCAAGTGTGGTATGAACTGAAGTTCCCAGGAAAAGCCGCAATGTTAAAGATTCTACAAGACTGTTTGCGGGCTAGAACTTGATGACTGAGGAGAGCTGGAATAGTGAGGACCAGAGACAGATTCTCTTGGACTGTCCCCTGAAGAGCTACCCACTTCCCACCACTACACCTGACCGGCACCTCTGGGTGCCATCAGGTCAAACGTGTGGGCCGTATTAGCAGACCCATAGCTTCTTGATAGAAGCTAAGCCTATAATCATCCAGCACCTACAACCTGTCACAGTGGGCGGAGAGCTGGGGTTTGTGTCTCTGGGAAGCCAGAGGGATGTGGACCCAAGGACATTCCAGAACCATTTCTTACAGCAGCTGGAGTGTGTACAGGCCTCCAAACACACCGCGTGGCAGGTCCGTGATCTTGTTGCCATAGAGGACCCTGGAGAAAAGGTAACCGAGAGGCAGGGTCAGAGGGCAGCTTTGCCAAGCCTCAGCAGGGCTCTGCAGGCCCACAGGCCTTTCACAGGCAGCCTCTCCATCCATATGGTTACTGTAGCAGTAATGAGTCTCCAGGAAGCAGGAGACACCCTCACCACTCGGGCTGGGATGCAATGTTTCTGTGTTTACCCCTCTGCCCACCCCACCCCCAAAGAAGTCCACAGATGTACGCAGAGCTGCCTTTCCAAGGGACCTCACAAAGAAGTCATTCAGTCTCAGATCCAAAGGAGAGACAGTCTCTGGGCAGGAAGGATGAACACATTTTCAGAGAGACACAGGGAAAAAATAGAACAGCAGACAGCACGTGAGAGATAGGTGGAGGGATTGCAAGTGGTGTATTTTTATACTTTGATATTTGCAAAGTTTTCCACACTGAGCATGAATGAATCTAATGTATAATGAGATGGAGGGGGAGTGCAGAATTTAAAAAAGCGAGCAGACAGGAATGTGTTCAGGCAGACAGTGAAACGCTGCAGGGGTTGGAGGAGCTAAGAGCGTGTATTTTGTTCCCAGTGTGTAATCAGTCAGAGCGAAAAGCCTGCACATTGTCTCCGCAAATACGGCTTGGAGAGCCTTCCCAGAGGAGGGCGTGGCAAGGGTGAGGACCATGAGGGTCCATATAGAGCACGGAGAAGATGACTTGAAGGGGGGAGGATGACCACCAGACTCAAGACGTGCTCAGATGTCCGTCTCTGAGCTGTGCCAGGAACTGCAGGGCAAAGATGGAACAGAGGGAGAAACTGGGCAGAAAGACAGGGCAGGCGCGTACAACGGGGTCACGTGTTTGATCCCAGCATACAATTTCTTAGAGAACAGGAAGGTGGCCTTGACCCCAGGAGTGACAGGAATCCATTGAAAAGGGTTATTATCACCTCTAAACTGTATTGGTCCCATATAAGGTAATGAAATTCATGTCTCAGAGGAAAAAGCAAACAAAAAGCCCCACAGGCCAGGCCACACAAGGTCTGATCAGCTCAGCCAGTGACAATGACTCATGCTCAGGCTGCCATGCACAGCTGTGTGGGCTGTGTGCTGCACATCTGTGTGGGCTGTGCGCTGCACATCTGTGTGGGCTGTGCGCTGCACATCTGTGTGGGCTGTGTGCTGCACATCTGTGTGGGCTGTGCGCTGCACATCTGTGTGGGCTGTGCGCTGCACAGCTGTGTGGGCTGTGCGCTGCACAGCTGTGTGACTCCACACTACACATCTGTATGGGCCGTGTGCTGCACATCTGTGTGGGCTCCACACTACACATCTGTATGGGCTGTGCGCTGCACATCTGTATGGGCCGTGTGCTGCACATCTGTGTGGGCTGTGCGCTGCACATCTGTGTGGGCTCCACACTACACATCTGTATGGGCTGTGTACTGCACATCTGTGTGGGCTGTGTGCTGCACATCTGTGTGGGCTCCACACTACACATCTGTATGGGCTGTGTACTGCACATCTGTGTGGGCTGTGTGCTGCACATCTGTGTGGGCTGTGTGCTGCACATCTGTATGGGCTGTGTACTGAACATCTGTGTGGGCCGTGTGCTGCACATCTGTGTGGGCTGTGTACTGAAGGCATCTGTGTGGGCTCCACACTACACATCTGTATGGGCTGTGCGCTGCACATCTGTGTGGGCCGTGTGCTGCACATCTGTGTGGGCTGTGTACTGCACATCTGTGTGGGCTCCACACTGCACAACTTCATGGGCACTGTTCACAGTTGGCCTTATCATCTGTGACTCTACCCCAAAAGAAGGCATGCATAGAAGCAGCAAGCTGACAGCCCCGTTTCTCCCCTGGCAGTGAGGTGTCCATCCATCCCACTGGCCAGGCCGCCAGGCCACGCAGTCATGTGTTAGTCTGCCCCGTGCATGAGAGTACCACAGGACGCTGAGCCATGAGGCGCTTGGCCAGCTGCCAGCAGACCTCAGGCTCTACTCACAGGGAGTTCAAGGAGCGGAGGCCCTGGAAGGCATCGGGGGCAATCTCAGCAATCTGGTTGTTGCTCAGGTCTCTGCAAAGGGAGAGGAAGAAGGCGGCTGCATCCTAAGACTGCAGGCCTGGTCTCTTCTACCTCCCAGCCACACAGGGCGCAGGGCTTCTTTGAAAATAGAAAGGCCAGCTACCCCTCCAGGGAAACGTCTGCAGGCTCTGTCTGTGTCCCTCTCCCTACCCCAACCCCCCCCCCCCGCTCAGTAGAAGACCTTCTGCCTGGGCCCAATGGCCTTCTCACTACCCCAGTGGCTTTCTGGCTGGAAAGATAAGGTGACAAGCAACTGTAGGCATGGGTCAGGCCTGGACTCGGTGTCCCATCCAGGTCTCACAGCCACTCAACATCCCAGACGACAGCCCTGATACAGGAAGGCCAGGCAGGGCGCTGGGTGGAGATCTGTCCCTGGGCTGTGAGACAGGACTGGCCCAGAGTCTTCCTCCTGCCAGCCGGAGAGTGTGGGGGCGGGGGGGGGCTTCACTCACATCCTTCGCAGCTTTCTGTAGGGAGAGAAGGCTCCTGGTGGTATGGATTTGATACCATTCAACTCCAGGCGGCTACAGGGAGAGGAAGGTATGAGAAGGCCTAGCATCACCCTTAGGAACCAACAACTGTCCCCTGCAGCCCTTCACCCGTGGGGCCAATGTCTGGCGGGTTGATGGATATTACTGTGATCTGAGCCCCAGGACCCTCGAGTTCTGTGGCTGAATGGGCCTGATGGTGATGCTATCCTAAGAATCCCATGCCGGCAGCCTCACCCGAATGGGCTGACCTCCGAGGGGAGCCCTATCCCCAGTATTTGGGAACTTCCCAGCCTTGCACAGAGAGCTCAGCTGGGTCAAGGAGCCGCTTCCTCCAGCTGCCACTGAGAAACCCGGGGAAGCCCAGGAGGCTCCGTGCCAGCTCTTCACTGGTGACTGAACAGCAGAAGCTGTGTCCTGGGGCCGCTCGGCCCTGCACTCACATCTCCGTCATGGTCTCAGGCAGGTTAGCAGGAATGGCAGTGAGTCCTTTGCCACGGCAGTCCACGATGCCACTGCTGCAGGTGCACATGGCTGGGCAGGAGCCGGAAGAGAGGGCGCAGGTGGGCACTCGTGTGGACTCCCCCTGGCCTGCAGAAACAGTGGGTGTGATGTCGGAGAACAGTACACGGCCACTGCCTCTCCGGATCTGCCGCTGGGCGAGGACAGGGGCGCAGCCCGTGGAGGGGGCTCAGTCACAGGCGCTCCCCGAGGTTGCAGGAACGAGTACACTCTGATGTGTTCCAGGGCCCCTGAACTCAGGCTGAACAAAGCTGACTGCTCCCAAAGGTGATTCCTATGCTAGCAAACTCTATCCTAGGCTTCTGAAACTCCAAACCACTCAGCCTCCTGAGCCAGGACCCCCCCATCCGAAGGAGCTGGGTTCACTGAGCACCGGCTCTGTGTCCACATGGTGTTCACGGAGTCCACGCAGGCTCACACGAACCCTCCCGCACCACCCTTGAGCACCCGATCATCGCCTGTGCCCGCGACACTCCTTACATGGTAGAGTCACATGGCTCAATGACTAAAGTCGAAGCCAGGGCCAAGCCCACTGTGTGACGTCAGAGTTCACGCTTTTAAAAGCTATGGTATAACTTACACGAAGCTCACCATTTTAAATGCACAGCTGGTTGAAAACATTACCCAGACAGGGTGCTTTTCTAACCCCAAGAAACTCCCTCTGGCCCTTTCTTTAAGAATATCGCTATTCTGAGATATAACACCAAAGATCTGTGGCTCTTGTTGGAGAACATCACCTAAGTGCAATCACAAGGGAGGGTCTCTTCCCTTCATAAAACCCCAGGATTCACCTTGCTGAATACTTAAGTGCCTATTAAGTCTTTTTCATTGCTGAATAGTATTCCACTTTATGACAAGGCCGTCATTAGTAATTCTACCCTCAGACGTGTTTTTATGCGGAACAAATGTATAGAACCCTGGAAGGGTAGAGTTCTGGTGTTCCCTCACTGAAGCCAAGGGGAGCAGCTAGTAACATGACTGCGGTGAAGCCACCGTGAGAGGGGTGACGCTAGGCGGGGGAAAGAAGGCAGGGAGGAAACAGCGAATGGCAAAGGAACAGGAGAAGGCATGGAGGAGAAGCAGGGGGACAGAGACTGGAGAGGAGGGCCCGAGGGGCGTGGGGGAGAGGAGAGGAGGCAAGAAGAAAACATATAGACCAAAGGAGATGGGCGGTAGCAGAAGGGCAAAGGCGGGCGCGGGGGGGGGGGGGGCGCCGTCCACCGGGGTGGCGGGCAGCGAGAGGGGGTGACAGAGGGCAGGAGGTGTGGGTAATAATGCGCGGTTACAGCAGGCATGGGCAGCAGGAAGCCACAGGCAGGACAGGAGCGAGGGCGAGGCCGCGGCACGCACCTGAGCAGCCGAACTCGCTCTTTTGCACCTCTGCCACGTTGAGGCCCCGGAGGCTGGCAGGCCCGGAGCACTGGGTGAAGAGCCCGATGGTGGGCCTCTGCCTCAGCCACTGCGAGAGCCAGGCCAGGTGACAGTCACAGAACAGGTGGTTGGAGTGCAGGCGGCTACAGGAGGACAGCAGCTAGAGCAGCAGACCCCACCCATCCATCAAGTCGCCCCTCCCAGCAGACCCCACCCATCCATCAAGTCGCCCCTCCCAGCAGACCCCACCCATCCATCAAGTCGCCCCTCCCAGCAGACTCCACCCATCCAGCACAGTCGCCCCTCCCAGCAGACCCCACCCATCCATCAAGTCGCCCCTCCCAGCAGACCCCACCCATCCAGCACAGTCGCCCCTCCCTCCCCCAGGCAGGGGGTCTTAGGCCTTTCACCCAGTCTCAACCTCGCACGGTTCCCTGCTGCAAAAAGCTCCTCCTGGCTCCCTTCTCTCCCAGCCTCTCTAGAACCTGGCTTCACCTCTCAGAGTTCACATGGAACCTTGGCCAGACCACCCACCTCAACTTCAAGGACAAAACCAAGCCACTTGTCTAAGGAAAAACCAAGCACAGGAGGCACTGGGTGCCTTTCAGTTTCAGAGCCCAGGCTACCCTGGCTGGCCCCCGGGCTGTGGAGGGCAGGCTGCCCCTCGGGCTGTGGAGGGCAACCACACCCACACCCCTCTTCCCACTGCCCAAGTGACTCACAAGGTCCGCAGCTTGGGCATGTGGTTGAAACTGGACACCGGGATGGTGGTGATGTTGTTGTTGTTCAGGGTCCTGAAAGGGACAGACAGACCATGTAGCACCTGCCCAGCAAGGATTTACAGGAGACACATCTGCTCACATAGAGCCTCTCATGCCAGCTGTGACGCTTTGCCTAGAGGGGGACCAGCCCTGCTCTGGATGTGAAGGTATTGGGGACAGCCCAGAGCAGGTGTGACTGCGCTCTTGTCACTCCATAGACCCCGCGTCTGGGAGGACAGGGAGACAGAGCTGGAAAGGCCCCGGAAGAAAGAGCAGCTCACACACAAAGGGGAGAAGAGCAGGAGGCCATCTCAGCCTCCGTGGTGGGAAGTCTGGGAGGACAGGGAGACAGAGCTGGAAAGGCCCCGGAAGAAAGAGCAGCTCACACACAAAGGGGAGAAGAGCAGGAGGCCATCTCAGCCTCCGTGGTGGGAAGTCTGGGAGGACTTTGGGCCTCCACTGTGGCTAATGTGTGACCCTGAGCTCGGCCTCCTGCATCAGCTCCCCGGCCACGGCCCGCCCGGGTTTTACTTACAGAACCTCTAGTCCCCGCAGGGCACGGAAGGCCCCTTCCTCGATGCAGCTGATCTGGTTCTTATCCAGCTGTCTATAAAGCAGAGGAGAGCTATGAGGAGGGGAGCATTGCCCAGAACGGGGGCCGAGCGTCTTGACAGAGCACTCCATTTTAAAAGAAGAGACCCACAGCGTCAATCATCTGTTCTGCGTGTGTCAGTCAAAGGAGAGCTATTAATAAAAGCTGATTTCTTCTTATTTTCAGTTAAAACGATAAATGGAAATGAAAGTCCTATTAGCATTCCTCCACCCCGCCCTGTATGCCCCTTGGGGAGCAGGCATCCTTCCCCCACATTTTGGAGACCACCTAGAGTGTGTTGGCAGCTGACAAATTGGAGTCACCCAGGAGAAGTGGCAGCAGGGGCTGGCAGCCAGAGTTCTGCTGAATGCCAAGTGAGATCGGCTAGCACTGGATACCTGGGGTGCTGCTTTCAGAGCCAGCGGAAGCTGCGATCCGAGTTCAGTGGGAAAGAATGCGGTGATCGATTACCAATGTCTGCTACAGGCATGGGAAGGGTGTGTGTGACAAGCATGCCAGGCATTTGCCATTTTGGTTTGTAGCCAGACCTCAGGAGGTGGTAGGCCTGGACCAGAATAAATTTGAATACTAATAAACCACTGCATTTAAATAGTGCTCCATGGAGTGTACGCATTTCCACATCTCATTTCAACCTTAGAATATGCTTGTGGAGGGCACATTGTTTTCGTGAACAATATGTGGAGACTCGGTGATGCAAACTGACTTCAGCGGCTTATGCAGTGTAACTGGAGGAGACTAAACCCAGCTCTTAACCCAAAGAGCTAGAGGACACGGCCGGGAAACCAGTCCCCACAGCGCACGCCTGGCTGTCACACAGAATCACATGCAAGCAAGGGATGGCCCTGCCGATTCCCTCTAAGGTGGCTTAGAACGTGTGGCACAGGTGAGGACGTGCCAGGGTGGCCACCCCAGGCCTCTACTCACAGATTTTTGAGGTCGGTGGCTCCCCGGAAAGCCTTCCTGGGCACAGCCTGGAGGGCATTCTCACTCAGGTCCCTGGGGGACAAATGAAAGAGAGACGTTACCAGTCAGGGAAGCCATGGTAAGAAGTGAGGCCAGTGGCCTGGTGATGACATCCCAGCATCTGGATGGGCTCCTGTTGCTCTGTAAACATCTGAAAGAACAAACTGTGGAGCTGTCTGTCCTGACAGACATTCTGTCCCAGACCACCTTCCTTCTGGGCAGATGATGTTAGAGAGAAGCTTCCAGTAGCTGTGATCAGTCCCAGCAGCCCCCCCATGGTTGGCTGAACCCCCACTGCATAGGAGGGAGCTCTCCAGGGCCCTCAGTTGCTCTTGGCTTCTGCTGTGCTTTGCTGGTGAGGACGCTGTGATTGCTGGAGGAGACAGGCCCAAGTGGTCATGAAGTAGGCTGTATCTGATTCCACGTCTGCTCTGGGGCATTGCAGACAGCAGAGCACAGGAGAGCCTGGACCCCCTGGGGACCAGGCCACAGCCCAGGGTACCATGCAGCCCTCGCTGGCTCTGTGCCCTTACCCCTGACCACAGCAAGTGCAGGAGAACCCAGGCAAGACCCCCAACTACTGCAGAACCCAGGTCACTAGCTCTTCCTTTTGTTTATTTTTAAGGCACTGGGGATACAGCCATCAGTGCTCAAGAGGAATGCCTACAGGTAGTGAGGACCCCTGAGGGCCTTGTGGAAAGGAAGAGCAGGACATGCCAATACGAGATGTTCCTATACCCACATAGTGTTAGATACTCGGCTACACTGCTTCCCCTCTTCTCCTCGTGTGTGAAATGCATGGATTGCACCCCACCAATGGGGTCCCCCATATGTGAGACTCAGGGACACATGCTGTGGCCTGAGTGTCCTCCAACCCATTCCTGTGTTAGAGCCTAGTTACAGACATGGTGGTGCTAGGAGGTGGAGCCTGCAGGAGGGGTCAGGGTCAGGCACCGGGGTCAGGCTCTTAGGAACAGGACTGGTGCCGAATAGAAGCCTCAGAGGCCAAGCACGCAAGAGCGCATGCCCACCGGAACCTGATCATATGGATTCATGTGGCGGATGGAGAGAGCTCACCCCTGCAAGTTGTCTTCCTACCTCCATACTGTGTTCTGTGGCACACGCACCTCCCCCCAGCCTCCCGCCTCAGTAAGGAAATTAATGCAATGTAGAAACGGTGAGAACAAAGATGCCTCGAACAGTTGTCTGCCCCACTGCCGTAAGAGGACACGGCGAGGTCTGTGAATCAGAAAGTGGACCCTCCTCACACACCAAACTTCGAGTCTTGCTGCAGAGAACCATGAGAAATACATTTCTCTTGTTGGTAAGCCACTCAGCCTGTGGCATCTCACTACAGGAGCTTGAAGAGACTCAGACACACGATCAGTGAAGGGCTTGGCTTTGGGGCCCCTTACATCCCTAAAGTGAGGGGACCACTGCTAACAGAGGCATTTGAGAGGTGGGGAGAAGGTAAAGTTAAACTACTCTTCGTCCCCAGGGAATTAGAGGGATAGGAAAGCCTGTTGTTTAGAATAGATAAAGGCAGAGAGGTGACGCCTGAGGAATGTGGGGGTACACAGGGAGCAGCACCCCAGGCAGAGCCTGAGAGACAATCCTGGGCTGTTCCTCCTCTGTATTATCCACTTAATCCTCCCCTCAGCCCTGCAAGGAGGGTTTGTTATCTGTATCGATTAGCTGATCGATTGCCCAAGCCTGTTCCATGCAGACTTTACAGTAGCTTGCAGGGATTTACAAACCAGCAAGGGAGCAGGCAGGAGGATTCAGCAAAGAGAAGGAAAATCAATGGCCAGTGCTCCGAATATGCAGTGTGTGACTCACAGGCCTACCAGCCAGGGCAGAGGAGGGGCTCAAGAGGCCAATGAGGGGGATCAGCGGTACACATGGTCTCTGTGTAGTCTAAATGGGTCCCAGCGTCAGAAGTACACTGTGTGGGCGCTCAGCTGAGACAAGAATTCCCCCAGGAGTCCTTATGAAAATGGCGGCATGGCCTCCGCGGTAACAGTGGATCCTGATGAATGGGCTTTGAGTGCTTCTTATCACAGCATTGTGTCAAGGTGTGTCTCAGGAAGTCAATTCTGCAGGCACTCAGACCAGGAACTAATCAAGGAGCGAGGACAAGGAGCAGCTGGGGCGCCAGGCACAGCCTGGAACAAGTGGGTCACAACCCAGCCTGCCAAGATGGGCCGGAGAGGATGATGGTCCAGGCTTTGTGGACATTGCCCTGGGACTAAAGCTCCCAGAGTCCAGAGCCGATAGAGTGGGACACCGAGAGAAGCCCAGGCCGGCCCTGGCCAGTCCGTGCACGGAGGAAGCCTCTCTCCTGTTTAAATGACCAATGGAACAGTCTGCAAACAGTTTGCATCATGAAGGCCAGCAGGAACAGGCAAGCCTCGGCAGGCTCAAGAAAATGAAGGGAGATGCAATGGGAAGATTTAGGGGTTCAGCCAGCACCAGTCATGGGCCCATAGAACCCAGAGGGCTTTGGAGAATGGGTGTTGTCTGTCACGCAGGACCTGGTGAAGATCCTGTGACTGCACAGTTTAACGTTTAAACCTCATTTCCATTTATCAGTATTCAGAAAATCGGGCTTTTGTCCCTTCTTTCGCCAAGGTGTCACGGTTGTTTCCAGAATGGCCACTAGGGTGCGCCAGAAGCCTTCCCTGGATGCGATACACAGCCGCAAGTTCTAAGCAAGGTGGGTCTCACTTTTTGCTGCACTTGACTTGCTGGGGGACATGTTTCTTGTCTTTGTCACACACACACACACACACACACACACACACACACACACACACACACACACCAGCTAAAGCTGCTTATTTCTGCTTGCACATGGCCTGTGTGGAAATCCCCCAGCCCTCAGCCTCCTGTCATCCTCAAACTCAGGTCACCCATTCCTCTTCCATGGTGGCCGCAGGACCCACAAAATGAGGAGAATGGCCAGACGTGTGTCTAAGAAATAAGGGGGCCCTGGAGAGAAAGCAGTGTGTGGCTTAGTCCTTGGGATGTGGAAATCCAACCAGCAGGGACCAAGTGTGTGCTCAGAGAGATGGGCAGGGCCCTCACCGCTGGCTATGAGGTGGAGAACAGAGCCTGTTTGGGGGTCAGGGAGAGGTTAGTGACAAGGAGGTGGGTGGGGGCAGCCACTGTTGCAGTCAAGGCACAGTGGAGAACACCACAGCTGGGTGCCGTGGTGAAAGGATTCGGCACACCAGGACTGGGCCACCTGCATTACAAGATACTGGGCAGCCCTGCACCTAGAAAACCAGTTAGCTTTCCCTAGCTCCAACCTGTTCCCTCTCCTACACACACACACACACACACACACACACACACACACACACGCACGCACGCACGCACGCACGCACGCACGCACGCGTCTCCTTTTTCAGCAAATACAAGCATATTGGATTGACATATGGATGTTTAATTGCCACCCATCTCCCCATAATCTCCCAACAGCAGACATCTCTCTTGCTCCCAGCATATCCTGGGGCTGGCGCATTGCACAGGTGCCATAACCTTAACTGAACTAACTACTGAAGATACTCAGTGACTTCTCCCATCCTGACAGACATCCCACACACCAGCCAGAGCCAGGGACTAGGAGACTGGGACAGGATACTGCTTCAGAGGGGCAAAGGCTGGGGTCAGATAGGAGCCTCTGCACCACTGGGCCCCCAGGGCTTTGGGGTTTCCTGTACCGTCATACAGATGGCCTCTAAAAGGCAGAGCAGCGCCAAACATGGTGTTATGGACGGTGTCATCTCGACCCCGTGCTCTGGGCAGCCACTGAGGAAGGGAAGGGTCTATCCTGGGAGCCTCCAGAGAAGGAAGTCTGTCCTGAGGAGTGTGTCCTGTAGGCAGAGATCCCCCCAGTCTAGCCTGTATCCCATTCCCAACGGCCAAGGCTCTGGAGGTAAGTTTCTACTCCCAGTCATCTCCCACTGGGTATGGGCACCCAACCTCTCCCTGACACTCCCCCCAATGCCTATTCCAGCTCCCCCTCCACACTCTGACAGCAGGGGAGCCAAGGTCAGGACCCCGTGTTCTCACTACTAATCCCTTTAGGCTCTAGCCTCTAACTGGTCTCAGCAGGCACACTGCCTCTGGGGGGGGATTAGTGGGGCCCAGCAGGGCAGGGCATTGGGCACCAGCCAAGGCCACACTGGGCTCTGGGCTCTGACATGGATCTTCTGCCCCACTTCAAGCCCCACTGCAAGGCTCTTTAATCTGTGGCTCTTGGAGTCACAGGGAGGTCAGCACAGCCCAGTGCTCCAGGGCATCTCTTGCATGGCTTCCCTATCAGCAGACGGCCAGACCTGGGCCTGGAGCAAAACTGAGCCAGCCACACGCACACTGAGAACCTCCTACAAGTCTTTGACTCCAGGGCTGTGTAGGGGATGGCTTGGCTTCCTCTTCAGAAAGCACAAGTAGTTGTCATGGTTGGAGCAGAGGCATGGGAGAGCTCAGCCAAAGCTGCCCTTAGGTCACTGTCTTTGTGGCTCTGCCATAGGAACGTGGAGCCTGAGGTCTGGCCATCACCAGGAGCTCCAGGTGGCCTCCTACTGGTCTGGGGCTGGGCTCCAGACATGACTTCAAATCATCAGGGGTCCGGCACCTATGCTTTAGTTGGGGACAAAGGAAAGCAGCTACTGGGCCTCTCTCTCAAGGTATAGACCGCAGGCAGGAAGTGGGGGGATTCAGGAAGTGGGGGTAACCAGCTATTTCAGTTACTCTCCCCGCATCACAGCTGGGGTTGGCAGCATGGAGACACTGTATACCTCTGCTTAGCACAAGCCCACGGCAGGGGCAGCGGGCTGCCCCCTAACTGCTCGCCAAGGAACTGGGACTTGTTCTCACAGTGGGAAAGAGGCCAGCCTATTGAACAGTGAGTGCATGTTGTCACGGTGATTCCTGGTGCCAAGCTCCTGGGACATCACCATCAAAGCGGCAGGTTTGAGTCTTTCTTCTTGTTCCCCTCTATTTTCTGAGTGCCCAGTGGGCACAGGCATTGGCATCAGCAGAAACCTCTCTCCCAGCCACCAGGAAACCCCTAGTGTCATGTGCAGCCTTCATCACCGCCACCACCTCCACCACCACCACCGTAGGAACTCTGGCATTACACTGACCCCGCCCCCTGACGATGGGCAGGGCACGCACAGTGGCGTGGCTACGTCGTCATGGCTATGTTACTAGTTCCTAGGCTGCGGCGTAATGACTCAGTACGCATGCTCGAGCTTCCCCTATTAAGGGAGCACCTCCACGTGGTTGCTCTTATTTCTCTCTTATATATCTCTCATCTTTTCCCCTTGTCTCTGACTCCCCTTACCTTACTTCCTCTCTCATGTCTGTCTCCCCCCTTTCGGTCTCGCTATAGTAGACTATGGTTAACGTGCTCTCCATGGCTTGCGCTCCGTCCATCGCGCCGGTCCTGGTTTCGTACCCACGCTCGTGTTCCTCCCTCTGCACCTTCTAATTTCTAATTTCTAACTAGTTGACAGCCACCACCACCATCACGATTAAGACCGTAAAGTCTTCACCAAACAATGGCACTAAGTGACCTGGCCAGCTAGCTACACCATAAACCACCCTGTGATACTGGCTTGACACCAGCTTGTTTGCTAGGCAGCTGTGAACACTGACCCACAAAACTACTATCCCAGAAGAGATTCCCCAACAAAGCAGCCTTCTTTCCCAAGCTGACTTAGCTCCAAGGCAAGGAGGCTCTGACATTAGAGTCCCACTCAACTGAAGGACACCCAGGACACTGAACTGTTCTGTCCTTTTAGTCTGTTGACTGTCAAAAAGTAGCAAGCTTGGGTCCCAACTATATGGCGAGAATACAGAGCCGGGTGGTGAGAGTGGGTGATGAGATGTTGGGGAGAGGCAAGACATCTCCATGGGAACAGGATGGGGAAGGCGGTCCTTTTACCAGGGGTGCCCTCCTCACAGTGGGGTGCCTAGAAAGTCCCCAGGGCTCTGCTCAGTTCTGGGCAAGCATGCGACTGGAGGAGGCAAACTCTGTCTCAGATACCTCAACTGGCTGCCCCAGACCCACAGGGTGAGGGGAAAGGAGGCCAGACATGACAAGAAGCAGCATACAGAGAAGGAGCACAAGGTTTAGCCAGACAACACTGGCCTCAACTCCCCCTTGGCCAGCATGTGACTGCAGGAAAGTTACTCAACCTTTCCGAGTTTGACAACTTCTGTGAACAGAGGGATTAATCGCATGTCTCTCCTACTGGGTTGGGAGTGGGGGACTGAATGTCACATGGGTTACTCATATAATGGCAAAAGGAGGCAAAACTGGTCCTTGCTAGCCTTGGGCAATGTAAATTAACTAGAGGGGTTGCTGGATACTCTGCTGTTTCCCTCATCTCTCTGGGTCTGCTGACTGGAGTGTTTGCTTTGTGGAAATTCACCAAGATGTACACTGCTGGGACTTCTCTCTCTGTACACATTACAATTCAATAGAGTTTTCAAAGTGTCAAAGGAAATGCTGAGTTGGTGTCTGCTGCTCGCAGACTTTCAACAGAGCCAGTGTCATCACCTGGAGACCAGGAACAAGGAAGTCTTTCAAGGTGATACATTCGGAGATGCTGTATTCACAATTGTAAGGATTGGGGATGCTGTCCAGCTGGAGGAGGGCTGTTCACTGAAGGAACAGTCATAACCAAAAGTCACAAGGGACTCGGACAGTTGTCCACACAGCCAAAGGCTGAATTAGGAAGTCACGCTGGACTCTGGGGGTGAACCACCACATTTCCTAGGGTCTCAGTTATCAAACTCCACAGTCAGGTTCCACGGCTCCCTGAAAAACAGCCTCTGTGCTGGGCTCCAGAGATGTGACCTCCAAGTCACACAGAGGACAGGAACATGACACTGGAGGACATGGACCTCAGAACAAACAAGGAAAAGGGACGGGAGGGCAGGAGTGGGGATGGGAGCAGTGGGCAGAAGTCTGAGCCTTTCTCACCACATGAAGGAGGAAGAAGGTGGCTCCCAGATTCTGTTATAAAATAAGATAACAGCGATTAGAGGGAAAGTCTAAAAAATGAAGAAAAGGTAAAACTATCAAATAAGGGAACATAGACCAAGCTTGATAACTCACACCTCTGACCCCAACACTTGGGAGGTAGAGGCAGGTGGAGCTCTATGAGTTAGAGGCTAGCCTGGTCTATATAGTGAGATCCAGGACAGTCAAGGCCACATAGTAAGACCCTGTCTCAAAAAAGGGCAAGAGCCACCTGCTTGGCACGGGCCCTGGGCTTCTCATAGTGAATGGCCTGAGTGACGCCAAGCATCAGCTGGTTTTTAGACTAAGCTTGGCAACCCCCCAGCTCCCCACAGTCTAAGCAAGACCCTCACTAGTATCCCCAAAGGAGACTAAAGGATAAAGGACAAGTTACAGGTCAGCCACCCAAGGGACCAATACCTTTCTTTGTTAATTTAAGACTTTGGCCTCGGTGGAGCTGTTTCCCTAGTCATGTGGTGGACTCCTGGTTGCCTGCCCTGGCTCCCAGTAGTTGCAGTGAGAAGCTGGGGCCAGGTTCACCTCAGTCCAAACGCCAAGAGCTGAGGCAGAGACAATGCCGTGATAAAAAAAAAAAGCCAGGAGACTCCCACCAGAGAGTTACAGTCAGTCAGTTTGATGAATCGATCTTTGGACAAATCGGCCATTCCATGAATTGCCTTCAGCAAATTGGCTTTTAGCAAAATGACGTTTGGTAGACTGTTCTGTTTGACACAGCGATGCTTTTACAGGGCAATTATGCACACACTCCCAGCCTGGCACCGGGGCACAGAAACCATTCTGCAGATGGCGGACCCACCCACCCACCTCACACACTGCTCAGTGCTTGGATGTGGGGTCAGAGAACTGAAGAATGCTCTCACTGCCCAGCATGCAGACCCCTTCCTGTTGCCTCTTCCTCTGCCCAGCACAGTTGACACACAGGGAAGATTCTCTGGGTGACTCTGGGGTGGGGAAGCAAGGGTTAATGCACTTTGAGAAGAAGGGAAGCCAAGGGAAGGAGCAACAGGGCTCGGCAAGCCGAACCTACGCTGTGCTAAGGGAGGAATCTCTCTCTGCACAAGGCAAGTGGCCAAGCAGCAGCAGCTGCCAGTCTGGGCTTCTTCGGGAAGAAGTTGGGCTTCTGGCCAGTGTGGCAAGGCAGCCAATGTCAGGACAGATGTCGCGGAAGGAGCAGCCTACTGGAGAGGCCAGCGAGCATCACTGAGTTCTGAGGTGTTTATGTTCCTCTCATTCTGCCTGCCCTCGGTATTTTATTATTATCATTACTGTTATTATTATTAGTAGTAGTAGTAGTAGTATGATTATTGTTATTACTGAAAGCATGTCTTCCCGTAGAAGAGCAGAGTCCCTGTTAGATCCTTGACTTCAGAAGCATCGTGGGCAGAAAGTAACTCGGTCACCTCAACACAGCACAAAGGGGACCCTCAGAAAAAAGAAGACACCTAGCCATCTTGCCGCAGGGGCAAATATCTGCAGAGACCCTCCATAGCCCAGAGGAACCGGGAGGAGTGGCCCGAATCGGCTGGGCTGGGAGCTGTCCCTAGTCCTGAACCTCCCCGGGCTGTGCTGCCTCTGCTCAGGGTTAAAGACACACCTTGGATTTCAGCCACCCTAACCTTCTCCGTCTAGTCCAGACCCAGTTGAATCAGTTGCTGCTCTTTCCCCAACCCCACAGAGATTCCAGCTCATAACATACACAAGAGGTGCAGGGAGCACACTGTGGCCCTGAGTCTCAGGACAGGCATGTGCTGAACACAACCCACAGCGCTGAGCTTCCAAGTGGGGTGCAGCTAGGACCCAGGCCTCCTCCATTGAGGCTGGACCTTCCTCCCTGTCCAGATGCAGTCAGTGCAATAAGATGCTGAGATTGCACCTGACACACCCCAAACACTGAGGACCTTGATCATGGTCATAGTTGTCATTACTGTTGTCAGTGCTGCTGGTGACAAGTTTGTTACCTGTGACATCAATTACATGTCTGGAACTGCATCGTGTGTTTCATGGGTTTTGTAGACACATCCTCTTTAGTCCTCGAAGCATCTTACAAAAGCACCCCTCTAATGGCTCTGTAGGATGTGACAGTCAACGTGAGTAGGGAGACAGGGCATGGGAAAAGCCACACCTTCCCTCCCAGTTTTGCTGGGAACCTGAAACTCTTGAACACTAAAGACTTGTTTTATTCCCTCCCACTGGGAATTGGACCTAGGACCTCATGAATGCTGCATTTTACTTTGCTTTTGTGGTTTGGAAATCAAATCCTTAAGCATACAAAGCAAGTATTGTGATATTAAGATAAACATACAGTGGTGGTTTTAAAACAATTCATTTATTTTGGTTTTTTGTTTGATTCATTTGTGTTCTAGGACAGAGTCTGTCTCCATGAGTGTCTTAAGCTGCTCCTGAATGATCCTCAGTTTGGATTTCCTGGGTGACAGAATTTACAGATGTGTTACAGTGAAAGTATTTTTAAGGTATAGTCACATGTAGTTCAAGTAGGTCTTGAATTTCTGATCCTCCTGAGTGCCAAGATTACAGGCATGTACCACCAGCCTGGTTTATGCGGTGCTGAGGATCAACCCAGAGCATTTTGAACGCTAGGTGAACAATCTGCAACTGGGTTCCACTCCCAGAACCTTAAAATTTTGTTGTTATATTTTGTGGGGGTCTTATTTGTTTGCTTGTTGTTTGTTTGTTTGTTTAAGATAGGATCTCTCTACATAGTTGTGTCTGTACTGAAGATCACTATGTAGATCAGGATGACCTCAAACTCATGGACATCCTCCTGCCTCTGCCTCCAAAATGCTGAGATTAAAGACATGCACCACCACTCCGGGCACCATGTCCATTTTCCAGGCACTGTAGCAGAGGCGCAGTAACCTCAGGCTGTCTGGCTGCAGAGTCCACAAGCTAACCCACCCTGCTACACTGGCTCAGCACACCAGAACCATCAAAGTGAAAGACAGGTGGGTGGAGAGGCCTCCAGAAGCACACATGTCAGTGGTGACAGATGAACTTGGAGGCAAGAGGTGAAAGCCAAGCAGAACTGTGTTGATGAGCCGCCATAACATTGACACTGAGCCATCAGCACAAGGTCACACCGTGCTCAAGACCCTCTGGTTTATAACCCGGGTAATTATGTAATACACTTTAGACATATCCTTATCAAAAAAACGGCATGAGAATCACTGAGCATCTATGCCAAGGAAGAACAGAATGTTAGTCACTATCTGGAATGAGCGTTGCCTGGGGACTTCTTGCTGCCCTGGATCTGTCACTCCTAAACCCCTGTAGGTTTGAAAGACAAAGAGGTAAGCTGTGGGTTCCTGTGGTAAAGGGCTTCAGCTGAAAGCCGATTTCAGACACATAGCCACACTTAAGCCTGCTTCATGCAGACTCTGAGCGTGAATAAGTTGGGATGGGGATGATGCATGGCTATTAGTACTAGTTTCTCAGAGTCTCTGAGACCCTACCTCATCCCAAGGCCACTGCCTCAGAGGCCCAGCAAAAATGACACCAGGGCTCTTGTGTCCAGTCCCATGAGACCTGCAAATGATGGCTACCTTTGGGAAAGCTAAACACAGGGGGCCCTGACCTGCTAGAGATGGTTAGTTTTGATTGACAGTTCAATTAGATTAAGAAGCAGCCAAGGCCAGGTGAGATATATTCACTTAGCCTCATGGCTGACTCCTGGGAGTAGCCAGAGGCCAAAGAAAAGTTTGTCACATGGCTAGTCAGTAAACCCCAAAGAGAACCAGAGTCCCATGCCAGAACCCCAGGTTGCCAGCTGGAACAGCAGGAAGTGATGGTTGTGCACAGCTAGTCCAGATACTGCCCTATGCCAGAGGCCAAAGAAAAGGAGACAGGGACAGAGCTGGGGAGAGTGCTGTGATTTGGATCTGAATGCCCCCTAGGGCTGTGTGCAAGGGGCTTTGTCCATAGCTGACCTAGCTGTGTGACACTGAGACACAGGCCTCTGGGGCATCCGGGATCCTGCCTCTTCCTCTCACTGATTCCTAGCCTCCCAGAGACAGGCAGCTCTGTCCTGCCACGCCACGCCTGCCCCAGACCCAGAGCCGCAGGATCACGTGACCATCTACTAAACCCAAGACCCCAAACCAATCCTTTTTAATTTCATAAGCTATTTTGTCACAGTGATGGGAAGCTGAGTGACACAGAAAATTGGACAAAAGGAGTGAAGAAGAACTAGAAACTGACTGGGAGAGATGGCTGGATGAGAGGTCACACAGAGAGCCCCCAGGGCCTCCCCGCCCCACCCCTGGAGTAGGAGATGAGAAGCCACAGAAGTGCAAATGAAAACACAGCGTGTGTCTGCCAAGCCCTCAGCGCTCTCCCAGCAGGCGGGAGGGCTGTGGCCCAGGCTCTCTTGGGCCTGTCGGGCAGGAGGGGATAATTTGCCCAGGGCCAGAGGTGTCAGAGTGTGAAGCCTGTGGGCCATCTTCTTCTAGCTTGATGAATCCCAGGCAGAGGTGGGAATGAGTGCTAGCTGTTCTCAGAACCAACTCTCTACCTGGGTAGGGTCATCTCGTCCTCACTCACTGGTAAGGGACACCTCTAGAATGAGGAGTGGTGGCCCGAGGGGCTGCAGGCAGTGAGGGGGGTTCTCATGGCAAAAAGGAGGCTGTGGGGACCAGAGTCCTCTCCTCCTGGCATATCACAAACACAAGGTTACATGTAAGAGCCAGGTCTTGGGTTGAATCCTGACTCTGCATTTGTTGACTAAACTGTCTGTGCCTCCCTTTCTTCTGTAAAATGGGAATAACAAGTAACCCAGGACCAGTAAGCAGATGTGGTGAGGGAGTGTGTGGAGGTGTCCTCACACATCCTGCCCGCTCACCAGTGCTGTCCTTGCCATTGTTACTGATCTAACCCAACACTGGGCATGGTCAGGCCAGGGCAGGCGGTAACCACGGCAAGGGGGCAATGGTGCAGACGGTGGGAAACCAAAACCAAAAACCATCAAGAGGTCAGAAATGAATGTAAGTCAATCAGAAAACGGAGCAAGGTATAGCCGGGCGGGGGGGGGGGCGGGGATGGGACAGACTACTGTCACCAAGGCGACTTGAGAGAGGGTTCCAGTCCTGTGTGAGGAGGGACCAAACATTGGAGAGAAGAGCCTCACAGAGTCCCAGGAGAGCACATCCCAGCAGAGGAAACTGCTCGAGGAGTGGGGGAGGTGGGTGTTTAACCAAAAGACGAGGGAGCCGGAACCTGGTGGGCTGAGTCTCAGAGCCCAGGTCAGTGCCAGGTGAGTTGGAGTGCCCAGCATCCAAGCAGCAGGACCTATCTGACTCAGAACTCGCTTCTGGAGCGTGGCTGCCCTGTGGCATGGTGAATCACCCTCTTAACCAGCTGGTATGTGTTTAAGGTGGGGAGAAGGAGGTTCGGAGCTGATGCAGGGTGGCTGACTGCAGGGAGAGCCATGCTGGCGGCCCCTGTGGAGGCTAACACCCCATGACTGCAGGGAGAGCCATGCTGGCGGCCCCTGTGGAGGCTAACACCCCATGCCCAGTCCCTGCACTCACTGTGCTATCTTTCTACAGAGGCTAAATGGCAAACCCAGGCCATCTAGGGGGTGTTGGGATGAAGCCAACCCCCAACCTCACTCCCTGTCCGCCGGGCATCAGCAGGAATCTGGGGCATGACTGCAGAGCTGTTCTGCTCCAGGCCCAACCCCAATGACAGGCTTCTCAGATGAAAACTCATTGGAAAGGAGGGATCCCTTCAAGCCCAAAGATGTACCGGGGAAAGCAATCTGCTGGCCTTCAGGATCATGTCCACACGTCCCGAGGACTCCCGCATGTCCCACCAAAGCTGACTGCGGCTTGATGTAACATCACCTCCCCCGTAATTCAGACACATCCCTTGCAGAGAGATGAACCAAGGGTTCAGAATCCAGATTTATCGTTGCTTTCCTACTCCGCGTGATCTTGAAATTGCCTCAGAAACCATTCTGTGAGGGCCTGTTCAGACACGCCCTGCATGTCCTTTTTGCCACCTCCCCCTCTGGAGAGAAGAGATGTCCCTCCACAAAGGGACATCTCTCTATTGCCAACAGGGCCAGAGCTCCGGGGAAGTTTTACAGGGTATAGCAGACCTACGTTCAGGCAGGGTTCGGTGTGAAATAACTTCCGGGTGAGTTTTTCTCTGTCGAACCAGCTTCATGTTCCCCTTTGTGACATCTTGGGGGGCTCTTGACTGCTCCAGTGAGAGCTCTCAGCTCCCCACAGTCTGCTGCAATCTGTGCCTCTCCCCTGGCTCCTTCAGAACCCGTGTCTTCCTCTTTCTTTACAGGAGGGAGAAGGCAGGAGGAGGACCCACAGGAGAGTCTCGGCACAGAGCCAACTGCGTCCCCGCACTCAGCTCCAACTCCCTCAGCCTAACACACTCCTTGCTTTCTCCAGGCTGCAAGCCATCACATGTTACAGGGGAACAGGAAGAGGGCAGAGCAAGAGCCTGTCCTGAAGGATGCTGGGAACTATTGCTTTGGCTTCTGACATTCACTTGAGGTCTGTGCATCACCCAGGCCGCCCAGAAGGAACAAGAAAGCCAAACTACCATACAATAGTCCCCGTGATGCAAGGCTTTCCCCCCTGCTTGCTGGGGAACAGAGACATCTCTGATTGGGTCACCCCTGACAGTGCCTAACAGTTCCCAGAGGCCCAAGATCTGGTTACTGAAGTCGGTACACCCCTAAAGCTGCGTGCACACTCTGTCCATGTGCATGGCATCCCTGACTCTCGAAAGAAGCTGTGGTTTCACAAAGCAGTGGCACCCCACTTTGAGCACACACGCTGTGGAAGAAATGCCCCACTTGGGTGGACACGCCTCTCTCCGAGCCTTCAGGAGAAGAACTGTGGATAGAGGTCAGGTCCAAGGACTGGGTGTGGGAGCGATGCCGCTCTCAAGTCCACCTCTGGGGCACGATGCAGAGCCCTCGGATGTGGGAGCGATGCAGCTCACAAGTCCACCGCTGGGGCATGATGCAAAGCCCTCGGAAGGCTCAGGCACCCAAGTGTATGCGAGGGGCTTGGGCAACGGACTGTTCACTATGTGGATGCATTTCTGCAGCAAAAGCCAGGAGTCTCACTCAGACAAGGGTACGCTCCCCATTGAAGGCCACTCCCAGAGCAGAACGTTAGGAGACTGGGGAGAGCCTGGTAGATAGTAGATGCTGAATAAATACTTACTGACTGAATAAGAGTTGTTTTGGAAGAAACAGGTCACTGGCTGATGATCCCTGTAAAAACCATGCCTACAAGTCCCCTTCCAAATAATAGCAACAGTAACTACCACACTGATGCCTTGGCCGTGTGCAGGCTCTGTGCTGAGCAGCCCCATCCTCCACCCTCCACTCACCACAACTGCCCCACTGTTAGTCCCATCTCACACATGCAGTAATCAGGCCTCAGACAGGGCGAGTGGCTGGCTTATTACCACACAGATAAAGAATCCTGTTTACCACATGAACCCGGTCTGTTCTATCCCCACCTTAACCAGCATTCCAAATCCTGCCCTCCTGGGATTTCTGGGACGGGTGGCAGAGGCAGGAACCACAGAAAAGAGGAGGACCTTGGGAATGGCTGAGCAGGCTGTGTGGCACCCACACTGAGCTGCGTCAGTGGTCAGGGGACCCCAGGAAGGCAATGGAAGAGGGAGGAGAGAGACTGTACCATGCAGCGGAGGACGTCAGGTGTCTCCACCAAAGTCCATCCTCTTCGTTTTCCTTCCTCTGAGAACTGATGTTTCATTTGGCCGGCAACACACCAGAGAAAGTAGCCATCTCCCACTTCCCTTGGGTCTAGAAAAAGCTGCTGAATGTAGGTTTCCAGAAAAATCTCTGTAAAGAGGCTGATTCCATTGGGAGAGGGGACCTCCCTTTCTCTTTTTTCCCTTCTCTTCCTGCCTAGAGCCCATGGGAGATGGACGGAGCTCCAGCAGCCACTGTGAGTCACAGAGGATGAAAGGATGCAGATAAAATGGAATAGCATTGGAGCAAAAGACCACAGATGCTGGCCCCTGACTCTTGACTGGCTGGAGCTACCAAACTTCAGTATGAGAAACAAACTCCCATATCTTCACTGAAGCCAGCTTTTAAAACTGTTTTGTTGCTATGGTTATATAGAATCAAACACAAACCAGGTAGCCTAGAAATGAGCTTTAACAACCACAGTAGGATCCACACCACACAGCAGGACATCTACAGAAACATCTTGTCAGGCAGGATGGCCTTACAGCTTCAACCTCCGGAGGCTATGGCAGAGATGCAAAGCCAGGAAACTCTCTCACAGGCTGGGTGGCAGGAAAGGGGAGGCCAGAACACGTTAAAATCGACCAAACCAGAGAAGATGGTGATTGCAAAGTAGGGATTTACAGAGGTGACAAAAGCCACCGGGGTGTGGGCCAGTTTATGCTGGCCGTTCTTTTCTCACAGAAAAGCTGCACTGGCCAGGGGGCGTGTGTCATCTATCCAGAGAAATACCAAGACCCCAAAAGCATGCCGCCCTGTGCGTGGATTCATGTGTCAAGTTCTGGGAGTATTGTGGGGCAGCACCTCCAGGGCCACTCCCAGGATATATGGGACTTGTAAGAGCCAGATAAAGGTAGCCTTCTTCAATATGCAAGATCCACATCTCTGGTGAGAGTGGTGTCCCCAAGAGGGGACCCTTCCAGGCAGTGTACAGCCTCTGGGACCACACACGGGGCCCTGCATTGTTGCATGTCCCCCGGCACACCTGCACCGAGCACACGGCTTCCAAACTAGCCTAATGCCCCCGAGGGCATCTCAGCCTCTAGAGATGATGATTCGAGGCTGTGTGCCATGGCCAAGGCAGGGGGATTTCCACCCCACCAGAGCAGGCAATGCAGTCTCGTCTCCCGGCACATAGGTCCTTAACAGAGACGCTACAGCTGTGGGCCTGGGACAGTAACTCCTGTGCCAGAGGTGACCTGGCATGACAAGCCAACCTAGGCACCCAGGAAAGACCCCTGTGACAAAATGGGTGAGGCATGAATATCTTTGAATTTTATTGTAATAATTAATTAAACTACTTTGTGTCATTTTATTGCTTATTTCTTCTCCTTAGAAGGAACATTTTTTCAACTGATGGAAATGAATATATCTTATTTGATACACTATTCCAGTTATAATTTCCTACCCTGTCCCTGTGCTACTACTATAAGAAAAAAAGGAGAGAGGATCAAACTCACTTTGTAGAGCATTTGCCTAGAGTGTGTGAAGTGTTGGGTTTAATTCTTAGCACCTCATCAACCAGGCATTGCGGCACACACAAATATTCCCAGCAACGGGAGGCAGAGGCAATGGACCAGAAATTCAAGGTTATCCTCAGCCATCTAGTGTGAGTTTAAAGCCAGTCGGCACCACAGAGCCTGCCTGAGAGAGACAGGGACGAGGAAGAGGCAAGGCCAGCTCAGCGCACCCTTGCTCTTCAGCCATGTGTCCCCTCACCAACACTGTCACCTGCTCGCGTGTTCCATGCCTTACTCCATCTCACACCGTCAGGCACCGTCTCTGACATGGTGTGCCCTTAGTGAAGCAGTGTCCCGAGTGCCACCCACCCACAGACGACGGCGCTGCTCCACTCCGGCTGCAGTGGTCAGTAGAATACCACACAGCACACAAAGCCATCACACACATGAGCGAGCACGCCCGCATACACACCGTCAGAGCTGCCAGCCCCACGCTGTTCTCTCAACCTTGCTGGCCCTCTCTAATGTGGGTTCCCTTAGAATCTCAGCCCAGCAGACACGCAACCCTCCCTGACAACAGATCAAGACCCAGCCAGCTGCCCCCTCCTGTTCTTTCCAAGCAAAACTCACAGAAAAGTTGAGAAAAGAGCCTGAGTACTTCCTTCCTGCCCACTTGCCTGTCCCCACACTTGGGATCCATCAGACTCACGTTCCTGTCGTGCCTACCCCACCACAGCCGGGTCCCAGTGTCCCCCAGCTCTCCCTGCCCCTGCTGCTATTTGAGCTCACCTTGCGCAGCCCGCCTGGCTGCTTATTTTCCACGGCTCTGATTGAACTGGGACCCTGCTGACATTCACACTCCCTCATCATCAGCTTGACGCTTCCAGCAGCCAAGCTGAAAGGACTCTGGGAGAGCAGAGCAGGAGACGACAGTAACATCAACACTGACACTCTTACCTCTAGAGATGCCCTACCGAGCATGTCCCCAGCTTGACACACCCAGAAGATGGACATCTTTCTCCCACAAGGCCCGGGCCTCAGTTGGTGACTGCCTCTCAAGACCACAGCTTCTCTCTCGCAAGAACCAGGCCCATGGTGTTGGTTCAGAAAAGCACAGATGTGAACGGAGCCAGAGAAGCAGAAGAATCTGATTCCATTTACTTTTGTATGCAGCACGAGCCACCAGTCAGCCCTTTTATCTTCATTTGGATAAATTCAAACCACACACCCACTCATCAGCTAAACTCACAGCCTTCTTGCTCCTCATTGGGTCAAGCCCCACCCAAGGCACCTGTTCATTTGTTCCCAGGGGTGCTGGGGACAGTCAGCAAATGCAACCATGCTCCCCTCCACCCCAGGGGTGCTTCAGAGGAGTGCCCACAGAGACTGCCAGGCCCAGGATAGCCTCTCTCCTACAGGACCAGTATGTCCTATACCCACCCAAGCATCAAAGGCCATGACGGTCATGACCGTGGCCCCTTCTTCAAACCCCTGCATCTCTGGGCCTGAGGAAGAGCAGCCTGGACACTGTGATGTTTCCATAGAAATTCCTAATGGTGTTTCATGTCTTCCCTATAAGGCCAGAGGTCATGGGAATACATCTGGCACATTTTGAAACTCCAGTTGCAAAGGTCTCGGACACCACTAAATAATTCACTTCTCGGTCACACGGGCAATGATTAGCTCAGAGAAAGCCCCGCCAACTCGACAAACTGCAGGGTCAACTCATTAAGCAGGGGCAGTTAAAGGCGAGAAAAATCCTTCTTGAAGGGGACATGTGCTTTTAGAAGCTCAGAAAGGTCACCCACTATTTGGATTTCTTTTCTCTTTGCTTGTCAAAATGGCTTGCATTCCTTAAACAGCCGTGAACACAGAAACAAAGGACCCGAAAACAAAACGACACAGCACATCTTGTCCATCTCAAGGAGACCCCTCCAGGAAGTCTGCTGGATCCACCCCACCCTGACCACTCATATACTTGCTGGCTCTCTGCTCTAGTTCCACTGTTCTCTAGGGTTGCCAGGACAGCCATGGGGCAGCCATGGGGCAGCCATGGGGCAGCCATGGGGCAGCCATGGGGCAGCCATGGGGCAGCCATGGGGCAGCCATGGGGCAGCCATGGGGCAGCCATGGGGCCTTTTCCTTCTCATCCACTCCCTGTAATGAGAGGTGAGTCTGGCTTGCTCAGTACACACCGCCCACAACTTCTACACACAACCTGCTGACCTAGTCAGAGTTATTTCTACATTCCCACTTCAGTCACACTGGGAATTTTCATTCGCATCTGCAAATTCTCATCTCTCATTCAGCAGCCAAATGTGGTGTCCATCTGTTGGACTCCACGGCTGGAGCAGCCAGCCTTGGAACCTTCCACAACCACCAAGGTGTATGCAGGGCACAAACACACGCAGGCTCAGTGTTGTGCACAGTGGAGATCCCAGCCCAATCCTAGGGAACACAGACGGAGCAGATCCCAATGGCTGTGTGTTCTAGAACTCTCCACATCCACTGCATTATCATGTCTCCCCATCCCAAAAGCCCTGGAGAGAACAGAGGAGGAACCTAGGCCCAAGAGGTCCCCATCACTAGAGACTGTGTGAACAAGACAGGTCCCCACCCCCTGACCCTGCTGGCTCTGGAAGACAGAAATAAATCTGCAACCAGGCTAGAGAGAGCTACAGAAGCCAGAGATGGTGTTGGGGAGGCACAGCCGGAGAGGAAGGCGCGGCTGCAGTGGGGCAGTGATGACAGCTTGCCACCCACACGGTATACGCAGAGAGCAAGCAGAAACACACGGCACCTGCCCAGGGGCCTTTCGGGGCCAGCTAGAGCCAGTGACCTTAAGCAACTGCCATGGTCCACTGAATACTTTTCCAAGCCAAGGTCTCCTTGATGGACGTGCCATCTTAGGAAGACGACACTTGGTGCCATGTCACGAAGGCTGAAAACGTACAAGGGAGGGGAGGATGTGGCCGCCTAGGAAACCACTCTGTGCACCCAGGGTGGGGCTTCCAGCTTAGAGAGTGGCAGGGCTCCTAACTTCCCCAGATGGAAGCACTTTCAGGGGACAGCTGGCAGGAGCTCTGCATCCTGCCTGGGGCGACCTTAATAAAATACCCCCCTTGTTTGCTGAGCACTGATGTTGGGACAATGCTAGCTCCCCAGCATGGGGCCTCTAAGGGCCATCTGAGCTGTGCAAGTGCTCAGTTCCTGTCTGGCTCTCTGTAGCCCCTGACCACCATTAGATGCCATTACTATTG